ATTGGCTAGTTTTTATACCCCCTATCATCCCCTAAGAGATTTTTTCAAGTATGCCATGTGGCATAAATTGAAACAGACATAGTTTCACCTTCTCCTACTCCTCTACTTTTTTGGATCAATGCACAGCCCAATAGGTCTCCTTTGATAGTCCAATAAGAGATATTAGACATGTCTCAACACCTCAAAAAGAGATTGTTGAGCATTGTCCTACTCTGAAAAGGCTAGTTCAAGGCCCGTGAGCACTAAAATGAGATAGAGGGTGATAGAGAGATAGAGGGGGTAGGTTGAAAGGAGGGGTAGAAGCCTCTACTCTATTATCCGGGCCTGGTTTGGACATTTTTCAGGGAGAATGGGCCAGAGCGTGGGGTTGCTTCCCCTCGGAAACCTTTTAATCAGTGTCTTATTCTTTCCATGTTTCGGCCATTTCTCTGCTCTGACGCTATGAATGAGAATAGCCTGTCGCCAGCCTTGTCTCCATTCCACTCTGGTGCTCCGAGATCGGAGAAATAATGAGATATTAATTCAACGGCTGGTTCGCTTCCTGAGAGCGAACTCCTACATTAAAAGGGCTGGGAAGAAATATTACGCCCGGTTGGCAGACCAGCAAGGTGGTCCTCGCCTACTCCCTGGAAGCGGTTGGAAGAGACCTCTCAGTTGTGAATGGGTCGGCTAAACCCTAGACCCTGCCCTACTCCGTCGGTCTCCCTTGCCGCTTTGTTGACCTCTCCCCCGATCCTTATTCGAGACCTAAACAACTCACCAGGACTTCGAGGACGACCTCTCTCTCTCTCTCTCTCTCTCTCTCTCCCTCCAGCCTAAGCCATGGGGGGGGGACCCATTTTTCTGGTCGGCTGTGGCGCCCAGCGAGCTCTGCGGCACATGAGGCTGCCGGACGGCGTCTCTCTCATGCAGCACGACTGCTCCAGCCTTCCCCACCTGTCTCCGGCTCCCGGTGGTGCAGTTAATGTAAGGTTTTTTGGCTGTCGGACAGGTTCGACAAAAGAACACCGTGACGGGCGGCCCCTCATTGCCTTGCCCAGAAAACGCGCTGAAGGAACATCGGAGATTTTCATGCTGGCCATGCATGAGACAGCCCCCTAAAGGGCAACTTAATGTGATCGATGGGGGAGGGGGAGAGGCTGTGCGGGGGCCACACCCAGCATGGCGTACTTCAAAGGGATTGAATCCGCTGGGAGACTCGACGTAAAGGATTCGGCTAATTGCAGACGAAATTTCTGTTCAGTGGAGACCATTTTCCAATTGGCTCGTGTGTCGTTGTGAGCATTGAACACAAGACTCGATGGTATCGGGAAAAGACAGCGAACCCGTAAGATCATGCCTTATGGTCTACTGTGATTTACTGAAGAGGGCTCAGTTTTCAAATGAGCCTTCGAATCTCCTGCTCGGCCATGGCGCTGCGGGGCGGCGTCAATGAAGATCATAGAAGACGTCATGTTTGGATAATATGGGCTCACAATTATCGTTTTGATTCGACATTTTGTCATGAATGGGTATGGCAGCAAGAAATATTGTGAATTATGTATAGTTCAGGGAGATCAAAATCGCAACTATCATCATACCGCCCCCAGGGAACTCCAACGCTGTTAAACATAATATCATGGGTTTTCACCAGAACGAGGGTTGACTTAGTTTTCGGACTGAGCCCTTCTCAAACCACACGATCTTCCAACCACGTCCTAAATTCATGGATAATCTTGTTAATCGTCCTAATCTCATTGAGAATTAAACTTAACTTTCATTTGATCTGGTATGATGCCTTGTAGCATGCAAACATGACGAAAAAATATACAGCCTAAACTCATAGATGATCCGAAAACCAGGCCTGAACGTCCAAATGGGATGGGAGATCAGCTGGATCACCTTGACGACGACATGGATAATGCAGATTGTCCATCAGTCTCCCTCCAACAATTAAATTAAACAACAAAAAATTAACCAATGAAATCAATCTACGCCACGACTCTCTCTCTAGAGAGAGAAGAACGAGCCCAAAAGAGGATTGTCAAAATAGCGTAGCTGGCCGTGCATTTTATGCGTTGGAACGTCGGTTTCGTCAGCTTTCACTTGCCGACTTCCGATGGAAGGTCTGAATGGCCACAGAGAAACACTGATTATCTGTCGTTATACAATTAATGCACGTGACTCGTCCAGTCGGAAGCTTTAGATTCTCTCCACATTGGGGGAAGATTCGGGCAGGAGAGCGTTCGCATCCCCGTGGACAACGCCGTCTCCGGGGAGGCGGCCTCGCGGCGAGAAGTTTCCTAATCCGCCGAGTCTCGGCTCCGTCCCCCGGAGGGTGGCGGCGGGACGGAGATCAGGTCCAAACCAGTTTATTTTCTCGCATAGTGAGGAAGAAGATAAGCTCCGAGTAATTACTGCTCAGGCAGACAGATCCGGAAGGTATTGGTTGGGAGTTTCTTGACACGGACGTCGATGGGGGGAGGCGGGGCGGCGGCGGCGGCGGCGTGGCCGCCGATGCCATCCTCCAGGCCACCAAAAGCGGCAGTTGACAAGAGACAGAGACGGTGGGATCAGGAAGAGGAAAAGCTCCCCCCCGATGAAGACAGTGCATCTCCTCCACGGCAGCAGGCGGAACCCTAAGTGATACCCTTATGTGCGGTAGCTCTCACCCTGGTCTCTCTCCATGACAGGGGTAGATTCGCTCTACAGCGACGAAGCTCTTCGGAGAATTCGTCAAAAGACACATGGGCATCAATAATTCAGTCCTCGCAGTCCTCGCAGTCCTCGCAGTCCTCGCTCTCTGCCGAGGGATGATGATCATGGGCTCTCCCGTAACCCGGGTCTATTCATAAATTGTAAGCGTCATCTCATCATGTGAGTGAAAATAAAGAGGCAGTCGAGGCAGAATCAGGAGGATCCGTCCGGTTTCTTACTGCCGTCGGCATAATTCTACATTGAATCGGAAAAACCAAATCATGAGGTTCAATTTCCTGGGCTACTCTCATTTTTGTTGGTTACTTTCTATGTCGACAATTAAATTATCAATTTCATAGTTCCAAACTTGATCCTACATTGAGCATATCTCACTTATGTTGTCTACTTGATGAAAAATAAAATACTTATAATTCATTGAGAGCGTTACAACGAAATGGAGTCAGAGGAGAGTCTTCTCATAGTTGTTGGTTAGAGAGAGAGAGACGGACAGAGGAGCAATCCAACCTTTGGCATCTAAAATTTACAGGGAAACGACGCCATGTAGGTCCTTTAACACCACAACTTGGACTTCTACCTTGTCTCCATTGAAGATTTCTTCAATACAAAAGTGGTGGCACTTGAGGAATCTTGATGAAGATGGGCCCGCGGAATCAATAATTAAGACACGAGATTGTATTTGTAGTCCGATCACTAACTCAAGCCAGATATCGTTCTCATGACAAACAGTTCTTGTCAACGAAAATAAAATTTCTGCATGTAATTCAAAACTATCCCACGGAAAACTTTATATGGTTGACTTTGTAACCCCCCTAGGCCCAACGCTACATATTTAACTTCATATGGAGATTGCCCTGGAAGCATGCAAGATTGGTGCCTACAATGTTCCCTTTGGTGGGCTTGACCGAGAAAAAGTCACACCTTTAGAGGTATACCATCATGAGTTTCGAGAAGAAAACAATTTCCAGCAGGCTAACGAAAGACGAGGACGACTACAAGGACCTTGAGCAAGTTAAATGAAGCCATATATAGTCAAGTCTGGTGCTCGCTGAATGTTTATCGTGGGCATTAACGTACTCTGAACCTTACCCATTTAAGCAAACTCTCCCAGTTTCATCCATCCTCTTACCTTTCCACATGTCTGGGCTTTCTCCCATGGACCAGCGGGGCCGGGGCGGCTTGATGCCTTGTTTCTTCGGGGAAGCTACGCCCAGCTGTCTCCCTCACCATCGAACGAAAAAATGGAGTCCACTCCACACGTGGCTCTGCCGGCTCTCTCCCACGCCCGCCCCGCCCTCTTCCCTCCTGCTGTTAAAGCATTTGGCGCAGTTAATGCCTGGCCTTCCTTGTCTGGTAGGTTAGATGTAGCAGGAGAAGACCCACCCCTCCTCACCACACCCTCACTCGTGACCCATTGATGAGCCCACCGATTGCATGCACGTCCTTCACGGCCTCTGTCTCTCTCTCTGTCTCTCTCTCTCTCTCTCTCTCTCTCTCTCTCTCTCTCTCTCTCTCTCTCTCTCTCTCTCTCTCTCTCTCTCTCTCTCTCTCTCTCTCTCTCGCTGTGTGTGGGGAAAAAGTGTTTCCTTGATGATGCCCCACCTGCAGGTATTATTCTGTAAACACTCCTACCCCATTTCTGAGCCCACCGATTCCATGCGCGTCATGCATGGCCTCTCTCTCTCTCTCTCCCACCCGCTGGTGGTATTCTATACCAACTGCTGAGATGAGTGTTCCAAACAAAGATGGCCCAGTGCTCGTCCCGATCGGGTCGGAGAGCAGATGGATTATCTCGGCATATAAAACGAGACCCCGTAAGAATAGGAGGAAGAAGAAGAAGGCGAGGAAGAATATTGTGGGTTGGCGACAACCACACGATTAATTCAACCCGCGATAAGGCAGGGTCCACCGGAGGAATATGATACTGTCCACCGTTCTTACGGTGGACCTCAGAAGACCTTTCTCCGTATATCAGCATGGATAGTCCAAGGCTCGTGATTAAAAATATTACGGCATCACGTCGAACTGATCTCTCGATAGATGGATAACGATCCCCGTCCGTACATTGGACGGCTAGCGCGTGGGGTGGAACATCGATCTCATCTTCTCGATGAGCTCCGTCGGATCAGACGGCCCAGAGGTCACCATAATCTCCTGAAATCTTGGTCAATGATAGGCTTCGACGGAGATGGAGCCTGTCCTGCCGATGAGGGGAGTTTCCTACTGGGTTCTCTGCGACTTCGCCGGAGAACCGAACCAAAGGGAGAACGTGAGGGGCGGCGCCGCCGGCGGCCAGCGACCAGTTTATGTGGCCGACAGAGGGCGGCGGTAAGAACCGATATGGTGGGAAAGGAGAGAGAAGAAGACTGGGGGCGGGAGGTTCTCGCCGCCAACGGGATGCTCGAACCCGCCTAGAGCGCGAGAGGTTGCGAGAGAGACGAAGGCGGAAGGAGCCAGAGGAGAAAGAAAAGTGGCACCGGGACGGATGGAGACTTATTCGACGACGGCCATGTTACCGCCGTCCGCCTGGCAGACGTCCCCGTCGGATGTGACCAGTACGTCTCCTCCACGGCCTGTGGGGGAACCCTAAGGGATTACTTCAGGTGCGGCTACAAGGGCATCCGGCATCTCTCTCTCAAGGGACCCCAAGGGCATCAATAACTCCTTCGCCCCTCGCCGATTCGAAAGGAGGGATAACCATGGCCCCTCTCACTCTCTCTCTCTCTCTCTCTCTCTCTCTCTCTCTCTCTCTCTCTCTCTCTCTCATACGGTCCCGTAAATTGCTAGGGTTTCCCGTCGTTATGCGGAGAAGAAGAGACAAGCAAGGTCTTATACATGGAACACTCTCGAAACAGTCTTGATCTTGAAGTCAGCGTAGATATCACCATCTACAGGGGTACATTGAATCCGTGTAGCTGACTAATTCCATACCACAAAGCTGTTTTTCTTCAATGTTGGCTGAGGCCAGAGGGCGTTCCTTGTTTGGTAATTAAGAGGCTCACCTCTGACGTTTGACTTCCTTTGGGGCCTTGTCCACATTAGGAAAAATTTAAGGAAGCTAGAGACATGCGGGCAGAAACTATCTTCCTTCACTCTTGACCTCTCCAAATGGCATTTCCTTTCTTGTGATCAAGATATTAATGGGGTGAGGTTGACTTTCTGAGGTTTAATTCTCTACATGGTGACTGTCTTCACATCTTTTAGATGATGTATATGCATAGTATGTTACTAAAAAAGGCAAAAACTTGGTAGGCATGCCCACAGCCTAGTGAAATCCATGAATATTCCTGGAGAATCGAATCATATCTAAGATACATTAATTTATAACTATGTGTCATTATCATGTAGGAAAAATATTCTCGTGCAAATGGGCGACCAGGTGACGATGAAGAACAGCGATGGTGATGATGATAATGATACTAAACTTAACTTAATTTTCTTCCTTGTCTAATAAGTTACGTATTTTCACACGTTGACTTCTGGGTTAGTTTCAACTTCTTGAAAATTGCCCACTTCTGAAGACGTATGGCCGATGAATGGCCCGTTAAGAAGAGATGGTTGGAATAATCCGATCCTTTAACATGTGATGTAACACCAGTCGACTGGGCTGTCAGCCAGGGGGGAGGGGGGGGGTCAATCACCGGGCGGTGCACGATGGATGCTCATATCCGTGGGTCAACCCGCCCCGGCTGACTGGCAACATCTCCCAGCTCAGCAGGTTGCGCGTGGCGCGGGCCCCGTGACGTGTCCCATCCAGAACACTCGGATAGATCACGTGAAATCCAACTGTGACGTTAACGGCATAATTAATTTCAAACCCAACTTATATTTTTATTGTTTCTGATTACATTTTAAACGTATTTAATTGTAAAATACTCTTTTTCTTTCCCCCCGTGGGAAATTTCTCAACTGGAGGAGATATACCGCCAATAATTTTAAAATTATTTGGTATTTAGTCACAATAATAATTTAGGGGAAAAAAACCGTACAATATTATTCGCATTTTTATTTTTATTTTTTTCGATAAAACCGTGGTCGTCATTTCTAAATAAATTAATGGCGTGTAAGTAAATAATACCAATCAGAATTCGATCGAGAAAGCTACACGTGAACTCGGAGCCCCGACCCGGACGATTCTTCCGCCCCCCGCGTGGGCCCGAGTGGGACTCAGAAGTGGACAACAAGAATTTTAGCCCTTCGAGGAGGGCATTTGCGACCGGATCACGTATATATATCCGACACTGCCTCCGCTCCTCAGGCAAGAAGGAGAAGAGAGAAGAAGAAAAGAAGAAGAGAGAACAAGAAGAGAAGAAGAAGAGAGAAGAGAGAAGAGAGAAGAAGAAGACCAGTGGCTACTGCGCGAAAAAGATGGCGAAGGTGCATCCCAACTCCACCGCTTCTTCTTCGGAGGCGCGGAGGAAGAAGGCAGAGGCCCCGCCGTCCTCCTCGCCGGAGTCCGGCGGAGAGGCCGCGGTGCTGACGGTATGGAGGAAGTCGCTGCTCTTCAACTGCAGCGGCTTCACTGTTTTCGACGACAAGGGAAACCTCTTCTTCCGCGTCGACAACTACTCCTCGGGGAAGAGAGCAGAGGTCGTCCTCATGGACGCCGCCGGCCGGCCGCTCCTCTCCATCCGCAGAAAGGTAATTCGGCTACCCCACTGTCTCCTCGCCAGAAACCTAGAATCTTCAGCTTCGGATCTGACGCTTGTTCGATGAAATGTCACGCAGAGATTGAGCCTGAGCGAGCAGTGGTTAGTGTACGAGGGAGAGGACTCCACTGCGCCGCTGTTCTCCGTAAAGAAGCCCTTCGGATTCCTCCAGCCGAGGGCTCTGGCCCGCGTGGCTCCGATCGGCGGCCGGTTCTGCGGGTACGAAGTGGAAGGCTCCTTCTCACGGCGGAGCTGCGCGGTCTACGACGGGCGGCGACGCCGGGTGGCGGAGATCACCAGGAAGGAGTCCGCCGGCGGTGTGGGATTCGGCGGCGACGTCTTCCGCCTCGTCGTCCTCCCTGGCCTCGACTCCGCCGTTGCCATGGCCATCGTCATCCTCCTGGATCAGATGTTCCCAAGCTGAGATTATTTCGCTCCTAATTCCACGGTTAGCCCTCGATTTAGGAAGTGTGAATTGCCTGGCTCCTTTTTCTCGTTCGATTTATTCAAGAATCCTCCCGAGAGATCCGATGAACGAATGATGATAACGACGATGATCCCCAAGAACCAGCCGCAAAAACCCTGATTTCACGGGCTGGCCTTGTCACTGGCGAGTTGCCCTGCCCGGCGAACGATTCTCGCCGCCGAGTCCACTCCGAGTCTACTGCCCGTCTGGTTCCGGCCGGGAGAAAATCTGACGACTAATAGTTGCTTGCTGGCCCACCGGGCGTCCATCGACGGTGGTCCCTATCAGGGGTCCACGCTTTGTGGGTTGGTGCATGATAAAATCTCCACCGTCGGAGCGGCTTCTAGACAAACCCGGCGCATTAAAGTTTCCAGCGATATCCTTTTTATGCACTGTGGCTGTCTAGCCTAATTGTGTAAATGGGCTGATAAGCACAGTCTATTTCTGTATTGGGCCCAGAAAAAGTACCCAATTATTTTTTTGGTATATCCGATTATTGATACCTTGACAATATCCGATTAATTTTAAATTTTTAATTAAAGGTATTTAATTTATAATTATATCATAAAATAAATTTATTGATTATAATTCTTCTATTAAATACTTTAAAATATTTATTATAATTTATATTCCCCGAAAAAGGAGTTTCAATCCTTAGTTTGTAGACCAAGATAGGCTTGGGCGTATCCCTCGGCCCACTAATTCGTCACGATACTTTTACTACTATTGGGCCAGTGAGTGACGAGTGACTAATAAGGTCCAATAAGGTGTCGTTTGAGCTCACCGCACAACACGGGTAGGGTTTTGCCGCGAAAAACCTCTTTGTGATGCTATCTTCCGCCGCACCGTTTCTCTGATCTCCTCCAATCCCACGGATCCATGGCCGCCGTCGCCACCGCTAGATCCGTCCTCCGCGCGGCTACTCTCCGTAACGCCGCTCCGAGGGTCGCCTCGGCCGCGGGAAGAGCGGTTGGCCGACCCGCCGCTCGCCTCCGGCCCTCTGGTGATGCCTCACGGATCCTGATCAGGTAGAGTTTGCTCCGTCGAACCTGATTCCTGTTCTCAGCCGCATTCGATATTTCTATTAATTTTTGTATATGTCGATCCGTAGGTCGCCCGCTGAGATGAGTAGCTTCTGCGTGGAGTCTCTCATGCCGATGCACAGTGCCACGGCGTCCGCCCTGATGACTTCGATGCTAGCTGTCTCTCGCCGTGGCTACGGATGGCTCTTGGAAGGTACTATAGCATATTACAACGTTGTTAGCTGGATGTCTTGGTCTGCTTGCGTATTTCTACTGTTCTTGATTAGGTGGTCTATCTGCAGATGAAGTCTGTGGCTGAATGCTTGTCATAAATACACAATTTTTGTATCGTCATTATTTTGTTTTTTAATGGAATTGATCACTGAAGATTATTACTTTCTGTGTAATGTGATGTTGCCTAATTTTATGCCTTGCTCAATTTATTTGGACACCCCTTTTATTTCGTTGTGATTTTATCGTCTGTTCATAATAAGTAGAAAGAAGTCTGGGGTGCGTTTGCCCACCTAACTCCCCTTTCCTTGTGTTTCTTAGATGAGCAGATAGGGAGATGGAGTTAGTTTCACCTCGTCAAGTTAGGTCTTCAACTAATATCTTCGTTATTCAAGCGAATCATACGTAATACAATTGCTCTAGGGCTACATAATTATGCAAAACCGACAAGAAGGGAGTTGAAGTCATCAAATATGTGAAAAATATGTAGAAAACCTTGAAAGAGAAGGAGATAGACTATTTTCACTGAAAAATGTATTAGGCTCTCTCTGACGTTGGTGAAATGTACCTAAAGAGTGATTACATTGCATACTGGTTCCTTATGTTTTTGTCGTTCAGAAGCATCCATCTGCGAAAATTCTTCCTTTTCTATGTGTACAGACACCGACATTTTTCACCAAGTCTTAGAATCTTCATTACATCTAGGTCGGTGTTACTTCTTTGTTTCTGTGTAATTTCCATGGATCATTTTCAGTTCCCTGGAAATGTCGTGTTTCCTTCCCTCAGCTCTCAGACATTGTATTTTGTTTCATATCATTAATTGCTTTTGTTTTTCTTCTTAATTTCAAGTGAGTTATTGGGGATTGTTGATTCCATGGGCTTTTGTCTCCATCTATTCCTCTGCTTTTGATTTACTATTAGCACGACAAACATATTTGTAAAACATGAAAAGCGGAAAGAACTAGATGATTAGATCCGGGATAACGATGGGGACTTTAATCACTTATTCGTGATTAGAAGTGTGCATCACAGCTCGCACAGCCCTACATGGAGCAAATCAACATTTTAACATGCATTACTCTTAAGTGTTGTTTAGCATGCTTGCTTAGTTGGTTAATCCATGTTAGGTGCTTTGGTTTATTAAAAAATAGAATATAGAGGAAAGTGATTCTGGTTCATGTGGTCTTCGTTTACTCTGATCGGTTGCAAATATTATACCACCTTATTTTAAGGTTTAGGTCAGTTATATGTTCTCTGGCATTGCTGATATTTTCGGGTAGAAACATAGCTAAAAATGTATGGTGAAGGCGGTTTAAATATAAGTTTTTCCGTAACAGCTCCCCATCTTTTGTATTTTTCTCCATATTTTCTGAGTGCATTTATGTGCACCGTGCGAAAGATTCGTAGGTCGAAAGATGATGGTGTTGACTACCTTTTCTAAATGAAAAAAATGACAGGAGTAAATAACTTTATATTAGCATCTAGATTCAATAAGGTTTCAAAGGGAAAATCAGAAAATAAAAAAGTGCAACCCCTGTAATATCATCTTTAGATGTCAAGAAATGTTTCGGCATTACTTGGATTTATAACCATATAAATGACTGTAAAAAATTCCAAGGGTTAATGATACCTCGTCTTCTGTATTCTCTCTCATACTTTCACTAAATCTTCCTTCTCCATTTCCTCATTCTTAAGATATTGATTAGAGTACAAACTTTCTTTCCTCTTGTAGGCCAAGATGAAACTAGATGATGATCAAGCAAGAAAAGGTGACAATTTGCTTTATTTGCCTGCATCAGTTATTTCAAGTAGTAATAGATTTCTCCATAATGGAGAAGAAAACCTGATTTTTCATATTTACTCGTAAAACCTGCTACAGACCGGAAATTTAAGGGTGATAGCTGCTGCATGATGTTAATAGTTCTCTCTTTTTTTATTAGTTCTTCCCATGATCCTCGTTAGTGCCATCAATTCGGACAGAAAATGAGGAAAAGTAAGAGTAGTGAAGTTTTGTTCATAGCGCACACAGCCACCAATTTACCATCATCAATTCAATGCGATTAGAAACCGATTCAACAATTCAAACCACGATCTTGGCTAATTTCGAAGATCTTATTATATTTATATTTTATCAATCTCTTGCTCAGGCATGTAGACTTTTTCAGTCTTTTAATTATATCTGGAGAAAGATATTTCTCATTCTTGTAACTATTTACTACCTTATTATTATCGCCATCTTTTTCAGTTTTTGGTAACAATTTTAAATCGAGAGATAGATCCATTTTGTCCATTCTTGAAAGTTTGGAGACACAGCTGCTCTCTCCTTCTAGTGTGTATCAACCTTTGCACGATTATTTGACATTTATCTACTTGAATTGACCTCAATGGCATGCTTCATCTTCTCTTTTGGGTCATGCGTTTTTATGCTAATATCAACATATCCTGGAGTCCCCTGTCCTGTGCAGAACTCTGACAAACCCATCACTTCATGTCAATGGCCACATCGATCCCTTTTTTTCTTTTTCTTTTCTTTTTATTTTATTTTATTTTTTCTTTTGTGTGTGTGTGTGGGGGGGGGGGGGGGGGGGGGAGCCTAATTGCATAGAATCCAGGGGAAATCCGCTGATTGTGCCCCAGTTATACCTTTCCCTCACTCTCTCTCCAAAAAACTTGGAGGATAGGTCATCAAGAATCATATGGCTGGTTCCTAAAAGTCACGCTATTTTCTCTGTATTATGCAAATTTTCAGTTTTAAAAGTTGTACTATATGACGAAATTTTCAATTAAAAATTGTAATACTATCATTTTATTTTATTAATTTACCCTTATCCGACTTTCCCTTTGGCGACGGCCAAATGGGCTGACTACCAGGCCAGACTTTTCATACCGTGGTCAACCAGAACTCGTTGACATGTTCACACCACTGAATGCTTGTCCGTAATGTCTGCTCCATCTGTTGCTGCCCTGGCTTCCTCTTGAATCCACGACCAACATCTTGTTGACTATCTGTGATCGAGCCACGTTCTCTTTATTTATCCCTTTTTATTCATCTTAAAAAAAAACTACTAATCAGTTTCACAGAAAATGAGAATACTAATTATTTGCATTCGAGCAGCTGGCAATGACGATGCATGATGGGTTTCCTTCCCGGGCTGCAAGCATCGCTTGACGAGAGCTACTCACAGGAATTGCTTCTCTTCTTACTATTTCCTCCGAGTTTTGCTATGATTCTGCCACGCATGTGAATGGTTGACAATTATTCTTCTTATAGTTGATGAATTCCATCTTATTATCTTATTATATGGTCATATGATCATATTCTTATGGAGTTTTTTTTTCTCCTTTTTTTTTTTTTGTTTTGGAGAGAGGGGGGTTGGGGGGGGGTCTGAAGATCTTAAATTTCCAATAATTCCATATTTTTTTCCGTTTATAGAGGGTCTCTCCACAGAATTTGGTTGTTTTGTTGTAGATGGATGAGAGCGGCTCCCTGGGACTGCAACTGGCATGGGGCTACACCCACTGAGAGGTACTTTGGAAAAAAAAACCCAGTTGCTGGTGAGTGATCCTGGGATATTTGTGGCAATAAATGCTCTCCCTTTATCTCTCTCTCTCTCTCTCTCTCTCTCTCTCTCTCTGTCTCTCTCACTCTCTCTCTAGCTCTAGAGCTCCTTCTTCTCTCTTATCTCCATGTCTCTTTATCAATCGACAGAGAGGATGAGTAAGCGTGACTCTCTCCATATGGTTGAGGTCGCATGTTCATGCCAAGCCTTTGGCTGCTTCAATCCCTCGTAGTCCCCCCTTCTCTCTCCTTCTCTCTTTCTTTCTGAGTTTCCTCCTTCCTCTCTCTCTAAACCCGACACCGTGCCGCTCACCCTTAAATGCCCTCTATTTCTCACTCTAGATTCTCTTTAAACCCAAGACGCTGTCGCTCACCACTTACGAACTCTCTCTCTCTCTCTCTCTCTCTCTCATTCTCTCTTTCTCAAGACTCTGTTCCTTTAACCTTCGCCATATCTCTTTAAGCCCGAGAATTAGGTTTTAGAGAGAGTGGAGGTATTCTCACTCTTTTAACCTTCCCTCCTCTCTTTTAAGCCCGAGAATTAAGTTTTTGAGTGCTGAGGAACTCTCTCTCTCTCTCCCACCATCATACCTGTCCAGAGAGGCCTGGATGCTCGTTGACTAGACCCGAGCCTCAGGCCGTTTCGAGGGCTTACACGCCGCCACCGACGCTACCTTAGTCAACGCGGACTGATCTCCGTCGCATTGACTCAACGAGGAGACGCAGTAAGTCGAGACAAATCGTACCGAATTATTGACTCGCGGCCGAAGACCGAGGGAACAGGCCGGTGCGTGTAGCTCCAGTCAACCTTTTGACTTCAAGTAGCGCAACACCAGTCAACTAGTGGGATAAAGGAGGCCCCATTAAATCCCGGCCCAGAAACAGTAGCCTGGACCGGGCTTTCGGGCTCACCGTCCTCCTATTCACAGATACAACGAGAGTACGTTCCTAACATTTTCATATTTTTATTTATTGATATCATGGTAAGACCCAACGCCCAACCCCCCCTCACCCGGGCCATAACTAGCCTGACCCCCACCAACCCCCCTTCCCCCATGAAAGCCGTCCATCACTCTCTCTCTCTCTCTTCCCCCTGAAAACAGATCCCTTGCTTCTGTAGGCCGCTTCATTCCGTTTAATGTGACCACTCCCTCTCCGCACAGACTGTAACTCTCTCTCTCTCTCTCTAGATGACGAGGTCGGAGCATACGACGGAGGAGGGCCCATCTCCTGGGGAAGAGCAGGAGGGAAGCAGAGCCCGGCGCCGCCGCCGCCACCGGGCGGCGTGGGCCGGCGGCGCCACCGCCGCGGCATTCCTGACGGCCGCCGTCGTCCTGCTCGTGGTGGCTCTCACCGTCTTCAAGCCCCGCCAACTCGAGACGACGCTGCGATCGGCGGCGGTGGAGGGCGTGGCGCCGCGTGTCGCGCTCCCGTGGGGCCCCGTGGAGCTGAACGTGACGCTCTCCCTCGACTTCGCCGTCTTCAACCCCAACCGCGCCTCCTTCGACCACGCCGCCGGCAAAGCGGCGCTCTTCTACCGGGGGAAACGGGTGGGGGACGCCGACGTGGCGCCAGGTCGGATCCCTTCGCGGGGCTCGGCCCACGTGTACAGCCGGCTCACCGTCGAGGCGGACCGGTTCGCCGCCGACCCGCTCGCCTTGGTTCGCGACGTGCTGACGGGGCACCTCGACGTCGACTCCTCCACCCGCATCCCCGGCCGCGTCACCTTCCTCGGCTTCATCCATCACCACGTCGTCATCCTCACCGACTGCCACGTCACAATCTCCTTCCCCCCCGTGGCCGTCACCGGGCAGCAATGCCAGCAGAAAACGGAGTAGCAGAAGACTCTCTCTCTCTCTCTCGCTCCCTCTTTACGTGGTGCGGCGCCCTTTGCGTTGCTCCCTCTCTCTCTTACCTACTCAATGTCACACGTGTGAACACGAATTGTTTCGCATCGAAATAAGGTTTAATCCCTCAGATCTTTAAATATTGAAATATTAAAAATACCAATACCCCCCAGAATGCCAGTTCAGCGCCCTGCGTGGCTCGCCAGGGTGGCAGGCTACTTTTCGATGACGTTGCAAAAGCCATCCAATCAAACAAATACCTTTATTAGATCTTTCTCTCTAGATGGTCCTCGAGAGTCTGCCAGGTGGCGCCAATCGGGTTTCCCGTTAAGATCCAACGCGCCGAGACCTCCGTCGCAGTTTCCATCCTTTTCTTTTTCTGAAAAGGATTACGTGGGCAACCTCTTGCCGTCTGATGTGATGGACTTCGGGGATCACACAACCACCCGTACAAGCCAGTACGTACGCTGGGGTGTACAAGTCCACTCTGGGGGTCGTGGCGCGTAGCACATCGTGGGACCTGTGCGCCGGCGGGTTGGTGAATTGGTGAACAGTACTTGGTGGGACCCTTCTGCACCAGACAGAAGAATTTAACGAGCCTGCAGAAAACTAGGGCGCCTGCAGATAAGATGCATCCATCCCTCAGTCGCCGGCAGTTACGCCGGCGCCCTCCTCCTCCTCCTCCTCCTCCTCCTCCTCCTCTGTGTATCATGCGCCGCCGCGGGATCCCGTGCGCCGCCGCCTTGCCCTTCCTCCTCCTCCTCCTCCTCCTCCTCCTCCTCTGTGTTGCCGGCGGCGCCGCGGCGAGTTGTCCCTACGACATCGACGGCGCCACCAGGATCATCCCGACGGGATGCTACGCGAACGCGACAGCGGCCACGACCGGCTGCTGCTGGTACGTATTCGCCTCCTACATGTACGCCGCGATCCGCTACGCCAACCTCACCGGCACCGCCTTCCTCCCTGAAGCCACCGCAAGAACCTGCACCACTGATTTCTCCAGCTACGCTGTTCGCCAAGGGCTCGTGGTGCCGTCGCTGCTCCTCTCCGGCGACCGCTGCAACCTTGCCGGCGATCCGATCAAGTTCGCCGCCGGCAGTCGTCCCTGCCAGTTCTCCAAGATCTCCGATGTCTTCTCCGCGGTGGATCTCTCCAACGGCACCCGGCTGTGCACCGCCACCCGCCGGAACCTCACCGACGACCAGTTTTCCTGCGTCGCCTGCCAGAACGCCGTCATCGCCGCCACCTTTGCACTCTTCGACGCCACTCGCAGCAAGGAGATGGTTCCCTGCGGCATGGCCGCCACCATGGGGATTTGGGTCTCCACTGTCCCCGATATCGGCCGATTCAGATCCTACGTCCTGTGTATGGTCCAGATCCTGGAGAATGTCGGCAACCTCGGCACCGGCAACATCATCCCTTCCTCCCCGCGACCTCCCCCGTTGCCGTCTCCTCCGGCGTCCTTGCCTTCTTCGTCCTCCGGCGGAGGCTCTCGGATAGCGAAGATTGCCGCCGGATCGGTGTCCGGTGTGGTCATCCTCGTCGCCGGCGTCTCCTTCCTGGTCCTCGCCCTGATTCGCAGGCGGAAGAGGTCCCTCGCCAGCGTCACCACCGATCTAGAGTTCACGGTGCCGATCGACCGCCCCCTGCCGACGGAGGGACTCTACATCTTCACCATGAGCGAGCTCAAGCAGGCGACGTCTGGTTTCCACAGCCGTAATCTCCTCGGGGAGGGCGGCGCGGGGAAGGTCTACCTGGGGACGCTCCCCAGCGGGCAGCAGGTGGCGATCAAGCGCATCCACCGGAAGAAGCGGAAGCTTGGCGAGTTCTACAGGGAGGTGGAGGTGGTTGCCAAGCTCCGCCACCGCAAGCTCACTACGCTGGTCGGATACTGCCTCCAGAGCAAGGGCCACGCCCTGGTCTACGAGTACATGCCCGGCGGGAACCTCTCCGCCGCACTCAGCAGGGGAGATCTCCCCTGGCGGCGCCGCCTGCTCATCGCCGGCGACGTCGCCGAGGCCCTCGCCTACCTCCACGACCTCCCCGATGGCGCCGTCGTCCACCGCGACGTGAAGCCCACCAACGTCCTCCTCGCCGGCGACGGCACCGCCAAGCTCTCCGACTTCGGCGTCTCCAAGGTCGTCCCGCCGGGAACCTCCCACGTCTCGACGGAGGTCAAGGGAACACGCGGCTACCTCGACCCCGAGTACTTCGGCGCCGGGAAGGTCTCCAAGGCCGCAGACGTCTACAGCTTTGGGGTGATGCTGCTGCAACTCCTCACGGGGACTAAGGCGGTGGTGGAGACGCCCTCAGGGGGGCAGCAGTCCATCGTGCAGGCGGCGCGCGCAGTGAGCGGCGGCGCCACCGCCATCGTTGACCACCGGCTCGCGGCGGAGTGCGACGGTGACTCCCTCGAGGAGGTCTTCCAGCTCGCCTGCCGCTGCGTGAAGCCGTACAAGGACGAGCGGCCGCGCATGGCGGACGTGCTCTCCGTGCTCCGCGGCGTACTCGCCGTTGTAGAGGCCACGCCGGTGGGCCCCACCAGCGGCGCCGCCCTGACGCCGGTGGGCCCCACCGGCGGCGCTCCCTTTCCTAGCCGAGGGGATTCCCCGCCGACGACGGCGGAGCCGTCCACGTCGTCTTCTTCCTTCTGACGAGCCATCGTCGCCTCCGCGGCGGCGTACAAGCCCGCCGCCACCGTCGATTTTGGGAAGCGTGGCGTACTGGACCCCATTTTTTTCTTAACCCCTCGTTCGGACATTGTTTTATTTATCTCCTTTTTGGTCCCACGTTCGTGAATGGCGCCAGCAGCAACCGCGTTTCCTCCGAGTCGTTCACGAAGGACTGTTGCTCAATAAATAAAGTAGGCGAGGGACTTTTCTAACATTTTCTGGGCTGGGATCGGCCGCTCTTTCCCTTTCACTCTGACGGAAGCCGACCCGAGCCTGATCAATACTTAAATCGTTCCTGTTTTCCGAGTCAAGCCCACTCCGCTTCCGTCCTCCCAACAGAGATCACAGAACGTAGAGTACGCGACTCGGCGATGGAGACCCATGGCGCCGCCACGTCTGGTCAACTCGGTTCGGCCGATTGGTTCCGGCGACTTGGTCACCTACCCCCTTTCCCGCGGGCGTTGACGATCCGAATCCTTCCAAGAGCTACCCCCTGCTCGCCTTCAATGGCCGTCGGCGCGCTGAAGAGAAAACGGGCCACCTAATCGCTGACCGTTTCAAAAATTTCCCACAACGACTGACCCCGAAGACGGCGGGACAGTCGGTCCTTGACTGGTCAAACTCGGGAGGGATCGCATCATAAATGCGAGAATTAGTATGTGCACGTCGGGCCGCTAATTACAAGGCTTTTCCCGCCGCTAATTAAGGTAAAAAGCGTGATTAAAATAAATAAATAAATGCCCTATTTTCCTACCGGCGGTAATTATTGGAGTTGGCCGCAACCTGTGAACCGACGAAAGGCTCGTAATATCGGTTTTGGATTCGACCCAAGGAAGTCTGCGTTGTTGGCCCACCTTATAAATAATAATACATGTGTAGAGAGAGAGAGAGAGAGAGAGAGAAAGGAGGAAGAAGTACGCGTATCTTACGCGTAGGCATATACGTGGTTCGGGCCGGATGAAGCTAATCTTTTGTTCCGAGCCCATTTAATCATGGGCATAATGGGCCTAAATTCCCTGCTATTGGGCCAATTAAACCCAAGATAAAACGGCTCTTGGTTTTAGTCTCATAAATCGGTTGAAAGATTATCGTCACCTATATATTTTTTTATGATATGAAAGTGATGGACGGAATGTACATGGAATATTCAGCTTTGTTAATTATGTTATCTTCATTTTCTTAAAATGACAAAATGGCTCAAAAGTCATTGTTACTGAATTATAATATTTTTAATTGTTATGTTGAATATAAGTCGATGTAAGACCTGTTGAGAGGAAATTCTACGTGCAGAAAAAGGGGAAAATATCATCCAGAAATAGAATAAATAAAACTCTTGATTTGATTTGTCAGGAAATAGTATTTAAATGATACAACAATGGTGTAAAATATGTTATAAAGTGAAATATAAATCTTGCCTGAAGAGATATGCACAGAAGTAAGATATCAATTACTTTGAAACTTTTTCTAATGTTGTAAGATTTGAAAAACATGTTGTATTATTTTAATTTTAGTAGTAAAAATGAAATGATGAGTATTTTAATTTGATCTTAAATCAGTATTTTTAAAATGATTACTTTGATGAAGACATATATGTTGAGCAACCATAGAGTTTATTAGTGATGGAATAGTTAATAAAGTATGTAAATTGAATAATATATTCTATAGACTCAAGTACTAAAAGTATGGTATAGCAGAATTAATTCATATTTTAATGAGTATATTTTTCATCAAAGTGATAATGAGTTAAAATCTTATGCCAAAACTCTAAGAAAAATATATTTTCATTATATGTGTTTGTGTTGATGATATTATACATATGAAATCATCTTCGTCATTAGCTTGAGAATTGAATACTCTTATAATATCTAATTTTGATATAAAGAATTTGGGATTACTTCATTATTTTTTTTGAAATTTAAATTATTCATAATAATTATGTATATTAATTTCACAAGAGAAATATGTATTTGATCTACTCATGAATTTTAGTATGTTCAATTACAAGGCTCATTTCATTCCTATGAATACTAATTACAAATTATGACTTCGTGATGGGGACTAAACTATATATATATATATATATATATAAGTTTCATTAGTGGGTTAATATATTTAACTCATGGGTAGCATCATATAATATTTTTAATTAGTATGATTTCAAGATTTATGTATTATGTATCAGTTCATTATCTTGGAGTACCAAAAAAATTATTTCATATATTTAAGGGACCATCAATTATGTGATCTTATATCAACATATGTTTGCAATTTCTTCAAAGTGGAAAAGCAACAATGACCTAATAGTTTATTTGGTGCCAAGTGGTGGCATAAACTTTTGAAGACGTAGAGAAGGTGAGGCAAAGATCAATTCTTCTTTCAATGTCTAAAGTCCCACACTTTCAAGTGCCTCTACACAACTTCCTAGTTCATAGATCCTTCACAACGAAACTTTAAAATTTATATTTTTTTTTTACAATGGTTAAACATGTTCTATTGACGATAGAAAAAATACTAGTGGCTTTGTTTTCAATTTTTATTTTCATAAAACTTCATAAATCTTCTAAAAAATATATATATACAATACTATCATCATCATAAAAAAAAATATAATACTACATCAATGACTACATGAAAAGTAATATGAATGTATTCTTTTTTTTTAAGTTGTCAATTTTTCACAATCAACACCTACTTTGATTTATTATGACAACAAATAAATTCATAGAAGAATGAACCATATAGAAAATTGTCATCATTTTATTATGGATTTATTGTTGTTAATCTTATTACGACAAAGTTTTACTCAATAATTGGTCAAGTTGCATATGTCCTTACAAAGTCATTTAGTTGTATTAAAATATTTAAAATTTGAGAATTACTTGGTATTTTGTATTGAGAGGGAGTGTTAATATCTAATGCAACATAGATAAAAAAAAAATTATTACCATTTTTTGTCATTATTGGGTGTGGTTGCCCACTTTGAGCCATTTTTATGTCCCCCTTTAATCAATTTTTATCTCCCTTCATTTATAACTCTTCGATACATTTTTAATTTTAGACATTTTCTTCCTCAAATTGATTCATTTTCTCCATGGTTAATAGTTCTATTTTCCTTACAAGCGGTATCATTTGAATGATAATCATGCTTATATATTTTTTCCCAATACCTAAGTGATGGATGGAATGTATATGAAATATTCAGCTCTATTAATTATGCTCTATTAATTTCCTTAAAAATGACAATATAATATTTTTTGTCCAAAGTCCTCATTCATAAGTTATTATCTTTTTAAGTCATAATTATTATTAAGTTCCTATTTTCAAGTCCTAATTATTTGCCAATGTGAAAAAAAATGTGACTTGTTTTATTGAAAAATCCAAATAGTATGGAAGATTACGAGATTTGGAGGTTCGCACGAGGGTAAAAATGTCACTCAAGTCTATGCTTGGGAGATAGAACGGATAGACAACATATACGGAGGCTTAATTGTAGTTATCTTATTATTTAGGGACTAGATCCGAAAAAACCCCAAAAAACAACGCACTCACCCGCTGGTTTCAGTGTGTTACACTGCCCCTGCGGAACTCCCACGTGTGACCCCGTTTTAAACTAACGGCCACATGATTCTTTTACAAACACTTCGGTGTAATGGTTTTTAGCCATATTATAATAAAAATGTTTTTTGTAAAATAAAATATATTTTCATTAATAAGATAATACCAACGGTGATCAAATCATATATAAAAAATTAAATCAATTTATTTTGATGGGCCGGCTTCCCCGTCTCTCTCCGGGGGAACACTTTAGGGGGTGGAGATCGCGGAGGAGCACGTGAAACCCATCTTCTACAAGACAAAGAAGATCCCGCTATGGTGTGTGGATAAGGCCTTCTGCTTCTGCCTTCGCTCTCCCCCCGCGACTGCGAGCAGCTCCCTCTACCGGCGATGGCGGCTCCCGCAGCGTTGACCCTCGGAACGCCCTGCGCAGGCCTAGCCGGCGCTGCTTCAAGCCAGGGCGAGAGACCCTGCTTCGCCAGAGTGCCGGCGCGGCGTCTGCATTCTGGTTGCTTCCTCAGTAGGAATGGCGCGATTCAATCCTTCAGCAACAGGGGGACGGCGCGCTCTTCAATATCTTCCTCGAGGGCTGTTGCTCTCGATTCCGACCAATTGGGATCCTCTCCGCCCCTTGCTGAGGTAACCTCGGTCGCCTAGATCCGTTCTGTTTTCCATGTTTTAGATCGCGCATGAGCTCAGCTGAGGAGATTTTAGGGTAGATTCAATCTCCGTTCTCCGTCTCTGATAATCTTTACCTACTGGACGTCACATTTTCTATTAGTTTTGATTTATGAGTTCTTCCAGGGGGGATTTCTGTGCGGATTCATGGCGAAAAGTACTGTCTCTTCCTAGGGGTAGGGTTTCTGATGATTTTCTCCGTGCGCGGTGCAGGCGAAGCCGATCAAGTACTACTTCTTGGTGGCGAACGCGAAGTTCATGCTGGACGAGGAGGAGCACTTCCAGGAGCAGCTGTCGGAGAGGCTACGCCTCTTTGGAGAACGCGGGCGAGAGCAGGATTTCTGGCTCGTCATCGAGCCCAAGTTCCTGGACAAGTTCCCCAACGTCACCAAGAGGCTGAAGAGGCCCGCCGTCGCGCTCGTCTCCACCGATGCCCCCTGGATCACGTAAGCTCCCCCGTCTCCCGTCATTCCTGCTGTTACTCTTTGCTCGATTCCGCAAACCCTAGCAGAAACCGATCAGAACCGTGTCTGGATCTGAAGCGGGAGGATGACTCAATCGTAATAGTAGCTTCTAAGCCTCTCATCTGCCGAACTTGTCGAACTCAGCCCCCTCCTTCCTTCTGCGACCGATTGATCGATGCAGACGTATTCTGTTCTTCCTGTGACTGAACATCTCAAACGAATACCTCTTGTTCAATCTCACCCGGGGATTTTCGCTGTTCCTGGGCAGCCCACATCAGATTTCTATGAAAACTCACCTGCAATTCACTCCTCAGCTACTGTTTTTCGTAAAAATTTCTTCGAGTTGATTCCATCTGTTTCCCTCAACCCGTGATTATGATCATTCGGACTGAATGAACCCTATCCGTGTCTGATTGATTCACAAAGAATAATAAAAAAATCCCTCGAGATTTTCTCTGAATCGACATCATTTTTCTAAGAATCGACAGCTCAGTCAGATTTTTTTTTCTTTTTTTTTTCCTCTCGATTTCGATCTGTTTCTATCAGACTTTGCTTACAACGATGGTGATTGGATCCTCAGGTTCATGAAGCTGAGGCTGGACAGGGTTCTAGCGGAGAGCTTTGAGTCCGACAACCTCGCGGAGGCCCTGGCCTCCACTCCCGTTGACCTCCACTTCGAGAAGCCCCAGAACTGGGTCGCTCCATACCCCAAGTACGAGTCTGGTTGGTGGGAGCGCTTTCTCCCTCCAAGATCCTCGGAATCGGAGGCATGAACCAGGAACAGGAAGCAGCCATCAGCCCCCTCCAGCAGAAGCTCTTGGATTGCCGTTTCTGTAGCACAAACAGTGGCAGGGAGATGCTTGCGAGCAGCTGCTATTTTTTCCATGTAGAGATGGGTCTGGATTTCCCGAAGTAGCTCAGTTCCGAGTCCTGTTTTAAGTTTTGCTCCATCTGTATTGATTCATCGTCTTCTCCATGATTATGATCATTAGCATTCAACGAAGCGCCCCCCCCCTCCCACTGAAAGATAAATCCAGTGATCGATCCGCTAGGGTTTATGGAATAATCAGTCCCCCTGTGAACAAGAAAAATGAAAAACTTTGCTGCTTACTTACGGCCAGACCCAGATCACTCATCATCAGCAGACCCTTGATTCAACGTCGATAATTTCACAAAAAGAGAAGAACACTGTGTATAAAAATGGAAATCTTTGGAAGAACAGTGTGTAAAAATGGAAAATTTCGCTGTCTACTTACGGCCAGACACACATCATTCATCATCAGCAGACCCACGATTCATCGTCGATGATTTTAAAAAAAAAGAACACTCTGTATAAAAATGGAAAACTTTGCTGGCTTTTCGCATAATCGATACTACCATGATTTATCGTCGATATAATTTTTTTTTAAAAGAAAAAACTATATGATCTCTCGTGGGTCCTACTCACTGAGCACAGCCTCGTGAGTTTACACTAATCCAGATCGCGGGGGGAGAAGTGGTTGCGGGGATTGATGAGGGATCGTAGTCTTACCATGGAGCAGGAATAAATTATGATTAAAGGCCATATTTTTTTTTGATTTTCTATGATACCTATCGCTAAAATTGGAGTTTACGAGGTGAATTCAATCTTCGAAGAAAAAGGATATAAACATAAATAATATATTTCATGGTATAAGATAAAGTATTATATGTGTTAAAGAATATTATTGAAAGAATCCATATTCCGATGGTCACCATCTGGCCGGCTCGTTTCCCTCCCAACGTTTGAAAACGGCCAAAACGGGAGAGTATTTCCCGCCTGTGGGAAGTTTGGATCATCGACGTTGCGGGTTTCGATCTCCGGAGCTCTCCCTTCGCCGCATTTGCAGGTTTCCGGTCTGCATAGGGTTTCGATCTCCGGAACCCCCTCGGCGCTTGGAGGTCGACGTCGGCAGAGCCTCGTTCAGCTCCAAAGCCTCCTCCATTCTAGGGTTTCAGGGCCTTCCGCCTCGCCGCCGGGGTCTATGTGAGGATTTCGGGGAGGAGACATGTACATAAAGGAGATTTGCTTAGAGGGCTTCAAGTCCTACGCGACGAGGACGGTGGTCTCCGGCTTCGATCCCTTCTTCAACGCCATCACCGGTCTGAATGGCTCCGGCAAGTCGAATATACTCGATTCTATCTGTTTTGTGCTGGGGATCACGAACCTGCAGCAGGTTCGGGCCACTAGCCTCCAGGAGCTTGTTTATAAGCAGGGGCAGGCGGGGATAACCAAGGCGACAGTCTCAATCGTCTTTGACAATTCAGACAGGACCCGCAGTCCCCTTGGCTACGAAGACTGCCAGGAGATCACCGTGACCCGTCAGGTAAAGCCCAAAACTTCCCCATCCGCCAGCGACCTTGGATACAACGATTGGACATAATCAACTACACTTCGTATAGTGGCTCCCTTTTCTTTCACCATATTGTCTTTTAATGCTGCTTTACGAACCAAATTCTACGCGAGAACTTTGAAACCTGCCTCTTGGACCAATGTAACTCACGAAGTCAATTTTCTGTTGCGACGCGTTGTAAAAATGATTTTCAACTTAAGGTTACCTGAAGTTCTGAGTTTTTTGAATTTCCCGGATGATAACTCCGAATTTCAAATTTTCTTTTCTTTCACGGGAAAAAAACAAGTTCATGCTCTCTCTGGCATTTGAAAGCCCGTCAACTATAAAGAAAGAAGAAACAGCCTCGTGGGATGTACTTATGCATCATATCGCTTTCTCATGTCATCCTGGAAGTTCCCAGAAAGCTACGATACTTTTTTCTGCTTTATTTTTAAATATTCGTTTTAGTTTGTTTCTATTGTTTATTTTCTAGTCCCCTGGCTTTCCATACTATCACATACAAGGGAGAAATATAATTAAGCTTAAGTGGACACGGAACATGAAATTGGGAAAATAAAAGCATGCGACACGACTTGAAGGTATTGACTGATGGCAAAATTACGCTGATAATGTTCTTGCCTTGAGTCTGTGGCTGTAGATCAGTAATCGCATCATAGAAATGAATCAATTCAGAAGACATTCAGGAAAGATCGAAGTCCGGCAAGAATATGAAAGATCATTAAATTTCTATCGTAGAGTGGCCATTATATTATACGCCACTTCTGTCGTAATGCCTCTGGTTTCGAACTATTAATAGTACTAAAATGAATGCCCTCGGCTCTAACTTGTTGCATACGAGCATCTAAAAGAGCTCTGGTATTCTTCTCTGAAATTCCTGTTGTTACTTTCAAACGAAAGAGCCGTCATGTAGATCTTATTTTCTTTTTAGGATGCCTGTATATCTTCAGGAATTGAAGGGTGTGAGTCGTTACTGTAGTTACCATGGCACAACTCCCTTTGCTAATTTTAATGGTTCTATTTTGATCTGTATTCTTTTTGCATCATCCTCTACTGATTTTAGCCTGAGACTGTTTTATCTTAAGTTTCTGGGTATGCTTCAATGTACAGTCTTGCTCACATGTCTAGTGGTCATTCTATGTTGGCATTCCCTGTGACTATTTTTTTTCATGTCGGTTGCTTTCAGAGTTTAAAAACCTTAGGTGATTGTTTCTTTTTTATCTTCCCTGGAAATAGTTTTTTCTCTTTTTCTGCTTTGCGCTTTCATTGAAACTGTGTTTTCTTTGTAGATTGTTGTTGGTGGAAGAAACAAGTACCTCATCAATGGTCACCTTGCCCAACCTTCTCGTGTACAAAACCTTTTCCATTCTGTGCAGCTAAACGTTAATAACCCACATTTCCTTATCATGCAAGGACGAATAACTAAAGTCCTGAATATGAAACCTCCTGAGATCCTATCCATGCTAGAAGAGGCTGCTGGAACCAGAATGTATGAGGCGAAAAAGGAGTCCGCATTAAAGACCTTGGAGAAAAAACAGAGCAAAGTAGACGAGATAGATAAATTGCTTGACCAGGAAATCCTTCCTGCTTTAGAGAAGTTGAGGAAGGAGAGAATGCAATACATGCAATGGGCAAATGGCAACGCAGAACTAGACAGACTCAGAAGGTTCTGTATTGCATATGATTATGTGCAGGCAGAGAAGTTACGAGAAGGTATTGGTGGAAGGGTTGAAGAAATTAAGGAGAAGATTATGGATCTGGACGCCAGTACGAAAATAATGAGCTCCGAGATTCAAGAGATGGAGACGAAAGTCTCATCTTTAGCAGCAGAGAAAGAGGCAAAGATAGGTGGTGAAATAAAAAAAAATTCAGAGAAAGTGGATGCCATTTCTCGTGCTCTTGTGAAAGAAACTTCTGTTCTGAGTAATAGGGAGGAATCTCTCATGACGGAGAAAAGAGCAGCCGAAAAGGTACGAACTCTTTTCAATTCTTAAACGTCAGTTCTCTCTCTCTCTCTCTCTCTCCTTCTAGTTTGCTTAGAACTGAGAACCTTGAGGGGTTTGCCTGTTATAATGCATCATTCAATTTATTTATGCTTGCTTGGCAGATTTACAGTAGTATTGATGAAATCAAACAGTCAATTGGAGAAAGGGAGTCTGCTGTTAAAAGAGCTGTGGATGGAGCCGCTGATATTAAAAAAAAAGTAGAAAATCTTTCTAAGAACTTGGATGAACGTGAGAAAGAATACCAGGTATGCATAGTGTGCTATATATGAATTTTCTTTTCGGACATTGCGTGGTTTACTGTTGTCAGTCTCACAAAGAAACAGGTGTTTTTGTCGAATTAAGTATCTGGTTGTGCACAGGGTATACTTGCTGGCAAGAGCGGTGGGAATGATGATAAATGCCTTGAAGATCAATTGCGAGATGCAAAAGCTTCCGTTGGTGATGCAGAAACAGAGTTGAAGCAATTGAAAACAAGAATTAAACATTCTGAGAAGGAGCTGAAGGAGAAAAAAAGTCAATTAATGTCAAAATGTGAAGAGGCTGTTGCTGTTGAGAATGAACTTAATCAACGAAAAAGTGAACTAGAACAAATTAAAGCAACAATGGGATCAATTGGATACCAAGATGGACAATTGGAAGCATTGCAAAAGGTTTTATCTGATGCTTGATGCCATTTATCTTTTCATGTTTATATACATTTTGCATAGAAGTTCTTATTTATTTATTTGCCTGCCCATAATTATTTAGTTACACCTGCCACATATAGAATAACGGCTTCTTCTATTTTTATGGTCTCTGGTGTTCAGGAACGGTCTGCTGAGTTGGAGATTGTGGAGAAAGTGAAAGATGAGATCCGGATTCTTTCTGGACAGCTTGCTAACGTTGAATTTACTTACAGAGACCCTGTTAAAAATTTTGACAGATCAAAGGTGAAAGGTGTGGTTGCCAAGCTCATTAAAGTGAAGGATAGCTCCACAATGATCGCACTTGAGGTTAGTCTTCGGAGGACTAGTTTTTCCTTTTTTATATCTCATTATTGTTTTGGTAAATATTTTTGTTATAAGAAAAGTTATAATATTCGCTATACTTGGTTCTGCAGGTTGCTGCTGGAGGCAAGCTATTTAATGTTGTCGTGGACACAGAAAATACTGGAAAACAGCTTCTCCAGAATGGCGATCTGAGAAGGCGAGTGACTATAATACCGTTGAATAAAATTCAGTCCCATATTATTCCACATAGAGTGCAACAAGCTGCTGATAGACTGGTCAGTGTACATATCATTATTATTATATTAACGTTTTTTCTTCTTCTTTATTATTTTATTGCTTATGATATTTTTTATAGGTCGGTGATGGTAATGCAATGGTGGCAATTTCTTTAGTTGGCTATGATGAAGAGATCAAGGTAAGCACCTTTTTCCGTAGTCATCATGCTTTTATACTCATGATATTTGGGTTCAGTGACATTTCATGGCTAAATTAATTATTCAATTTATCAATAGTTTAACAACTTTGAACTTTTTAATTTTTCAAATTGTCTGCATAGGCATAGGAACATCACATCACTCGCATTTCCTTTTCTCAATCTTATCTTCTGATTGGTTTTGAATAGAATGTTCACTGTACATAGCAGTACTAGTTGCTCATTTAATCTTTTGGACAACCCCTAAGCACTACTATTCATTGCAGAGTGCAATGGCTTATGTCTTCGGTTCATCTTTTGTTTGTCGAAGTACTGATGCAGCAAAGGAGGTATAATCTATAGCATTTTTTTTAATATACATATTTATACGTTGGAAATAATTATCATCCTGGCGTGCTACTTGTTGATGTAAGTCTAAAGTCCATGAATTTCAAGAGAATATGGGGGTAAGGCACTGTAATTACCATGAAGGCAGCATGTACCAGCGTAAGATCTTTGTAAAACTGTATTAGGTTAAATGTCGTTTCTTTTCCGTGAATGTAATGTTTCATATTTCCTGCAACCTGAATGATGAGACAACCGTGTTTATCCGCAATATATCCCTCATGGTGCACTATCAGCAGCTGTGACATTCTGTTTGTCTTCCTATTAGTAGTTGCATAAGTTCCAATGTTTTGGCACCGTCACATCTGAACAATTGCAAACTGTTTGATGCCATTTACTGCAACATTCGCATGATAATTTTAACTTTGATTGTTTTCCAAAGCTTACACTTGTGATTTAGATGTATCAATAATGTACCTTATCCGGGTTTCCTTTTATTGTGGTTCTACCTTCCGAATTGATTACTCTAAACTTCTTGCTTTTTTAAACTTGCATTGTTTGGTTGACCTAGACATGATTTTTTAGTGGAAACATGGCCTTGCAAGGTTCTAATCGATGGTCTATCTGAATCACTGGTCAGGTGGCTTGCAATTTGATGAGGATTTTTTTTTATTGATAATGGGAATGTGATACAAACTACCTGAGTCGGATAACAAATATGTTGATCTATCATGGTTGATGATTCCAATAATATGAAGATGCAGGTTATGACGACATTTTGTTGCCATAACCAAAACTAGCTGTGCCTTTTTTGGGCACATTTATTTATTTTGGTCACCAACCTCTCACATTTCTTTAGGAGCTCTGATGTTCTCTGTCAGGTTTATCTTGTTTTGGCTTATATTATCACTTTCTATTAAAGTAAATCATTTTTCTGTTTAAAATACAAATTATTAATTGATTTGTGCAAATAAAAATTATTGGTCATATAATTCTTGGCTTTTCTTCTTGTATTTCTTACTGTTTCTTAGTATTGCCTTCCTTGATCCTTGATTGAATGATGTCTCGTATTGTACTTTACCGTATCAGACCAGATACATCTATTGAGAGAAAACCGGTTAAAAACTCATTCTTTAAAAAGCTGGACCCTTTTTCGGTATGCGTTGCGAACACTTTATTTTGAGCGTTTAATTTTGATCTGACTTTATTTTCTGACGAATAATTTTAGGTTGCTTTTCGCAAGGAAGTCTCCACCACCAGTGTAACTCTTGAAGGTGACATTTTTCAGCCAAGTGGTCTTTTAACTGGTGGCAGCCGCAGGTAAGGCTCATGCTGACATCATCCCCACTATATTTAATTTAGGCTAAAAATGTATTCAAAAGATGAACTTCTCACCTTCACAGCAGCTGAATATGAAAACTACTTTTTTGTGGGGTATCGTGAGACTACATTTTTAGCCTATGTGAAAACACTATTATTTTTGGCAAGTAACATGCTTATCTTCTCTGAATCTACAAGAAATGGATGAATGGTGGTTGCTGCCTCTGTCCAAAACCCATTCCGTCTTATGAACTCTACTATTCTTTTCAGAGGCGGTGGAGAATTGTTGAGACAGCTTCATACTTTGGCTGAAGCGGAATCAAAGCTTCAAATTCACAAAAAGAGATTGTCAGATGTAGAAGAGAAGGTTCTTGCGACTTTACATTTTTGTTAGAAAGAATAGAATCATATCTAAAGATATCATAATCAGGTTCACAATTGCTGTCCATGGATGGTTGACCATTGAACCAAATTGAGGCATATCTACCTGCAATAATATGATAAACATCAATAGTGAAATTCACGAACAAGCTAAAAATATAATTATTCTGATTAGTAACAACTGAAGTTTTTGTTTTCGTTTGTAGATTTCACAGCTTCTACCTCTTCATAAGAAGTTCATGAAACTAAAATCTCAGCTTGATCTCAAGTCCTATGATCTTTCACTCTTTCAAAGCAGAACTGAGCAGAACGAGCACAGCAAGGTCACTACCTGACCATTCCTGTTTGGTTTTTCTATGGTTTTATTGACTAATCCTTTATGGTAATTTTTTTTCATTGCTTTAGCTTGGTGAAATAGTGAAAAAGCTCGAGCAGGATCTTGAACAATTGAGACTGGGCGAGAAGAAAACGCAAATGCTGTATGATAGTTGTGTTTCTGCCGTTTCTATGCTTGAAAAATCTATCACCGATCATGGAACACACCGTGAGAAGCGACTAAATGACCTGAATAATACTATAAAGACATTGAAAGCAGACTTGCATTCTGCTTCAGTTCTGCTGAAGGTATTTATATGTGCTTTGACGGGAAACTCATGCTTGATATATCTACCTTTTTGGAATTTTAATTATATTTCTTGCTTAGCCGACTTTTTCTGTCGTTCACTACCTCATCTGAGATTCTACATGAATAGGCATTTATCTATAGGTGAAATGCTAGTATATGTGTAAGCAACCAATGCTAGAGGATGCTTTGGAAATCTATCGGAAGATTAGGAAGTGAATTGTGAATTGTCTTTCTTATGGCATTCATGCTGTCTGAAAACTAAAGAGAGCAGATGGTGCATACTGCTGTCTACAGGCTCATGCTGGGTGGTTTACGCAGAGTGAATGGTAAACATAACGGTAGATCCAACTCTAGGTCTCAAATGCTTGGTGACGGTTTATATTTCTGTCGCATTACATAAGCCATGAGTGTTCTCCATTTGATTGTAGAAGGCCCTGGGCACCACCATGAAGCTTTAACCATCCATCAATAACATTTCTCGTGAAATAGTCCATAAAAGATGTTATGCTCGAGTGATTGCTCAAGCTTCAAGTGATAGTTGAAAACTTATAAAGCCTAATTGAAACTGCTGTGAAGTGTTGGTGGTCTTGTAGACCACCAGCATGTCGGCCATGGTTGACGGCATATCTTTAGCCCCTTGTTGACGCAGCTCATCTTGTGTCCAGTTATAGGATTTATACATAATGTTGACCAACTTGTCCTTGTCAGACAATTTTTTTCTTTGTTTATAAATTATTGTGTTTTCTTCTCTTCTATGAATCTCTGCATGCAGTGGATATCCCCTGGTCCCCTGTTCCCTTTGTTTCCATCTTTTGATGACTTATTCACTTAATGCTCACTATGTGATCTATTGTTACTTCTGGCAGCCAATCATATCTTCCACCTGATGATTTTCCCTCTCTACAGACATTTTTTTCTTCTTAATCATTCTTCCATCTAGTGCGCGATGGTTTATGATGCGCTGTAGTCTTACTGAATCGTTATTTTTTTCCACTTTGTACAACGGAATTAAATTAATTTTCTTCCCGGGTTGCTGAATTTACTATTCTATTTTCTCTTTCTAGAAGTCTAGCTTCCTTCTAAACGATCTTAATCTTGGGAATCTAAACCTCTTGACATCCAGTGATTTGAGAGCTGGATACTAACTATGAAAGCAAATTTCTCGAAAAGCTTCAGATAAATAGTACCTTGAGATTTGGATCACAACACCCCTTTTTTTTTTTGAGGTGGGAGTGGGTTGGAATATTTTCTGATTTCTTCCTGTAAAAGCTTGCCATTCAGGGTAATTATTTTAGGGATCAACTTGGTGTTGATTTGTGCCCAGAACAGCAGCTCCAACTCTACTCCTTGCGACTTTAACTCCATTTTGAGACGCGTTTGTTTTGCGTGTTTCACTCTCTTACGTGCATCTCCGCTACCAGGAACATGAGAACGAAAGACAGCGGCTTGTAATGGAGAAAGATGCCTCTCTTAAGGAACTTGCTTCACTGGAAAATCAGTTGGCTTCCATACAAGTCCAGATTGGCAGCCTCACTGAAGAAGTGAACAAACAGAAAGCTGAGGTAGGTGGCGACCGGTTCTTCAGGGCCGATCGCAGGAGCCCCACCACTGTCTGATAAAGAGGCTACAAATCTCTTCAGGCTGTCTAAATCATTTGGGTTTATTTCTTTCTTTTTCTAAACGAGGCAGCGCCTCTCTCTCTCTCTCTCTCTCTGTCTGTCTGTCTCTGTCTCTGTCTCTGTGATATTGACATTCTCATGCTCATTTATTTTATTTTTTTAAAAAATGAAATGCTTTTTCCCAGGTTGGTTCCATTAAACGTGACTATGACCAAGCTGAGTCCGAGTTGAGGCTGATTCGCTCAAAGATGAAGGAATGTGATTCAGAGATCAGTGCCATTGTGAAAGAGCAGCAGAAACTTCAGCAGAAAATTAGCGATGGAAGCGTTGAGAGGAAGAAGATGGAGAATGAGGTATACTTTCGGCAGCTTTCAATGCGCGCAAGTCAACGAGAGCTACATCCATTTAAGGCTTCTATTTCAGGTGAAACGAATGGAAGTGGAAGAGAAGGACCTTGCGTCGACTGTCGACAGATTGCTTCATAAGCACAGCTGGATAGCCTCCGAAAGACAGCTGTTTGGAAGGAGCGGAACTGACTACGACTTCTCTTCTCGGGATCCCACCAGAACCAAGGAAGAGCTTGAAAAGCTTCAATCCCAGCAATCTGGGCAAGTACCCTCCTCTCGTCGCATCCATCCCGTTGACCCGACTGTGTTTTTGAGCTGAATCAGTCCGGGAGAGTGCCCGATTGACTTTACCAGCGTTCGGGGTTGACTTTTGGAGAATATTCTCGAACACCCATTACTGACAATGCTCTGGTCTGTTTCTTACAGCCTTGAAAAGAGGATCAACAAAAAGGTCATGGCGATGTTTGAGAAAGCAGAAGATGAGTACAACGACCTCATATCCAAGAAGAACATCATCGAGGCCAGTGCCCTTCGGCAATATTTCTCTCATTTTCCTGCACCGGAAAAACACCATCAGCTTCTAGTTCTCGGCTGACAACAGCTCCTCGTCCTTACAGAACGATAAGTCAAAGATCAAGATGGTCATTGAAGAGCTCGACGAGAAAAAGAGGGAGACCCTGAAGGTCACCTGGGTCAAAGTCAACAAGTGGGTGCTCCTTATGTTCCTGAATCTTGGCCCATCTCGCCACCGGATTCAGCAGGGTTCATCCTGAAAGGAATCTTCTTCGATTTTGCAGAGATTTTGGGTCGATATTCTCCACTCTTCTGCCGGGCGCCATGGCCAAGCTCGAACCTCCAGAAGGCTGTTCTTTTCTGGACGGCCTCGAGGTCCGTGTTGCATTTGGGAGCGTTTGGAAGCAGTCCCTGTCAGAGCTCAGCGGAGGGCAACGATCTCTTCTTGCTCTCTCCCTCATCTTGGCACTGCTTCTTTTCAAACCTGCACCTCTCTACATACTCGATGAGGTACCCATCGTCCCCTGTTTCCTAATTCGGCATCAATATTTCTGCTGATTCAAATACCCCTTTTATTTCAGACCCAGCACTCATTTTCGATTTTATTTGCTTACCATTTTTTGCTTTCATGCAAAATCCTTATTTTTTTATTTTTTTATATTAAAATAATTGACAATGTGAGGCAGGTGGACGCTGCTCTTGACCTCAGTCACACGCAGAACATCGGAAGGATGATCAAATCCCACTTCCCACACTCTCAGGTTCTCTCTACTGAAACTATTAATAGTAATCTCTGGGTCTCGCCCTTTTGACTGAAATTTCTCTGATTCTGGTAAAAAAAAAATTTCTTCACCAGTTCGTCGTGGTCTCCCTGAAAGAGGGAATGTTCAACAATGCAAATGTTTTGTTCCGAACCAAGTTCATCGATGGGGTCTCCACAGTCCAGAGGACAGCCACTTCAATATGATGGAGACTTGGAGCAGGTAATACAGCTGAAAACTTCTTCTCAATTATCTCGGAAAATCATATTCCTTCTAAAAAAATAAATATTTCCTCTACGAATATATTTAATGCTCCTTTCGTATCTACTTTCTGTGGCAAAAATAAAATAACATAAGATTATATATATATATATATATTATCCATCCTGGCGTAGGGTTGCCAGAGGGCCAAGGTCAGCGCTCAAGAACCCTAGAGTGGGGTCCGGAGAATTCGTCATATTTAGCTCCAGGCTACTGCTGGTTCTTTTGACTAGGTCATCCTTATTCGTTTTCAACTTCTACGCTGAACATCTTTCAAGATCTCATCTTTATAAAAAAGGGGCCTATGACTTTTCACAATTAACAATTGCTCTGCAGGTCAACTCCTTCACTTCCCGCACCTGATTGGTAAGAACCCAACACGGTCGCCGCCCCCAGCAATTGGTGTCTCTGGAGGCCTCCCTCTGTAAAGTATCCACCCGTCCAACCCCCTCCTCTCTCTCTCTCCTCTCTCTCTATCTATCCTATCTCTCTGTATACTCGTAATTTATCTTCCCGCTGCACCTTGGTCAATGCCCTATGTTTGGAAAGTGGTTGCCTTTTACTCAAGCATATATATTCAATCGCGTTGACTATTGCCTATATTTTGTGCTCGGTTGAGAAGACTTAATCATCCCCTCCTAATGCACTGAGTTCTCTTTGCTAGCACTATTTGCTTCGGTTGGGATTTATAGCATCACATTGCCCCAGATTTTATGGCATGGAGTAAGAACGGTCTCAGAGTTTGCTGGATGGAATCAGAGGTGTGTTTGAACATGATATGGGGGCAAGGTTGGGGGCCTGTTTATAGTCAACCACCCTTGATCTTCATGGGTAGTATTTGAATGTTCTTTCAGCTTGGTGTGGGGAGAAGAGGAAATCTGGCTCATTGCCCCCCCCTGATGGAGAGACGAATGATTTTACCAGGAAGAAGAGGGAGAGATCTGCGCTTGTTTCCTTGCTCCTGATCCTCGGGTTGAGAGGTGGCGAAGGTCCAGGAATTCTTTTTACAGACTTATCTGTTCCCCATGCTTACGCCGGGGGGAGCCCCGCGATCTCCCGCAGCGGCTTCCACTCCACCTTCCTCCTGCAAGTTTTGCCTCTGCACAGTGAGCTGGTGCTGCTCCAATGGCGGAGTCGTCTTCTTCATCGGAGGAGAAGACAGCGGCGGTGGGAAGAGCAGAGGAGCTTACCAATTTCCGCATTCGGCGATGACCCGGACCTTGGGGCGCAGGGTGGGGAGCAGCGCCAGGAACTGCAGCTCCGCCTTGGACAGCACCTGTCGAGTTTCAATCCATGGAGGATTTAAATAGGGTTACACAATCGAGAAGAAGGGGGAGGGGAAAAGGGAGGGGGCGACGACCTTGGCTTCAATTATCCAGAGGACGAGGCCCTTGGCGTCGGGTGGCAGCAGCGAGAGCCTGTAGTCCACCTCCGGCGGAAAGTACCACCGCGCTATAGGCTGCCTCCCCAGATGTGGCTGCAACAAAGCGTTTTTCGGGTTCCCACCCCCCCCTCTGCGTCAGTAACAGCAAGGAGAAGAAATCAAACAGCGAAGAAGACTAAGGAGAGGAAGAATGGTGGCAATGGTGGAGGGAGGTACGGACGGGGCAGACGGGGTGGATCTTGGTGAGAGTGGTCTCTGGATCGCCGAGGCCACGGGCGGACACGTCGAGGAAGCGATAGCCCTCGTAGCGGAGCCGCGTGAGGTAGCGCCCCTCGTATCCTCCCTCGTGCGGCGTGTAGAAGGCCAGCGCCTTGTGCTCCTCCACATCCGCCAGCCACCGCCCCAGGTCCGGCCGCACCAGGTCTCCTCCGATCAGCTCCGCGATCCCACACCTCACTCCCGCCGGTCGCCGCCGCCGGAGCTGCGGTGGCGGCGCCGAGATCCGCCGCCGCGTTGAGGCGATCGCCGCCGCGACGACGCTCCCCTGCGACGACGGCGGTGGCGCGCTCCTCAGGCCGCCGGCAATGGAGTTGGCCGCGCAGGACATTGTCTCTCTCTCTGTCTTTCTCTCCCCCTCTCTCTCGCTTTCTTCCCTCGTCTTCCGCAGGCGACGGAGGGTTGGCGGGGGCTTTGTGGCGGAGGAGAAGGTCCGGGTGGATTAGATGGGCCCATCGAACACCAGCCACTGGATTATATGGGCCTGTTGAACCGACCGGGCGGTCCGATTCCATCCTGGGCCATCCGTCCCACTCTTGGGCCCAATTCAATATCTGTGGGTCCCACTCAAAATTTCACCGCCATGTCGACGATTCAGCCCATTAAGACGTGCGCTGCGTTTTGGCCATCTGTCCCTTCGCGTTGACTCTTTGGGCCTTCGCGCGGGCGCACGGCGCGTGCGCGAATGCGTAAGATAAGCACGTGGATGGACGTGACTGGAGCACGGTTGATTTATAAATTTTTTTATTGTTATTATTAAATTTATTCTATAAATTGTAATTTGGATAATAATTATTTATTCGACTATCAAAATCGATCCACGTCTCGCTGGGGCCCACGCACATAATGAGCAACCTCCATCGTCAGTTCGCACGAGGATGGCCCCACAGAGAAGAAGACGAACCGCCGTATCCCACGACGGGATCCCTCTGACCTGGCGTGCGAATTCAGAATATTCCCCGGATATGACGTCATCAAATCCGACGGTCAAGAATTGGAGACCTAAGATTTTGTCAGATGAATTTAGTATAGTACGGAATGGCACTTGTCCAGACGGACACCTGTCATGGCTGTCCCCCTCTCTCTCTCTCTCTTACAGTGGTCGGGACAATGAAATCTAGAAGAAAATTCAGATATTATTTTTGGACAAACTTTCAGAAATTTCCGTATGTGAGAGTAAAAATACCTTAAATGACTGAAATAAATATTTTTATTGATAAAATAAGTTCAATACTCTCTCTCTCCATCTCTCTCTCTTTCTCTCTTTATGTATCTCTATCTCTCTCTCATTCTCTCTCTTTCTCTCTTTGTATCTCTATCTATCTCTCTCTCTTTCTCTCTTTATGTATCTCTATCTCTCTCTCTTTCTCTCTCTTTCTCTCTTTGTATCTCTATCTATCTCTCTCTCTTTCTCTTTCTCTCTCTTTCTCTCTTTGTATCTCTATCTATCTCTCTCTCTCTTTCTCTCTCTGTATCTCTATCTATCTCTCTCTCTCTTTCTCTCTCTGTATCTCTATCTATCTCTCTCCACCTCTCTCTCTATGTATCTTTATCTATCTCTCTCTCTTTCTCTCTCTGTATCTCTATCTATCTCTCTCTCTCTCTTTCTCTCTCCATCTCTCTCTCTATGTATCTTTATCTATCTCTCTCTTTCTCTCTCTATCTATCTCTCTTTCTCTTTCTCTCTCTATGTATCTCTATCTATCTCTCTTTCTCTTTCTCTCTCTATCTATCTCTCTTTCTCTCTCTCTTTATGTATCTCTATCTATCTCTCTTTCTCTTTCTCTCTCTATGTATCTCTATCTATCTCTCTCTCTCTCTTTCTCTCTCCATCTCTCTCTCTATGTATCTTTATCTATCTCTCTCTTTCTCTCTCTATCTATCTCTCTTTCTCTTTCTCTCTCTATGTATCTCTATCTATCTCTCTTTCTCTTTCTCTCTCTATGTATCTCTATCTATCTCTCTCTCTCTCTCTTTATATATATCTCTCTGACTCTCTGTCTCTCTCTCTCTACCTACCAGTCAGTCCCTTAGAAGAAGACAGAAGTGAAAGTAGTCGATGCTCGTTTTCCATCGTCTTCAAGCTCTCCGCTGGCCACCGCCGTCCGCTCCCACGCTTGAAATCCTCTCAATGAGCTGGACTCGCACGTGGCCAAAAGCTCGCCGGAGAAGACGCCGGCTGCGACGGCGGCGCCGCCGTCTAAACTTCGGCGGTGCGACTCCGCGGCCTTCTGTTACGTGTAATATGGAAGGCTTCAAGGATGCTTCCTGGGGGCGACGTAAAGGTAACGGCATGTTTAACATAAAACCCTATCAATTAAAGTATTATGTACTTCCCGTCACTTTATCGATTGGATGCTTTTATTAGGGGTATTTATGATACTAAAATATTAAATATATTATTTTAATCCGTGGTATTTATGCTGTGGGGTTATAAACATAAATACTTGAGGGCGAAGTCATATCATCACCCCCATGATAAAGAGGTACTTGTGGTTGGTTGGAGTCCTGAATAAAACAACAGGCAAGGGTGAGGGATCCACTTCCTCCGACGAGATTCTCAGGAACGCGGCGAGGGAAGGGAGGGCAGAAGTTTCATATTCTCCCACCTTCCACTGGGTTTCTTCCTTCTTACGCGGGGGGGAGCAGTCTGGAACCGCGAGAAGGCAGGCGGTCTGGGGACTGAAGCGACCACTCGGCGTTCAGGTTTGTACGGTGTGCAGTCCGTGAGGAGAGCGGTGTATGTTGGGTTTGTTTTTTTTCCTTCTGTTTCTTCACTGCTTCGTATGTTTAGGATTTTTATTTTACTTTGAACTGTTCATCCTTTGGGGTATTCAATTTTCGCTGATTATTTGATTGTTCTTTTATCTAGTTTACTTATATTTTTTGCTCCATTTTTTTCGACGTGGCTTCTTTCATTGTTCTTCGTTTATGTAAACTATTTGCCTCGTATTTCATACAGGAACTTTGATCTATTCAGATAGAGTGAAATCTGTCTGGTAGTTTGGGCATTTTGAACAAGCCCGGTTCATTCCGTGTGGCAAGAAATTTTTTTATTCTCTTTGACAGAAGGTTCCTCTAATTGATATCCAGAAAGGTTCCTGTTGCCACAAAGAATTTTATACCTTTTTTTTCCTTCTGAGGGTGGCCCTTTTCTAGGAAATACAAGCAGAATGGAGAGGTACTTGTTATCTACTATCGTCACTAGCCAGGGTGGAGGAAAATCCCTGTTGGAGAGCATGGTGTTTGCTGTTCTACCTATTGCAAAGGTCTTCACTGTGTGCTCCCTGGGGTTACTCATGGCCTCAAAGTATGTCAACATTCTACCTGCTAATGGTCGGAAGCTTCTAAACGGGGTGAGTAGTGAATAATATTTCCTTTATCTCAACAACAATGCATGAAAACCATTTTTATTCCTCGAGTTTAGATTTCAAACAGTTTCTTTTCAGGAGTTTTCAGGTACCATTCCTCTAGTTATTTTGAAATTGAATAATCTCATTAAATTGATTGTAACTTCAATAAGCTACACGAAAAACTTGTAATTCCACAGGGAGATAGCTCAGGCCGGATCAAACTCATTACTTCTGACATTTGATGTGTAGTCGAGCTCATTGCTTTTCCACTGCCTACGCTCTTGAATAACTAAAACCTTTGCAAATATCTGCTGCAGCTGGTCTTCTCTCTTCTTCTTCCTTGTCTGATTTTCTCACAACTTGGGCGAGCAATCACATTACAGAAAATGATTGAATGGTGAGTACCTTTTCTGTGTATTTTTGTTGGTGATTACAGGATCAGTTGGGTGAGACGTGACTTCAGAATTTATGCATCATTTCATAAGTACGCTATATGTTAGCCTAAAATGAGACCCTTGATAAAGGAAATAAAACCTATTGATCTGAAAAACGTTTAGATTTTATATAATTTTTTTATCTTGAGAGGCTAAAAGCATTAAATTCCTGTTGTATGGTGACTGAAAGTTCCATCAGGTTAATGTACTGCTTCTAGTTTTCTTGATGGGATAGACAGAACACGTATCTCATTCAGAGTTTCTTTTTTAAAGTAGTTGGAATTATATATTTAAAGGCTGTTGATGATGGATCTCCATTTGCAGGTGGTTTATTCCAGTCAACGTCATTCTTGCTACAATATCAGGTTCACTAATTGGTTTTATTGTTGCATCTATTATCCGGCCTCCTTATCCATATTTCAAGTTCACTATTGTACATATTGGAATTGGTAAGTTTCTTGTTTTTTCCCTAAACTTAAATGTTATATAATGAACAACAAGCTTCCGTTTTGATTTGAAGATTTCCCTACTTTATTCCCATTTTTTCCTTTGATGAACTCAGTAGTCCCTTTCTCTGCTATTTTATGCTCATGTGTTTGTTTGCATATGCCTAAAGATGTATCAAGAGAACAGTCTGGTTATTATTTCCTTAAGCAGTTTCATTTACTTACTGGAGAAGCACTTAGCAGTCTGATTCCTGCCTATGTAGACTAGTTCCATTCGGAAAATCTAAAGAAAGTATGTTGTATGCATACATAATTGATTATTGAATACTAGTAGATGTATCTGAATTAGATAATTGAAATTCTTCGTCGTTTTACTCTATTCAGATCATTCTGTCCCTCGTTATTCAGATCATTCTGTCCCTCGTTTTACTCTATGGGTGTGTAAATTCTGCACCTCATTAGAGGTGCTATGACAGGAGTTTCAAGCATCTAGATTATTGCAGAATTTACACACCCATTTATGGATGCATTCCAACCATAGAACATTTATTTTTGTTCGAAGTTAACATTTGAAAGTAACTAGGAATGGGTTTTCTCTAGTACTGATAATATTCTGCTATATGAAGGGACGATCACTTCTCGCGATATTTTGTTATTATGTCATAAATTTGGTCCACTTAATTTTTTTGGTGAAATGCAGGGAATATCGGAAATGTTCCTCTCGTTTTAATTTCTGCTTTGTGCCGAGATGCAACAAACCCTTTTGGCGACTCTGACAAATGTAGTACGGATGGGACCGCATATATCTCATTTGGACAATGGGTAAGTCTGTCCACCGAATTTATCACGATTTTCCTTTTCAATGGTTTATATTTATACTTTTAAACTAGATGTTTGGAAAACCTCTTCGTTTCTGCTTTTTTTCCTGTTCTCTGGGGGGTTTCTTCATTTATATGTTCTTCTCTTCCATAGCCTTCTCAATTTTTGTAATTTATCCTCCCAGGCACAAATTATCGCCCTCTGCCACCTATAAACTGTTGTTAATGCTTTAAATTATTAATTATTTCTAAAACTACCGAGCTAATTGTAACTGACTGTCATATTTTCTCTAGTTATTACATATCATTTTTTCTCTGTTTATGAATTTCTCACTGATCTAATCGTTTGAAAACTTCTGTTTCGTGTGGCATTGGAGGTTGGTTAACAATATCTTAAATTATTCGTACATAGATGACATCTCCCAGGAAACATAAAGTTGTACCTCAAAGTATGTTCTTGTGGCAGGTTGGCGCCATTGTTCTGTACACATTCGTGTTTCAGATGCTTTCACCTCCGCCTGGAGGCTCCTTTGATTGTCCCACAGAGGAAAAGCTTCCGATTAAAAACCGTCACTCTAATCCTTCACCAGAGCAGGTGCCTCTACTAACTGCGCAAGCGCTTGAGCCATCAGAGCTTTCTTCTAGGGGAGGAAAGGTAGAAATTTATGAAATTAATCTGGTAACTTCATTCTTTTATGTTTTCTGAATATGTTAAAGGATCTGAAGGAAGTCTGGCAAGCAAAACTTGTCTCTCGATAATATTCATAATTGTAATGCTCAGCTTCTTTTCCTCGATTTTTTAAATGAGTTGTTACAATATCAAAAATGCTTCTTATGTCTCCACATAATTGCGAGGTTACTTAAAATGCAACTAAAGGTGTTTTTTTTAGCCGCTCAGCACCAAGTGGACTCTCATTCTATGCACACTTGAGTCAAACGGAACTTGTTCATGACTCTAAATAATACACTCTATGTTTTTGGAACTATGATCATAGTCTACCTCATTAAATTGATGAGCAGTGGCATGTTTTTGCTTCCAAGGTTGGTTTGAGCGCATGCTTTGATTTTCTAGCGAGTAGAAACTCGGTAAATGTTCTTCTAATCCCTTGCAAGTGCCGGAGTACTCTTGAGGTTGATCTACTGACGTCCTCACAGACGCCATCTCTCAAAAGTGGGCAAGGACGAAATGATAACACTATTCTGTTAAAAAAAGGACTTTTTGAAGGATTCGTACTCCCAACATATTCTACCCGGGGAATGAAAAATACTGTAAAACATTGGATTCTGTTGTCAAGGGAATTTAAAATATGATAAATTTATTGACTTTTGTTAAACTTTTTAATGTAGATAAAATTCGTTAATTATTGTTTTTCTGTTCCAGATGACTAGCATCTTGTGGTTTTTGATGGAAAAGCTGAAGTTGAAGCAGATTCTTCAGCCACCCATAGTTGCATCTGTAAGTTGGCCGCCTAAACCTGACTCAGTACAAGATTATTCTACTGTGCAATTATACTGTTTTCTGCCTTTAGAAAATCTCAAGTCCCCGGTAAGATTCCGGGAGAACATTAAATTTGAAGGATGAATTCCTACGGATAATTTGTTTCTTGAATAGTGGCTGCATTATGTCCTTTGTAGTTCATTGCTGATTTATTTCCAGATCAACTGACTCAACTATCTTGGTCATGCTTCTTGAACCAACCAACGCTCTAGAAGGAAAGTGACCAAATTTTATGATGATTCACTTCTATATACTCAGCTGAATCATAATCTAGAGAGAAGGCCAATCGAGTAATTTTGTAGATGACTCCAAGTCATTCGAAAAACTATTATTGTTCTCTCTCTCTCTCTCTCTCTATATATATATATATATATATATATATATATATAGATTCTACGTGCACGTGTGATGCTCTTCAGTGATTTTGAGGTTGTTCTGTGATGGAATTTTTTTAGTTTAGATGCTCATCTATTTTAAGAGGTAGCAACTTAAAATCAACTGATCAATGTTCTTGCAATTTAACGTATGCTTTTTGCTTGTCACAGATTCTGGCCTTGGTTATTGGAACCATACCTTTTCTGAAGCGCTTGATTCTCACGGATGATGCTCCGTTCTTCTTTTTCACTGATAGCTGCATCATTCTGGGGTACGCCAATTGATTTGCATAATTTATCTTGGACAGTTCAAGTTCATTCTTACCACGGGTGTTTTTTCTGTTAAGCTACTTTCGATGATCGATGACATATGAAATTAAGCTACTATTTTATGCTTTTAAATCAATCTTCAGCTTTTTACTTCCATTAGTCATGCTGGGAAATGAAATAGTGCTTATTTTATGTTAGATTGTAGTTTTAGTAGGAGTTCCATGCCACATACTTCACAAGACTGACAAATATGAATAATCTTTCAATTAAATTATGTTCAAATATTTTTTAAAACGGATCTCTCTCTCTCTCTCTCTCTCTCTCTCTCTCTCTCTCTTCCAGTACCATCATTTTAGGGTTTATGTAAATTTTTAGAACTGTAAGATGGGCAGTTTGTAAATGAAATGTATTCTAATAAATATGATGATATGAGGGAACCTTCATAATCTTTAATCAAATATGAGAAATTATGAGCATATATTTTATTGTGCTTCCTTTGATTTTCACCTGAACCTGTTGGCAATGTCTACACAATTTGCCCTGGCTCAACAGCTTTCCTTATTCTATTCTAAATACATCCTCACATTTTGTTTTTTGCGTCTCATAATTCGGGAACTCTTGTAATTATTCTCCATCTTGTAATTATTCCTTTTAAGGACATAAATGCAACTTTATTATTTTCATTTAATGAAAATATATATTTCATGGCATATGAAAACCCCAAAGTCCTATCTAATTAACTTTAGATGAATATTTATAAACTCTCCTCTCTCATGAAACTGCATATTATTGAAATGGAAGAAAATTTATAGTTATTATATATTCACTTTAGTTCAAATAATAATATTAGAATAAATTAAAATTTCATCTAGAAGTCCCATGGATGAGCTAATCTAGTTTCATCTTGATGCTTCGTTGCTCACAGACTTGGTATGATCATGTCGATGCATGGAAGTCTTCATCTCACAATAGTCTTGATTAATGGCAGGGAAGCAATGATTCCGTGCATTTTGCTGGCTCTGGGGGGTAACCTTATCGACGGTAAGTCCATTCCACTTCTATAAATATCCTCAGTTTCTCTCTCCCTTCTTCTGCCCGTCTTCTCCTCATTAAAAAAAAAAGTCAACCCTCCTTCGAAGAACTCAGTTGAACTGAGATCGTCGACAGCGATCTCTTCATGGGGACGCTGTGATTTCTGGGCGAAATCTAACAGTTCCCAGATCCCAGCCAGGGAGAAGACGGAATCAATGGTTGACCTTTCCCGTGTTCCTCGGCTGTTCTTCAGGGCCCGGAAGCTCGAAGCTGGGGATTCGGACAACGGCCGCCATCATATTCGCCCGCCTGGTGCTGGTTCCGCCGACGGGGCTCGGCATCGTCTCCTTAGCGGAGAAGCTGGGTTTCTTCCCCAGAGGGGACAAGATGTTCAAGTTCGTCCTCCTCCTTCAGCACTCCATGCCCACTTCGGTTCTCTCAGGTGATCTTTTTAATCCGCAGCCTTCCTTTGGGTGATCTCTGATTGGGAGGAGATTGAGGGGTCTAGAGTTGACTTAGCCGCGGGCTGGAGGCCTCCCCGGCGTTGACCATCCCAGCTCGGGACCACAACACACGAACTCAAAGTAGCTAAGAAGTCAGAATCTCGTTGAGAAATAAAGAAACATTAGATTCCCATCAAGGTTCTTGGTGTTGGCTTTCCCTTCCTGTAAACATCAAGAAAAAGCTGATTTTTTTCGTAGTTTTTACCGATTCCCATGCTTGTATCATCCTCTCTCTCTCTCTCTCTCTCTCTCTCTCTCTCTCTCTTCCTCTCTCACCTTGATATCAGAGTGATTAGACCGACATTGACCAGGATGCTCGCTCCTCTTTTCCAACTGACTCCAGGTGCCGTCGCTAATCTGAAGGGCTGCGGGCGGGAGGCAGCGGCGGTGCTCTTCTGGGTCCACGTCTTCGCGGTTTTCTCAATGGCTGGATGGATCGTTCTCTATCTAAACTTACTCTTCTGAACTCTCTCTCTCTCTCTCTCTCTCTCTCTCTCCCTTCAACTGGGCAACCCAGTGTAGATTCTCCTCGAGAAGGATGCTGGTTTAGCAATCTCTCTCATCGGACTAGGTCAGCTGTATATCAAGAGAAGGAAAACCACATATCTGGGCGATCTCATCGCCGAGAATTCTCGGCGAGTAAAGTGTGGGTCCCCTGCAATTTCCTCCTGATGAACAGAAACTCCCTTTGTGTTATATGTATATATATGGTCCGCCGTCTAGAGAGATAGAGGGGCTACTTTCTCTCTCCTCGTGGAGCGTGCTCATTGGCGAGAAAATACTAATTCGCTTTCAGGGACTAGGCCTCAGAGTGGGCCCAAAACCTAGAGAAAGTCAGAGATCCCCGGGTAAGGAGAGTGGTCCTCTCTCACATTCAGACAAAAGCTATTTTCTCTCACCTCTTTCATGGTCCTCGCCAAATTTGTCCACCCTCTTTCTCTGCGTTACCATAGTTTTAACTAAGTTTAGTAATATGGGCGGGGTTTACCAACGTTCCGGGCTAGCACTGGGCCCGTCACTGCCCGTTGACTCCCATCTCTCTCTCTCTCTGTCTCTCCGTCCTCGGAAGGAAGCGCTAGTAGTTCTTGGGGTCGTCTAGATTTTCTGTTTCTCGTGAAGGGAGCCCAAGCTCTGCGATTAATCTAGGGCAAGGTGACAACCGTGCAAACCCTAGAAAAAACTAGACCGAGAGAGATGCCCGATACGTCTTCGTAAGGCATGATCCTGCATGAAGCCGTCAGAGAGAGAGAGAGAGAGAGAGAGAATCCCGCAACTAGTTGAGAAGGATAGATGATCATAAACGGGTGACTACAAAAAACCCTCCCCGACGTACTTCCACTGCTGCTATCGCTGGAACACACGGAACCCTTGCTCTTTCTCTCTCTCTCTCTCATCTCTGTATATCGATCTTGGTGACGGTGTGGCACGAGGAAGAGGGTACGTACGAGAGATGGGAGGGGCCATTCACATCCGACAGCGTTCTCTGCTCCGAAGATTAATTCTAGCATGCGGTGGGTGCCCTAACGCAGGGCTCACAGATTATAAAGGGAGGCATCGATGGGCTTCAGACAGATTCCGCTCCCACTGCATGATGCCACCGAGAGTACACATTGAACTGACAGGACAAACCCAGTCATGTCGGCCCCGAAAACGATGTACCTCAGAGAGAGAGGGAGAGGGAGAGAGAGGGAGAGAGAGAGGTGTTCCCGCGGCAGGAAACAAGGGTGATGTCTCAAAAGCGCAGGAATACTTTTGGATTTATAAGATACGATCAATGACCTGTTAGCAAGAGAGAGAAGCGCGCCCACGAAGTGATGTCGGAAAGTCGGGATGACTTTCTCAGATTTGTACATGAGAGCGTGGTGAGAGAGAGAGAGAGAGAGAGAGAGAGGCGTGCCCATGCCGGAGGAAATGAGAATGACGTCTGAAAGTAGAGAGGACTTTCTCAGATTAGTAAGATTACATGGTACATGAGTGCTAAAGAGAGAGAGAGAGAGAGAGCGTGCCCATGCGAGAGGAAACAAGATTGATGTCTGCAAGTAGGGATCACTATCTCAGATTTGTAAGGTTACATGACATTGTGGTGAGAGAGAGAGAGAGAGAGAGAGAGAGAGAGAGAGAGGGGGACCTCGAGAGAGAGGAAGGAGCTCCCTTCAGTCCAAGCATGGGAGGGAAGGGGTGAAATCGTCTCCCGCGTCATTCGTTCATCCACAAGGTGGTACAGGGGTCACAGTTACACGTTGCCCCACTCGTCCGTTTCCACCGAGTGTTCGAATGAATGAATCGGCAGACGATTCGAAACCCTAAACCCGTCCATGAGTGGACTGAAGAAAGCTCTTTCCAACTCTCTGAAAGAGAAATAGTGAATGATGAGAGAGAAGCGTGAATGCCACAACATCAGGCTGACGAAGGACGACGCTCTTTCTTACCCACTCTTCCTCCCGGCGAACCCTTCTGAAAAACTCGCAACCAAAACTGTACGCAACAGGGAGCGTGTATGAGAGAGAGAGAGAGAGAGAGAGAGAGAGAGAGAGAGAGAGAGAGAGAGAGAGAGAGAGAGAGAGAGAGAGAGAGCTTAATTACGTTCAAGTTGACCTCGAACATCTCCATAAAAACCCACTTGAATCCACCAGTGAAAGAAGAGATCGACGAAGAGGATCAACGAAAGACCCACTCGGCTCCCAATTACCGTTCTGAAGAAGCTTCCGACAGCGAAGACGACATCAACGGATGACAAAAGACGAGGAAAAAAGGCGCAAGAGATCAGACAACCCAAGGACGAGCAGAGCAGTGAAGCTCAATCCAACCCAGCAAAGGATTTCAAAGGTTTACTTAAACTCCGGACCCAGTTTACTTCCGTAGAAGCTCAATCTGACGAGAAGAATATCCAGAGACTCTGGAAAAACACTGGTTTTCACTCCGTCTACTGCGACGCAGTACGTCACGAGCTCATTAATAGCAGTAGGCGGGTGAAGAGACCAGTAACTCGGGGAACCTCAAACGGTATGCAGAGATAAATGCCGAGCAGTAGAGAGGGAAACCTTTGTGTGGGAAGCACACGAGGAAACTGATCTCACCTCAGCCCCAGCACTTGTCAGACCCCGGCCACAACTTACAGCATGAGAATCGATTTGAGATCATGAGGAAGAGATTCATCGATTAGATGCGTCTAAGAGGCAGACGATCTCCAGAAGAGAAAACCACGACAAATCTGAACGACCATCGCCGTTTCTTGGCTCCGACAAAATAACATAAATCATACGACCGTTCCCTAAAACGGTTCTTCGCGAATACTCGTTCAGAGCCTCGGAGTTGCTGATATTGCTCTCCCGTGAGCAAGGGATGTGAGAGAGAAAGATTGATAGATGAGTAAATGGAGGGCGGAGCAAGCTCATCGAATATCTTCTTAATGCAGCATAACCCTTCTGGGCGAACCCTGAGCTTCTGCGAGGTTGAAAGAGCTGCCAAAAGATCAGTTCTTGAAGAATGCCACATTCCAGCACGTCCAGCATCGTATTTGCAGCATAAGAAAGAGAAATAGAAGCGGCGGAATCGATGAAACCAAGCCGAACGAGTGATATCGCATGCTAATCGAACCATAATCTGTGGCAGACAAAAAAGAAGAGAAAAAACGATCAACCAGTCGGAGAACGAAGAACTTCCCCATGCGCTGATCGCAGGGGGGGCCTCATCCGGAACGGAGGGACAGACGAAATGGAGGAAACCCGCCGACCTCAAACATTTTCGAACCAGAGAAGGAAGATTAAGCGAGAGGGAGACATGAACCTGTTTAGGTTTCCGGCTGTTCGTCGACGAAATGCGGAAAAGAGTTAGCCCTTGAGAGAATGAGGATCTCAGCTCATACCCTGCAGGGATTGGCCATCGAACTGGGGGATGTCCCCAGGATATCCGCGTCCGGGTAGATCCAGCAGGTTAGGTTAAGCTACTTTCCTCGGGGAGAGAGGAAGTAAATAAATACGAAGGGCGCAGGGAACTGGAGCGCCTGAGGAGAAAGAAACTGCCTTTGACCGGGTTCCTTCCGGGTGGGACACTCCGGGATGGGGGTACCGCGGCTGTTCTCAGTGGCGACGGCATTTTTCTGAGTAGTAAAAGAAATAGGCGAGCTATTGCATTTTCATGGTGAACACGTATGTTCTATGTTGGTGAGTCAAAGAGTCGCTTTGATCTGCAGGAATATTCTATTCACCTCAGTTGTGTGATGGATAGAAGACTATGCTGTACTATGGTGTCTCCGATTTGTCTACCATGAAGAGAGAGAGAGAAGAGAGAGAAGGGAGCCTGTGTGAGGGAGTAATGCAACTAAACACAGAGATGTTGGAGAGAGATCAGAGGGCGTTAGAGATGTGCGAGATGGGTTTGAGCGCGTTAGAGAGAGAATGTAGATTTTATTTGATGTAAGAAGTAACCCATGAGGGATGATCAGCGAAGTTTTCTCCTATCTGCGGCTTTCAATTCATGCACAACGGCTCACATCTGCCGTCGGATCGGCAAGAATTTTCTCCACGATCGTCTCTATCGGTAGACTCATCGGATGCCCTAATTCTTGAGTCCTGCGAAAGGGCCCTCTCTCTCTTGTGGATCAAGCCGAAGCCTCTCTCAGCTGAAGGAAGCTTCCGGGAGTCTAGGAGGACGATGGGCTTTAGGTTTGGCGAAGGGCTACTGTGCCGTCAGATCCATCGAGTGTAGAGAGAGAGAGACAGAGAGAGAGAGAGAGAGACAGAGACAGAGACAGAGAGAGGAAGAGTAGAGAGAGACGTGACAACTCATGTGAAAGGAGGTCGCTTTCCTCAGGGGCTGTCCGTGCCTTGACCATCCATCTATCACCAGTCCGGGCTGACAAAGTTCGTGTCTTGGCGAGACCTTTCGCCGCCGTGGCTTTCGGGGGGCGCCTGCTCCTGCGTGACCTCTTCTCTTTTCCATCCGGCTCCCAACCCCACCCCCCCCTCCTCCCGTCGCTGCATTGAAAAGAGAAAAGAGAGAGAGAGAGAGGAGAGAGAGGAGAGAGAGGGAACGAGAGAGATAGAGATAGAGATAGATAGATACACAGCGAGAGAGAGATAGAACAGTAGAATTCCCGACATATAATAACATTTAATAAGTTAGTCCATAGGTCAATGCCCCCGGGCTGGGGGCTTAACTAAGCCCATTAAAAGCCCACTAGTCCCCAAGCCCAGCCCACACACTCAGACCCATCATCGCCCATTATACCAGCCCAGCCCACAAGATATCAGGCCCAATATGGAGGCCTCTGACCGGCCGTCAAACTCCCCAATCTCGGCTCATAAAAGGCCAATTCCAAAGGCCCAATGTCTCACAAATGGGGTTATTGGGCCACAACCAGTCACCGATTTACGGCCCATCTCCCGAGGTCTTGAGTCCCAGCATTTTTCGAGTACTATACATCTGATCCATTTTATTTAGACCCACTTGAGCGTCAACACCCATAAATTTTTTTGTCTTCCTCTACATCGTGCTAGTGGGTTGACTCTCGAGCAACTGAGGTCAACCCTTGACTCTGTCTTGGGTGTCGACAGTCAAGGTCAAAAGTGTTGACCCATGGGTGAATTCACGCCTATTTTTTTTACGCAAGCAGTAACGCCCAGCCATAAAAAGTCAATACTCCTTATAGGTGATCATGCTGACTTTCTATTTTTATACAGGGATACGAGCCGTTTCCTGGTTCCTCGGGATTCACACGGGTCAACTTTCAACCTGTCCTATCCAAAAAAGGAAGGGTGAGGGTGGGGGCGAACTGTTTCTATTTATGCACATGTTTCCATTATAGAATCAGCCAACGAGTCAACGAATCAAGAAGCAAGTCATCTACCTATATACACATCAAGCAGGCTCCTTTCAGGCCATGAGCTTCACAAATCTGCTTCTGAGAGGGGGCTTCTTGACCGCTGCATCCTGACAGTGTACGGACTAAAACTAGTAATCTTTAGGGGAGGAGGGAAAGAAGAAGAGGGGGAAGTCAACGGGGGGAGAGGGAGTAGCTGACATTAGCGTTGCTGTTGCTGGAGGACGCGCTGGGAGTGGCAGGGCCTCCTTCACTGGGGGTTGAGAGGTGGACCCACATCGTTGAGTCCTTTGAAGAGGACTCAACGGTCGTCTGCCAGAGGTCCTCGAGCTCCTTCACCACCTCTGATATCGACGGCCGATCAGCCGTCCGGGTGCTGCAGCATCGGAGGGCCAGTGCTGCAAACTTGTCAACGGAGTCAACGGGGTACGGTCCCATTTTCTTGTCAACGACTGAGGCGATCAGGCCGGCCTCGCAGGATGTCGCCACCTAGAATCGGCAGAAAAAAAGAGGTCAAAAGCCTGAACAGGAGCGGAGCTGGTCAACGGGCAGGACCCATTAGGAATTTGTGGGGCCCAGGAGAAGGTGGAGGGGGGATCTTTCGGAATGCGTAGAGTAGAAGATTAAGATGACCGCGTACCTCACGGGTGATGTTCTTCCCATGAATAACTGGACGCATCCCCGTCAACAGCTCTAGAAACACGACTCCGAGGCTGTAGACGTCGCTTCTGTCGGTCAACTGGTGCGTCAGAATGTACTCCGGATCGAGGTAGCCCTGCCATGGGAGGGGGAATTTCAGCCGGAGAAGACAGAAAGCCATCGCCAGGTGGTCATCTTCCTCTACAAAAGGATGGAGGCAAGGGAGCCTCCATCTGTTGAATTCACATCTCTCTCTCTCTCTCTCTCTGTATATATATATATATAGTAGCCAACTAAAGCTAGACTGCAAGTAACGTTTTACTTCTATTTTCTTCCTAGGAACTTGGGCACAGAGACAGAAGGCAGTCTACCAGAAAGAATCAGAAGATGAATACCTCGGTCACGTTTTGCAATTAATGCAGGATGAATATCAAAAAACATGGGATATGTTACCTACAAAATTCTCCAGGAAAGCATGACGGATGAACACATTGGACAGTATGTTAATCTTAAATTCTAACGTAATCTTACCGGAGTACCCTTCACGACAGTTGATATGTGCCCCTTTTCACTTTCTTCAGTGTCTGGTGCTGGTGCTAGCCGTGATAAACCAAAATCAGCTACTCTCGCTGTAAATTTTGAATCCAACAAAATATTGCTGGCTTTAATATCCCGGTGGAATACTGGAGGGTTTGCTTCCGTATGCAGGTACATGATTCCCCTGGCTGAGCCCAGTGCAATGTGTAATCTCATTGAAAAATTCAATGGTCTCTCAAGTTTGCCTGTTATTACCAGGGAACTTCAGCATTCAGACAGCAGATATACGTCTGGTATGAGTTTTCTTCAGAATTTCATGCATCAATGTCTGAGATTTATAGACTTGGAATGCGAATGAATGTGCTACCTTGTACTGCATTGTACAGAGAAGGTTGCCTACCTGAGAGGTGATCTCGTAGGGTGCCGTTGGGCATGAACTCATATACTAGCATCTGGAAAAAATAAAATAAAATTATAATAATAAATAACAAATAAGGTGCTAGGACTAAGTAGCAAGTGAACCCCCCAAAAAAAAAACCAATGCCCAAATGGCATCCTAAATGCGTGATATTGTGCTAAAATCTTATGATACACGTTGATAAAATAAAATGAAACTCGATTTCATTGCTGGCAATTAGAAGGAGAAAAGAATCCACACAGCGTGAAGTTGTAGAATGGAAAAGAATTTGACAAATTATCTCACAACTGGGGTGCCCAAAATCCAGTCAATACAAGAAAGATTAGTAGTAATATCCACGATGCCAAATGGAAATCATAGTGAGCAGTAGTCAGATAGACATCTGGATTTTTTAATTGCAGTCTAAAAGGGAAATCGATGCAAAATGAAAGTTATAACATAGATAACATGGCACCATAGAAATTTGTCAAATAAAAAATGAATGGGAAAATTTGAACATCGATATTGTTTTTCAGGAATGGTCTCCAAAACATGCTCATCAGCAAACCATAATAGAATGTCGAATTTTCCATGCTCTGTGAAATGGAAAAATCAATTGGACACAAAGCACGTGCAACTTCAAAGTCTTCACAACATTATTAATGCCTATCTTCCGCCCCTCTGCGTATTCAATGACGCCTACATACAATCCGTTCAAAATGCATTACCATATCTTCATTGAAAAGGAATGCCATGCTGACGACCTTCACAAAAAAAAACACTGTAACATGCAGCACCAAAGAACAAAGAATGGCAAAATGCTATAAAATGCTCATTAAATTTGACGATTGGTAATTTGTCATACGCTTCCGCATATACTAAGAGAAGCCCTCACGTGCTATTGTCATAATGCAAGTGTTTACATCCTCTACATGGAAAAGGTGAGAAAAAAACGGAAAAAAAGTGATCCAACTTCAGCACATAAGTTTCTATCTGAATCAGCAGCATGACAAAAAACATCACTTCAAAGAGGATGCATTGATATTTAGTAGTACCTGCTCATCTTCTTCATCACAAAACCCAACCATGGAAACCAGGTTTCTATGGTGCAATCTTGAGAGAAACTCTATCTCTGTGAAGAACTCTTTCGAGCCCTGTAAAGAATCTTTCTGTGCACGCTTTACAGCAACAGATGTCCCATCAGCTAAAACGCCCTTATAGACCCTCCCGTAGCCCCCTTGCCCTACCTGACTGGATCCGCAAAACTTCTTTGTAGCCACAGCCATTTCTTCAAATGTGAAGGACTTTACACCATCAATTTTTATCGACGACTTCAGCGCTGAAGGAAGAAGCAAGTGGTTAAAGAATAATAAAATCACAGAAAGATCACAATTTCTTGTAACTAGTAGCATCAAGATCCCAATATTTCCAGCGTGACAAACTATGGGAGCCTGGCCTTAGAAAAGCTAAGAATATTTATGTGTCAGAAATCGAGGGCAAAGAAACACTACTATGTAGACTATCATCAAAGATTATTTTCTTGCATGAAATTAAGTTATGAAGTTCTTGTTAAATTATCTGCAGGCATAAATTCCTGGACTGATATTCTAATGCCAAATTGACAGCTAGGACTGAGATTAGACACCATTATCCACGTACAACAGGTCCTTTCAATGGAGCAGCTAAACATTCGAGAATGATTTTCGTTATTTTGTGGTATTATACTCTGACAGACTAAATGTAAACCTAAAGGTCCTTTTAAGGTACCGAGGTGGCCACCACTTCAGGTTGAATAGAGGGTCAGATTAATTATAAATATTTCTAAAATAACTGTAGACATGAAATACTATCAAGGGTGATAAGTAATATAAAGTGTGCACGTCCGTACACAAACAAAATCACACAAATAGATATTTGCATAAAACAGCATGAATACAAAACGTTTACGTCAAATATTCCTTAGTTTTAAACAGTTGTTAATAATATATGTCAAGGTTTAGCTTTAAGACACCTGATTTGCATTAGTAAAACACTTAAGACACCTGATTCGTAGGAGGATCAACCGGGGCAGCCAATTGTCAGGTCGATTAGAGAGTCAGACTACATGTGAATTAGGAAAAACTTATATTAAGCTAGACACAGAATGCTTGGTCAAAGTTTTTCTTCCACCACTCTGCATAAAATGTATGTATGTGTATGCCTTATGTGACCAGTGATGTTCAAAAACGCCATGAATGGACATCTTTGTTTTGCACGAGGCATCTTTCACCATCGTTGTTTTGGTTTCTTTCTACAACTTTTGGTGGATAAACATAAGCAATGTTATATTGAAAATATGTTAAAAAAAAATTATATTTTACAATGTGGTGCTACAACATCTCATTTTTCTTTACAGATCATTCAGACTATAAATGACTCACCAATCGGTGTTAACTTTTTCCTTTGAATCTAACATTCATTGATTACATAAAAACTTTTCATAGTCGTCGCACCATACCCACCCTAAAAATGCATGGCAAAAGTTTTTCTCATTATGTTTATGAAAAGATAAAAGTCGAAATAAAAAAAAATCTTCTTTTGTAAAATATTCACAAGTATTAGATTATATTAAGCATTATTCCATTTGGGAAAGATATTGCATTAAAAGAAACTAAATTCTTGTCTTTTGAAGAGATACATCACTGTGAATGGATGAAAGAAAAAAGAGAATACTCAGCGCAAATATATATCACATGCTGCTGCTCTTTTTTGACTTATCAGCATATAAATCAGGAAAGAGTTTGAGTTACTTACATGATTGCCATCTTGAAATCTTATTGTAATGTCGATCATATCTTTTGACAACAAGAAGAGCAATTATTGAAACTAGAACAACTGCAACGAAAACGGCTCCCAATGCAGTCCCGATTATTGCACCTTTGCTTAGTTTTGACGCTGATTCAAGTTCCACTGAAACATTACCCAATACAGAGATCAGCTTTATCTTAAAAAAAAAAGCTACTGCCACAAATAACGTTTAAAATAACTAAAGATGGCGTGGTTGAACAAGATACGGGGATAAGGATGGTAAAATAGTAAAACTTGGGGCTAAAATGGTAAGCATTTCATTTTGCACAATTTGTGATAGAACGGTGAAATGATCCCCTCCAATCTATTAACGTCATGGTCTGATATGCAGCCAAGACCACAAAAGGGAGCTAAAACTTACCATTTTACCTCAAGTAATTAGCAAAATAGGGCTCTTTTTTACCATTATTTCCCATCTCCCCCCCGTTCCCTTGCTGCATGGCTCCCTCAAATGTACCAAAGGCACCCTCCAAACACAAACAAAATTCAGCCATGTCCTCACACTGCACCAGTGGCCAATCTTTTTGCAGCATTTTACCCATCACGATCAGCCAATAAATGACAATGTATCAGGGGTTAAAAGCCAAGAAAAATTGAAAACCTGTGTTAGATATGCCACAGGCCCCATAAAGACGAGTAAAATTTTAACTGAGATATTGAGTTAATCCTCTCCTTTTGAGTGATGCACTACTCTCAAGATAGCATTGCACATAACCCAAAATGGAAGAATCAATTTCGTCACTTCTTCCAGGTGAAATCTTTTCAAATGATTCAAGGCTAATACGTTGAACACAGATTCTTCATGTCTATGTTTTCCATTAGATGGATAATATCGGATATTCATAAAGTAAGCTATATTGAACATTATAGCATGGTTTCAGTCAGAGGATTTGTAGAACCGATCTACACTAGCTTATGCTCAGAACGTTCAATGTTTATTTTAGCACCACAGCAAATCTCAAGAGAAAACTAAACGTTCACGGTTTAAGATGAGTAAAAGAGAATTGTAACATAATAACTTTTGCGTCAGAGCTACAATGTTCAAAGCTCATATCCCTATTGCATATAAATGAAATGTTAAAGCCATTACCATTTGAATATATCCCCAAAAGTGTAAAGTTGAGCAACTCGTAAGGTCCAAAGAAGTCTTTGTTCCGTATGTTCCATTCTATGAACATGGTTTTAATTCGGAGAATCTCACTGATGTTGAACGATGAAGAGTCAGCAGGAAAAAACTTCAACTGCATCCTTAACCTTGGACCAACTTCCCAAGAATATGAGTCAATATACAGTTGATAATGAAACAGGTTCAGATCCTTAGTCAAGTATGTCTCAAACCGATCCATGTGTGGAGTGAAGTGTGAGAACCCAGGGCTTTTCAGCCGATATCCAATTCTTATTGGGGCAGCACAAAAACATCTAACAGGAGACTCAGGATTGTATTCAAAAAAATCTGCTGATGGGCAAGATTGAGGCCGGCAACCGACAGAACTATCTGAGCTTTCATGTATGTAATCTTGATGTTTAGCTTGAGGCCCGCAAAACTGAACTATTGTCAAAGCGCTTCTATTTTCACATATTGGATTTCCTTGTAGCCTGGGCATTCAAGTGACAATAATAAGAACAGCTACATGCGAGCTCATACGACTCTAAGATAATAAGTGGTAGAATAAATAGACGGAACAATGAATTTATATAGGACATATTTTCCCCAAGCCTGAATATAGTAAATGATGATGACGTTTGTCTACAAAGCTAAGGGAGAAGAAAACTCCCTTTTAATAAAACCTCATGTGCCAATTGTGACACCCCTGACACGATTCTAAGAAAGCAACAGGACAAAACAAACACATCGTTGCATTCGATTAGATTCCAAATTTTATTTACTCTCAAAGTTTTAGTGACACAATATAGAAAACGAGTAAGAAATATGCACTATCTAAGGCAAGAAAAAAGAAGAATAAAGCATGATACTACGAATTTATAGGAAAACAAAAACAAGGTATACTTCGACCTTCTCCAGGGGCAGAACTGTAATGGTTGAATATGAGTAAAATAAGTCAATTTTTTGAGTGAAAAAAGCCATGGATTTTGCTTAGTATTGCATGCACGCATTTTTTATTCGAAAACTGATGCTAGATTGACCAAGAAAGATGTGCGCGAGCTAAGGAATAAAACAACAAAACAGTGCGAAGATAGAAAGTTAACTATTAGAAGCTACAGACAGAAACTTTGAAAAGCAACGGTTGTACAGCATTGATCCTCTTTTGATAATAGACATAAAAAAATATACGTATGAATATTAGAAATGCAAAGCAAGATGAGTTAAATAGCACACATTAGAGTGACGTTTGAAGGTAGATCAATGACCCCTGAAATCTTTGTCAGCCGGTTATTTTCAAAATTCCTGCAAAAATAAACACAGTTAGTACGAAGAAACTCAAAAACTGAAGCTGACCAATTTAAATGAGACAATATTTGTTCACAAGTCTTACAAGGTGACACTTTCGTTCCGAACGAAACTGTTATTCTGCCAGATGAAAGATGGCACAGAACCAATAAGGTTATTGTTCTGAAGCGATCTAGCACAAAGATTGAAGCAGAAAGTCAAATAATTGAAAGAATAATCCGCCTGATTTGGAGTCAAAGTGCGATTCAAGCAAATGCAAGATATTGACAAGAAACGAGTTAATGGCCAGAACATGGAAAAATTTCACTACAAAAATGCAACCAGTGCAAGCGATTGATTTTCAAGGAAGAAGCAGCAGCATGCTAGTGGCGCTTAGGCAAGCTAGTATAGTAGCAATCACTGAGAGAGTGTGACTCATCCATAATTAACATGGAGTTTAAAAGTCATGTGATATCTCTACGATGGATTATATGAGTGTCACCCTACATGCTTTTCTCATTAATAGTCCTTTCTGATGAATTACTAAATGTTCAATTAACTATACTGCTAACATATGACACAGACAAGTCCCTACGCCGGTCTAGATCTGATGTCTAGAATAAACTAGGGACTAAAAATTAATTTATGATGATTGATATTAAGTTTAGAAACTTCTAGACAGATGTAATAGATAATAAAATTTAAACGCGAAGCATCATACATGACGGGAATAAATTGGCAATGCCGTTGGACGTTAAAACTATGAAATATTAATTTATAATCAGGAGAAATAATGAAAAAATAAAAAGGAACTCACATTCTCTGAAGAAAACGAAGGCCTGTGAAACTAGGAGGGATGGATCCACCAAGCATGTTGTTAGACAAGTCACTGTATAGATTTTTTACACAAAAAAGAAAAAAAAGATCATATCAATTGATTCACAAGATACTGGTCCTGATAAGATGATGAGAAGTCAAGTGACCGTATTGATATCTGTTGATAGTCTGAGAGCAACATCATTGTGCGACATCAGATGATAATAACAATCATATGTCCTATAATGGATTGACAACATTACTTACATTGTCGTGATATTGGTAGAAACTTTGTTTGCCAGTATTGTTCCATTCAACCGGTTTCGGCTCAGATCTCTGCATTTAAGTTGACAGAAGAAGATAATGACGGGAAGATACACGGACAATTATAAAACCTCGTAGATATCATTCAAAAATCACTTACAAGAAGTTAAGGTAGGGCATCCCACTAATGTCAGGCATAGATCCTTGGAGACCGCAATTCCTGAGACTCCTGTGAATCGTGCAAAAAGGAGGATTTAAACAAAAATAAATGTAAAAAATTTACTCATGTGGACTCTAAAATATATCTACAAGTAATTTTCAGATTATACAGATCATGGCACTAGAAATCCCATAATAAAGCATACAATATAGTTCGCATAATACGCATGTAACACACAATTTACGAAACAAAAACATTTTCCAAGCGTCAGCAACATGTCTCAGTCAACCCTGGGCATATGAACACTATTGACACCACTGGAAGGCAGAAAATGAACAAAATCACCTATGATCAGAGATAAATTTTAAACATAAGATCAAACAATTGGGAACAGAGTGATTGACAGAAATGCTAGACTGACTTGACGTCTACCATCATAATCCAATAAACAGGCATGGGCATGTCTCAGACTCGTACAGCATCTTCACAGACTGAACAGGATTCTCTTTAGAGAGAACACAAATATCCACTAAATTCAAAGAGCTGCCATAGGAGGGGAAAAAACGAATACTCTCTTATCGATTCAAATACAACACATTTTTTATTGATTAGAACTCTTTGTGTAAGGAATTTCAACAGCTGAGAAAGCCAGTAACCATTCAGGCCTTCGATGACTAAGTTGAATGTCGAGAATTTCTCATCAACCTTTACATAAGTACTTACCCCATAAATAATTCCAGAATTGAGCTCGGCAAAAGACTCTTTAAAGACTCGCAGGAACCAACAGAACATATTTCCTAATGAGATTTCCACATAAACAAAAAGCTAGCAGTATCAATAGAAAGCTGAGGAAAACCACCGGAAAGGCAAAGAAAATGCTGAACAGTAGCGAACATTCTAACTAAGAGAAGACATGTTCCATCATAAAAACAGTACAGTAAACATCATCTCCCTCTTCCCTGCTTTCTACTTCAGCGAGTCCGTTAGAGTGAAAGCCCAATAGAACTACATTGTCTGTGAACAGGAAAGTGGTCGGAAAAACAACGATAAGATGACAGCTTAGTACTGGCTAAGCGATTACACATAAAGAAGTTATAAATAATACCAATAAGAAATGGCATAGCGTGACATTACATGAAAGAAAAATCCTCATAAGCAGTAGAATATAGTTTTACAACCAAAACAATCGCTGCATGCATCATCACACAAACCAAATAGGATGTTCTGGTCTATCAAGTTACCGACAATTAATCATAGCAAATAAGACACTAGTGTCAAAAAAACATCGCTGTTAAACTGACTTCAAAAAAATGTAAATATATGATAAAGACTGGCTTAAGCCATCTCCCACTCCTTAGCGTCCTGAATGGCTTTCGAAATATTTAAATTGATTCTGTGATAATACTTTAAAGCCAGACTGGTCCTAATGGTTGAGCCAAAGAGAAAAGAATTGATGACCCTTGCAGTTCAACGTTTCAGCACACCCTAAGCGTTTCCAGATGAACCACTAAACCAGTTTTGGGAACATTGCCATGTTTTTTACTTCAAACTGCTTTCTGTAGCCTGCCAGAATAAATTGTAGTCTTCCTTTTCTCTTTTATTGTAATCTTTTATTTATAACCTGACCAGACCGGTCTAGTTCAGTCCCTGTACTAGGGTTTCTGACATAAATACCCGGCCTAAACGCTGATCAAGTGAGAGAGCGTCTTATTTTCCAAAATCCCTTTCGGAACTAGGGTTTGGGGGTTTCTGCGCCTGTGACAGCGCTCAACACAGCCTTTTTCCTCAACAATCGACCAAATATTAGTGCTGATAGTATGACGACTCAATTGAAGAAAAATAAAAAACACAAAGAAGAAAGCCACAATTCCGTAACGCAGATCTAGGTCAAGACCCAGACCAAAACAGCAAAAGACACTGAACAAACAGCCAAGACATTTCACAAGTCTCGTCAAAAGTTTTTTACATACAAATCAAAAGGGATGACTATACCCAGCACCTCATTCTACATTAAAAATAACTTCCTAAACTGGGCTATTTAACAGGCTTTGACCATGAAAACAAGTACACATCCATTAGCAGATGGCACTTACAGTTTTGCAAGCTTTGCCATGTTGGCGTAGGATGCTGGAATTGAGGTCCCACTGAAGTTGTTATTGTCAAGTTGACTGCAAGATCGGTATGTCAACGACAACCAAGAAAATATCAAAACATTATGATGAAATAATGTTGCGCTAAAAATTAGCCAAGAACTTTTTCATGCATCAACAATGATATATATATCCCTTACAACAGAGTAACTACAAGCTGCTTGAAATTTGAAACATTTATATAATTACTAAAGGTACACTATATAGTGTTTCTGTGAAACAAAGTTGTCAATGATAAGAAAGACAGAGGGGGGATATCTAAGCCCGTTACAATCTATAATCAATAACAATAGAACTATTCTCAAGAAGAAAAAAAAAAGAAGGCATAAGACAATCGTAAACAGGAATGCTATATGTGTCAGCTATCGTCATTCAACATCTAGATTGCTATTTTATCCAGGTGGACATGTTTATATGCTCTACTTCGTTTCAGCAAATCAAATTACACAATATGTAGACAAAAATCGTGTGACGAACACAATGCTCTGAAAAGCAGGAACCGCAGAAATCTACTGAAGTTCATATAAATGGAGGAAAAATATGAAAGAGTTTTCTTTATTTTTTAGGGTCGTAAAGGCTGTCGTTCAAACAGACATGATATCCTTTTATCCTGAAAAGTACAAAGGAACAAAGCTTGACCCTTGAGGGAAGATGTGTAGAATGTAAGCAGGTTAGTAAACCAGAAGATCCAGTTAGACTTTACCTTTGACTCAGAGGAAAAGTCGGAAAAAAAGAATAAAAAATCTTCAGTAACTTCCTCTGATTATTCCCTTCCATCAAATTCTAGTAAGAGCAGGACATTTTGCTAGACATCATAACGACGTGGTAAAATCTCTGAACCTTATTGATTATTCGGCAGCGAAAATATGGCTGAAGGATAATAGGGAGAAACGGGAATCTATAGGTGAAAATGTGATTTCAAATGAAATCAAGTCCATAAGATTCCAGAAACAAGAGGATATATGATACCCATGACACAAAAATTCTACAAACAAACTTACTATGCAGACGAATACCAGTTGATTCTGTAATGTTCAACTAGGCCTAGTTGACCATGGTTCATTGAGTCCGCAGATTGAAGCGAAAATCAGAGCTTATGCATTTAATGTAGATAAAAGCGAAAATCTGAGCAATGCAGCACTACAATAAAATAAAATGAAACTCTAAAATTCTCTATTGATGTTACAGGTCATTTTGGTCAACTCTCCATTATCTTCCTTCGGCTGAGTAGCATGTACTTGCATGGCTCTCGTTTTGCTAAGTATGAACCATGGCAAAGTAATACTCCCTTTTTTTTTGTTGTCCCCCATGAAACTAGGTTGGATACGTTTTCAATATAGGTTTTATGGTCTCTCATTACACCAGTTAGTATATGTTTTCACCATACATCAAAATCTCTGTACGAAGGAATCCGGTTTCAATACATTTAAAACCAAGATTAATCCTGTAAGAGGCAGGGCTTTTCCAAATTTACGGACACAACCATTGGCCGCTGGAAAACAAAATTAAGAGTTTGGACTCAAAACAAATTCAGAAATGACAAGAAAAAGGACCTACAGAATTAACAAGTTTGGCATTTGAGAAAGCTCTGGTGGAAGATACCCAGATAGTTTGTTATTGTCCAATAACCTGCCAAAAGATAGATGCGCATTCAAGCATAAGGGAACCAAAACTATTTCTTTGAAAATTAAAGAAGAAATATCACTATAAAGAATACATTGAGGTGATTATTGATCTTACAGGTGTACAAGGCATGGCAATCTCGAAAATTCTGGTGGAATCTGCCCACTAATCGAATTATTATTCATGTGGCTGAAAGAACATAACAGGAAAGTCTAAGTTACCATCCAAGTTTTTAACTTTCATTCCGGCCAAAGGCTGTCAAGGAATTAAAACATACAAATGCTTTGCACGTGTCAAATTTGCAAATGACTTTGGTAATGGTCCTGACATATTGTTCTCGTCTATTTGAAATCTATCCAAGCTGCGAAGATTACCAAGCTCCTCAGGAATGGAGCCAGATAACTGGTTTCCGCTCAGGAGTCTGAAAAATGCAGAATAGAAAATTAGTATCAGTTACAAATTAAATCAATATACTCATAAAAATATTGTAGTTATGCTAAGTTTCAATACAGTCTTGGGAAGAAGATCGTAAAGAGGGATAAAGACAGAACAAACCCAAGAAAAGAGGAGGTTGAGATGGTGAATGTGGAAGATAGGCAGAAGTTTTGTGAATAGGATTCAAGGTTAGGCTTTTAGAAAGTTCAGCATTTGTCGAAGAATGTAACGAATCCAGATCAACAGCAAATGGGAGTGTTCTAGATTTCTCTGCTATAGTTCTTCCAATGTCAAACAGAAGATCACACTGCAAATGAGAGGTGACAATCACACTGTGAGCGCACCAAAATGGATATTCTCACATCTGATTCAGGACCAAAGAACTCTAACAGCAAACCTGGCTCACAACGTCTATTTTAAAATACATTCTCTCCATGCTCTATGCATTTTGTTATGTTTGGTCTTTTTGATGTCAATTTGAAAGCACAGTAAAGCATACAGAAAAAAGTTTCTAAAAATATAATCTAATTGCTTTCCAGAAATGTTTCTCGTTCGGATGAAAACTATAAATATAACATAAAATATTCAGTGGAAATCTTCGTGTATTTAGCTATTACTCATTATTGCTCTTGATATCATACTTGCAACGTTTATATACTGGCATGAGTGAATGAAATTTTGAACAACTCAATCTGAAAACGGGTTTCAATCTGTTAAACCAACTTACAAGAGCTTCAAAGATGTAAGCTTGCCTATCTCCTTTGGTATGTTACCACTTATATTGTTCCACATGAAATCCCTTTCAAAGAAAAAAAAGAAAAAAATAATTAAATGAACTGATATAAGTAGTCTAAATTGATTGTGAACGAATTTAAATAACGTTCGCTTGAATAATTCCTGTCAGTAGACATGAATAAAAATCTGGGAAAAGACCAAAAAAATCCGTTCCATTTTCTTTTAATAAAGTCACAACTCACAGAACTTCCAATCGCGATAGCTGCCCAAACTCAGGTGCAATTTGTCCAGATAAATTCATATTTAGCAAGGCTCTGCATTGTAAAATGATAGCTGCACTTCAAAAGGCTAGCAGTTCATAAAAGGACTAAGCGAGGAAAGATGCATCCGAAAACCAACCATTCTGAACGAAACTGGTAAGCATCTGAATTCAATGACAATGCGAACCATAGTTGATTGAATGACAATGAACTGTTCCAGTTTTTCACATGACCATGACATGCAAAAGATAAAATAGATGCATTTTCTATCTACTTCTATCATTGGTTATAAATTTATACAAATAATATAACAAAAAACACCGATGTTTGATAATTCAACATTTTAGCTGCCGTTTTTCAATGTGTTCTAAAACTGAAGCCCCAATTAAGTATCATTTAGCATAGCTACAAACCCCGAAGATAAGAAATGAGGGTCCACACAAGCATATAAACATCACACAAAAAATGAAAGATATAAACCTTCATTTAAATAAAAAACTGAACTTAGAAAAGACAAATACCTTAAAAACGTAAACTAAAGAAAGTGATGGCCTTATTCTGAGAGTTCTAGTATCATCTGGCTACAAGTACAATGGACTGAGATTTGATCCTCTCTATTGAAATTATTTTACTTTTTAATATACTAAACCACTAAAATAATACCACAGAAATTGTTTTCCCCAAAATTAGTCACCTGTTGTCATATCAAATGCAGCGTAAGCTGCAGACTGTGAACATAATAACAGTACACGCGTCATTCATTTTCAAGCAAGCATGGTTCCAGAGACAAATTAATTCCCCTTGCATTAACAAAAGTAACAATGTACAACTTCGACGAGTAGTCTGCTACAAAATTTACTTCAGAAAAAAACTAAAGCTTTAGAAGTTGCACCAAAAATAGGGTCAAGGCCTTTACCTTACGAAGAAAATAATTTCATGAAAATTATACCGAAATGTAAATGTGTGTGCTTACATAGCCAAAAACAAGGAGAAAAATAAGTGACCAACAAAAGAGGGCTTGTAATCTAGAGCTAGCATATTAGCTTTTATGATAACATTTAGCAAGACATTAACATAAATCATTGGGGAAAGAATATAGCAGCTGATGGCCAATAATCAGATTTCACAACTATTGACTCCAGAAACCTGAATCGTTGTCGAGTTATGCAAATATCCTAAGACAGAATCATATAAAGATAGAAAAGAGTAAAAAGTAACATACAGGCTACGGACATGCAGGTATCCATCATTTGCCACCCTAGGAAAACACATAACACCTGTCCATGGAGATTTGCATGGATCTCCGTGCTTCCAAGATTCCAGGTTTTCACGAGGATCAGTTAAATTGGTCCTGATCACTCTCAACGCGTTTACTGAAAAATGATAGAACATTATCATCAAGTGTCAGAGTAAGATTAACGATTTGATACATCAATGGTAAATTGTTACCACATTTCTCATCAGTCAGCAGGGCTAATTTCACCTCAAGGTCAAATTTCTTCTGGAGGTAAAGAGACAACTATTTTTGAAATCGAGACAGATTTTTGAAGTTATTCATACAAAAAAGGAAATATAAACAGTTCGGAAACACAGCATTACAACTTATTTTCACCCTCACCTGATCCATTGAGTTGATAGTATACAGACCCTTGAAAATGTGGAGCTAACCATCTAGGTAAAGATCTCTCATTTTTTATTTTCTAGATCAAAAGTAAGCAGATCAGGATTCTAGATAGACTTCCATTAGCTTCTACGGAAGCAAAAGAAAATTTTCTGATACTTTCAAACAGGGGCGTGTTTTAAAAGTTCAGATAATATCCCCGGCATTCTCATCGCAGTGCATTTTGCTATTATCATCCAAATTAGACCTTTGTCTCTAATTAAATTTTAGGGATGTTTGGACTTTACGGCCAACAAATATTATTTGACAAAAGGTCTTCCCGAAATAGTTCTTCCAATTTTTAATTGAAGCTCTAAAGTCACATTAACAAATTTTTAATCCTTCAAAACATTTCGCAGAATTAACTACACATTTGAATGTCAATAAAGCTGAAATATTCATTTACTATAGTTTCACCTTTATCATCTCAATATTTTGACCCACTTATCATTAATATCTTCTCCAACTATTACAGACACTTCAAAAAGGAAGCTTTGCAGAAAATCTTCACTTCAACCACCCCACTCCTGGCTGTCTTACACATTGTCATATTTCACGCTTTTATTTTCCATGCTTTTTGAACACGCTGCTCTCCATGCTTTTATTTTGAACACACTTATTTTCACGTTCCCTTCCAAAACATATTTTATAATTCTTATCCATGTTTTTTGCATTTTTGGGAAAAAAGAGAAAAGGAATAGCAAAGCAAAAGATTAAGGCCTTAGAGAGAATCTTTCTTTAATAGAAGTGATTTTGAAGGAGGCTCATATTCTGTGGTAACTCCAGGGATTTAAAGAAAAGAAGAGATTTCACAGTCCTACAAGGAAGTTAGCTGCTCTGTCCTGCACTGTCTTAAGTGTAGACATTCTGTGGTTCTGATTTACTGAGAATTTAGCTTCCATTTAATTTTCATCTAGCAGCAACATAAGCATGTTCAGGCCCAAAATTTTGTATTGACCTCTAATTTCAGAAGGTAAAGTGGAATAAGGGAACCTGTGGTGTGTGGGCTTTACTCCGGTACACAATGAGCCCACATGCTACTGATCTGTTCCACATTGAACTGAGGCTTCTGCCTACTAGAAGAAGAGTTTGGATGAGACTGTATCACCTAGCCTTAGTCATCAGTATTTATCGAGGTAACTAGTGTTCCAATTGATAGGGATCAAAATAAGCGATCTGCACAATACCAACGAGCGAAATCGAGAGTTTTACCTCTAAAGATGACCCAAAACGATAGATCATCAAGGACATCATTCAGATGAAGGGTCGAAAATCATTTTTTCTAATATTGTTTGCCCTATACTCCAGTAACCTTCCCATTTAATCAGTAGCTCTACACTTATTCCCAACCAGCACATTATTTCTACCTTGCTAATAGCTGGGTGACAATTTCTTCCCACAAAAAACGGATTTAATGAGGAATCTGGGTAGAAAGATGTCGATTGCGTCTCACATAATATGTTAACTCCAGTTCAACACCTTAGAACTAGGAATTCCCTCCCGTCCGTTCCATTAATCCCCACTGATGATTTCAAAGCAACTATCATAAGACAACATTCACCCTCACAACGCAACCATCCTAGGACAAAATGGAAGAGAGAACACAAGAAAGATGCTGATTTGAGATAGTAGCGTCAATCTAAGTAATCACCTCCCACATAAGGATTCAACAGTGGGTGCCCCCACCGACCCCGGGCTCTTGCCCCATCCCAAATGGATCACAAGCCACAACAGGGACAGATCTAAAATTGCTTCAGTTATGAGGAAAACAAGGACAGGCAATGTCTCGTTGGCTGTTGCTAAGCTGACAGAACTCACAGAACAAGGGGTTTTAGACAATCATCCCTACAGAAACCATTTCGCTGAACCCCCAAAATTAGAAGCAAGAACAGTTCAATCTAAGATAAGAGGGAAATTCACAGCTACACAGGAATGATGATGCAACCAAGTAGAACTTGCCTTCCAATGGATCAGTCTCTTCCGCGATTGCCAGAAACCAGAAGGAAGAAAGGACCCATAAAAACCCAAATATCCGGTGTTTATCTGTGGATGTCCTCATGATCATATCAGTTCTTAATCTCTGTAAAAATCGGGCAACACGTATGATTTGTCGCGAGAATCCATCGCCTGTTCCACCATGAGAACAAAAGCATTAAAAACACAGAGCGACAACAATCGATTCACGACACAGCTGAAGAGGTTTGGAGGTACAAACTAGGAGGGGATAGGGGAATCCAAAGTCAACCTCATTTCCTCAGGTTGTTCATCGTCAAAATAAAGAATGTTTCCCTCTAAGCTGTGGAGCGCGAAGAAAAAGGCAACGGACGAGGAATCAGCGGTCTCTTCCTGCTCCACTTCTCCGCCGCCTCCTGAGGTAAGCAGAGGAAACCCTCGTCCGGCGCCGAATTCTCCCAGGCTGGAACAACCCGCAGCGAAAAAAAATTGAGAGAAACGTGAACCTTCGGGACTTTCCTCCAGCCCCCTCTGACCAGAACAAAGACCTCCCTCCGGGGGTGTTGGGAATCCTCGACAGGAATTCGACGGAGCAAATCCAGGAAGACTCTTCCCGCGCCACGAGGCCCCTCTGGCTCTGATCAACTCGACCTGGACGCGGTGACGCTGGCGGCGTCGGCGTAGTTGAACGCCGAGAAAACGACATGGATAATTTTTTCAATGCGGCCACCCACGCTCAACGAGAACGACATCTGAGCCACACCTCCTCCCCGCATTGCCGGCATCCTCATTTCAGACGAAACCTGCGCATTCACATCTTCACGGATCGAGAGGGCCCCACGAGGAGAAGCGAGAAGAAGCTGAATTCGAATCCGCGCAGTCATGGAGGACCCGGCCACCATTTGTTATCAATAATTTTCTGTTTTACTACGATTTTTTTATAATATTTTTATTATATAATTCCTGTTAATTGCCACAAATAGCATTTATTTGAAACGGGTCTTCTTGATTTCTTGCGTCTAGATAATTAAATAATAATAAAATAATTGACTTTACTTTATTTGTCGGATCGTCAACGCCGCCCCCCTCAACTGGTCGTCGTCGCCCGTAGGCCCCCCCGTCCGCCTTTTGTATACCCCCGTCAGAACCCCGTTAATTGACTGTACATATTTTGGCCACCAAATTTCTATATTGTTAATATACCCCCTCCCCCCCACAAACCCCCGTTGGTCCTATCGGGAACGCCGCATTATAACACCGGTGACGTTACCGTGCTGTCGGTGTCTACCGTACGCCGACCGGTCCCCTCCTGGGGACCACCAGCAACGCCTGACGTCATCATAGACGGCGACCGAAACCCATCGGGCCGGAAACGTATATCGTTGACCTGAATTTCCGTCGTACAGATGTCGCTTTTGCGATACGCCCGTGAAGGGTTGGTCGCGATCTGCCCTGCGGATCTTATCGGCCAATGGGGAACTGACAGCCGCTTGATATGGAAGGCCCACGAGACATTATTCAACGCAACAACCGGTCGGTGGCAGGTGAGATGGGGTACGTGTTCGCACCTGATATTTCGGACGAGCTGCCGAACTACCCCACTTGCCAGGGCATTTGGTTTTGCGCTCCACAGATTCGGCCCGATCTGCAGCGGAGTCGTTTGGATGTGATGCCTCCAATTCCGATTCCTGCTTGTCAGGAGTTATTGCACCAATCGTGGGCTGGGCCGCCCTGCCAGCACTGGCCCTGCTAGTTGGCGGCCCAAAATAATCGATATACGTGAGGACTATCATCCGAAGGCCACAAAGATGCCACGTGAATATGTTCCAAAAAGAGTTCATATTAGCTCCTCGTTCGAGATAAAGCATAGCTTGTCCACGTGGACGGTAGTGGATCCGTATCATCGAGAGGGGCCTCGGGATCGAACAGACGAGATGTGACGCAAAAATATTTCACGGCGGGGTTTTCGAAAAAATATCTGCCACGTAGGATCACGTTCCCGAGGTGAAAGACCAGTCAAAAGCGTCGCCGCTGCTAGGGCCGCGCCCAATCCCCCTCACCTTCAGCGGCATAAGTGCAAAAAGCCCGGCCCGGACCGGCCCGTTTAACATTATCTTATGCATAAGATGGGCTTCCGTTTGGCCCGAAAGCCTGGCCCAATATGTGCTTTTATGAAACTAGTGCAAATTATTATCATTGGGGACCGTAGAGGGTGAAACAATGGGGTGGCATATGAGTAAATAGAGGAAATTCTGGGAGGGGTAAAGGAGTAATCAGCTCGTTTTGTATTTCCTGAGTCCCCCTGGGGTGGCCAAAGGTGTAAGAAAACGTCCCAGACTTGTTCAGACGTCTGAGAGGAGGGGGGACGTTGGGCGCCGCGAATACCAGAGATGGTCTCCGACGAGGCTTTCCCTTCTTCCGCCGGCGGCAAGCTCTCCATCTCCCCCCATTTCTCCAGTTCCATCGCCAAGAGGTGCGGCCAAAGCTCCTCTTCTTCTTCTTCTTCTTCTTCTTCTTCTTCTTCTTCTTCTTCTTCTTCTTCGCCGTCGTCTTCTTCGCCGTCGTCTTCTTCTTCGTTTTCTTCTTCTTCTTCTTCTTCTTCTTCTTCTTCTTCTTCTTCTTCATCTTCACCTTCATCTTCATCTTCATCTTCTTCTTCTTATTCTTATTCTTCGTCTTCTTCTTCTTCTTCTCCTTCTTCTTCGTCGTCATCTGCTTCTTCTTCTCCTTCTTCTTCGTCGTCATCTGCTTCTTCTTCATCTTCTTCTTCTTGTTCTTCGTCTTCTTCTTCTTCTCCTTCTTCTTCGTCGTCATCAGCTTCTTCTTCATCTTCTTCTTCTTATTCTTCGTCTTCTTCTTCTTCTTCTTCTCCTTCTTCTTCGTCGTCATCTGCTTCTTCTTCATCTTCTTCTTCTTATTCTTCGTCTTCTTCTTCTTCTCCTTCATCTTCTTCTTCTTATTCTTCGTCTTCTTCTTCTTCTCCTTTTTCTTCGTCGTCATCTGCTTCTTCTTCTCCTTCTTCTTCTTATTCTTCGTCGTCTGCTTCTTCTTCTTCTTCTTCTTCTTATTCTTCCTCGTCTTCTTCTACTTCTTATTCTTCCTCGTCTTCTTCATCTTCTTCGCTCCTCGTCGTCTTCTTCTTCTTGTTCTTCGTCGTCGTCTTCTTCCTCTTCTTCATCTTCGTCGTCTGCTTCTTCTTGTTCTTCGTCGTCGTCGTCGTCGTCGTCGTATTCTTCTTCCTTCCTCTTCACAGCATACTCCGGCGACCAGTAAACAGAGATTTCGGGGACATTCAGAGAATTTGCTCCTTGGATGTGTCGTCCTCCCGGTCCCGCAAGCACTGATCTCCATTCCAGTGTATCCGTGGTCGTAGAAAACGAGCTGCACGTTGAGATTTCTCGGATTGTGCGAAGAGTGAAAGCCTATGTGCTGTTGAGCGGAACTAGTCGAAGAGTAGCTACGTTTTCTCCCTACTCAACGTGATAGGATTTCTCAAGTTTTTCCCGATGCATCTTGCTTTCTCCCTTCCTCGTCGCTCGTTTGCTTTGATCTATATTCGAAATGAAAACCTCCGCTACCTTTCGTACCCCTTGGTATCCTTTTTGTTTCTTCAGCTTTGTAATCATGAGGGTTTTTTTTTCAGTTTTTATTTTCCAACAAAATCGTGACGAATTCCTTGCCGAATCATTATCTACGCAGAATCTTCTCTGATGTCGCCGGGGACATAACCATTGATGTCGATGGCCAGTCGATCCTCTTGCACAAGGTTGGTCGATCTACAGAATTTAAAACGTAAGCCGTGCTCCTGTTGCCGTCGATGCGACGAGAAATCTCTAATGCCTGTATCCTGCTGTCCTCTCCTGCTGAAGTTTCCCCTTATCTCGCGGAGCGGAAGAATACGCAGAATGGTGGTGAGTTCCAGGAACCCTTACCTCTCGAGATTGGAGCTCTTCGACGTGCCGGGAGGTTCACAGGCATTCGAGCTCGCCGCCAAATTCTGCTACGGCGCCATTGTTGAGATCACCACCAGCAATGTCGCCGGTCTTCGGTGCGTCGCCGAATATCTCGAGATGACAGAGGATTACAAAGAGGAGAACCTCGTCGCCCGGACGGAGGCCTATTTGACCGAGGTGGTCGTCCGAAGCCTAGAAAAATCGGTCCAGGTTATCTGTTCATGCGAGGAACTGCATCCGCTCGCAGAAGAAATCGGCATCGTAGGCAGATGTGTAGAGGCCATCGCTTTCAACGCTAGCAAAGATCAGCTGGTCTCTGGATTTTCCCGCTTGGACTGCGATACTTCCTCAGAGAGAGTGAAGCTGGGCTGCCAGGAATGGTGGGTGGAGGATCTCTCTGTTCTGAGGATTGATTTATACGAGAGGGTCGTCACTGCCATGAGGAAATCAGGGGTGAGATCCGACAGCATTGTGGCGTCGATCATCCACTATGCGCAGAGCTATCTCAAAGACATCGGTAAGAATAGTTCCTGCAATTCCGGATTGGTTCCTGCTGAAGAACACAGAGTGGCTGTGGAGACGCTGGTAGCCCTACTGGTATCGGAGGAGATTTCCTCCGTCCCTCTCACCTTCCTGTTCGGAATTCTGAGAATGGCGATCGCGGTGGATGCGCCTCTCCCCTGCAGGCTCGAGCTCGAGAAGAGGATCGGATCCCAGCTGGAGATGGTGACCCTGGATGATCTCCTCATCCCCTCACAGCAGACCTCCGATTCCCTATTCGATGTCGACACCGTGCTCCGCATTCTGGTAAACTTCATGCAGAAGATCGAGGAGGAAGACGCCGATGAGGAGCCATTCAAGTGCGGGTATGAATCTGAAGGGGCCGGCTCGCGCAGCCATGACTGCGTCCTCAAGGTCGGGAGGCTCCTGGACAGCTATCTCGCAGAGATAGCCTCAGATCCACAACTGAAGCTCCAAAAATTCATGGCTATGGCAGAACTCCTCCCGGACTACGCCCGCGTGGTGGACGACGGACTCTACCGAGCCGTAGATCTGTACCTCAAGGTGAATCAATCGATCACAATTATCTGAGAACATCGGTTTCTGCTCCGATCGTTTCTCCTCTGGTCTGATCTGTCGATCTTCCTTCCTCCAGGCGCATCCTTCCCTGACGGAATCCGAATCCAACAGGCTCTGCAAGCTCATCGACTGCCAGAAGCTCTCGGAGGACGCGGCCGACCACGCCGCCCAGAACGACCGCGTCCCGGTCCAAATGGCCGTCCGCGTCCTCCACGCCGAGCATCTCCGCCTCAGAACCGCCGTCTCCAGCGGCGGCGCCGCCGAGGGGTTCTTCTACTCGCAGAGGATGATCGGCAGCAGCGGCGCCCCCAGCGCCGCCGTGTCCCCTCGGGACAACTACGCCTCCCTGCGGAGAGAGAACCGGGAGCTGAAGCTGGAGATCTCCCGGATGAGGGTGCGGCTCAGCGACCTGGAGAAGGAGCAGGGGCTCATGAAGCGAGGAGGGGCCAGCAAGGACCACCCCCACCGCCGGCGGGGAGATCACCGGAGGGATTTCTTCTCCTCCATCTCCAGGGGGATCGGCCTCTTCGGCACTTCCCGGGCGGCGCAGTCCCCCAAAGCCGGCCCCAAGCCGCAGCCCGCCGACGGGAAGAACTGGCGGCGTCGGAGGGACTGAAGGTACGTCGCTGGCGAACTGGTAGCTGTCGGGAGAAATAGAAGAAGATGAAGAGTTTGCTTCTTCCATCGATAGATATGTATACATATTTTTTTTATGCCCAGATGAAGGATTTATGTATAAATTAAGACAGTAATTGGGTATTGGATTAAATTATCGCTGTGTTTGTGGATACGAGTTGTTAATGGGCCGTTGGTCGGAAACCCCGCCGGCTCTTATGGGCTTGGGCCCATAATGACCCAATAGTTAGACCTCGCTGGTTCCCCGTCATTTTAGATCACTTTATCTCTCTCTCTCTCTCTCTCTCTCTCTCTCTCTCTCTCTCTCTCATGTGGCCCACCGGGTGTTTGTCCACGGCAGCCCTAGGTTCCAGAGATGATGAAGACTGATCCTCGCCAGGTGGCCACACCTCAACCGGTATCCACGTGACCTATGTTTCGGGCCCCGGAGGGGGGGTGGCCCGGCCCGAGAAACAGGAGAGGGAGGGGTGCCATGATCGCGGGAACAATTTTAAAAGGCTGATGCGTTCGGAATCCCCGAAAGCGCCATCTTCCTGCAGACCGGCTTTCGCGGGTTCCTAGGAAGGGCCCACAAAAGGGGACGGCACCAGCGCCTTCCTTCACCGCATCCCGAGAAAGCTGGAGAATCCCAGAAATCCACAAAAGAAGCTCTGCCCCGGTTCCAAATTAAACCTTTTAATCACAGAGAAAAAGGGTAATATCGTAAATTAGATGGCCAAGATGAGAGTTCCTCGGGCATCCCAAATCCCACCTTTAGCCCATAAAGAGGGAGAGAGAGAGAGCAGAGCAGAGAGAGAAACAGATAGAGAGAGAGAGAGGAAAAACCACGAGGAACCATCTCAGAAGTCTCACTTCTCTGATCTCCTCCTACCATGGAGATGAATAAATACGTAATAGAGAGAGAGAGAGAGAGAGAGAGAGAGAGAGAGAAGAGTAGCGTGGAGGATGATTGTAAAAACAGCCACGTGATGAGAAAAATATAACAGCTAAAGTGTACACGTTAGAATCATCCAACAACAGCAGTTAATAATTTGAATGCAAAAAGACGGAGAGAGCCATCAAATAATGATGATCATTCTATATTTTCCCCACACAAATATATATATATATATATATATATATATATTTTAAATGGCATCTGTGTGAGACCCACATTTTTGTTCAATGATGATATTTCTCTGGTTAAATATTTGCCGACATCAAAAAAAAAAAAAAAAAAAGGAAGAAGAAAAATGGCATCATCTTCCTATGCATTCTCTACCATTTTAATTAACCTTGTGAAATAAGTTCGTCGACTTACCTGGCCGAGGAACTCTGGCTGCTTTCCTTCACCAAATCGGCCCCGCTGACATAATTTGCAAAGAAGGAGATCAATCTGAATGGAGCTCCAATGAGTGGCGCATCAGAGAGAGGAACCGCCGCCATCTCAGCAGCTTCCACCTCTCGCGCCGCCGGCGCCAGCTGGACCTGCTCCCGATCGTCGTCCAGAGGGATCTGAACGATCTCAGGGCTCTGCTTCGATCCATCATCCGACTGTCGCAACCCGTCTGGGGGGTTGATGATGGTTGTCTCAAAGTTGGGCCCAGAAGATGGGAATTCGCCGGTCAACTCAGATTCTTCCTCTCCTGGGAACGAGGATGATGAGGTGGCAGACAGGGGGGTCCCATCTGACGAGGCAAGGTCCTCTGCCAGGGCGGCGCTCTGCTGGCTCACCTGAGATGAAGGACCCAGAGGGTTGGAAAAGGAAACAAGAACAGTATTTTTTACATAGGCGATATTTATAAATATTTATAAAAACTGGATGAGCAAGTAATTAGGATTAAACAATAAAAAAAATTCATTAATAGAAACCAAATAATAAATTTCTTCCGTTATAAAAACGATATTATCTTCTATTAAGTACCTTAAAAAAGAAATAAATGACAATATATGCTCAAGAATGTTCTAAGAAACGGAATTCATAATAGTATATCAGAGGTCTTCAGTGCCTCCAGAGTTGTTGATAAGATGGATCGGTTCGGGATAATGACCTCGGGCGCCGTCATGGCTGGTGTTCTAGACGCAGCAGCAGCAGCCTCACTCTCCAGATGCTGCACGCGTGCTTCGAGAAGAGAGATTCTATTTGTCAACTCTCGGTTGTCTTCAACAAGGTTGACTTTTGATATCTCGGACTCTCTCACCTGCCAAACTTTGTGGTTTAATGATCGTATCAGAAACATATGCAATGCATCAATTTAAAGAAGAATATGTAAAATATGTCATCAGTTCGGTCCTTCGAGCCTTATGATGAGTGGTCTCTCTCATATGATTCCAGATAAATCAAACTCATTTCAATGAAGCACCAAGACCAAAGAAGCGGCGGCGATATAATTATACGCCACCAAGAACATTAGTCATCCACCACCGAAACCGTACAAACACCAAAGGAAAATTATTTTTAAAATATATTATTTTTTAAAAAAAAGATTTTATTTCATAAACTATTTCAGCGGCTGAACCAAGGAGAAAATTGAGGAGATGACGATTCTGCATAGTGATAGTCTCGCAGTGTTCTTATTAACTTCTATAAAAGGCAATAGAGTGCCTGTGAATAGAAAAAAAAAAGGAAAGACTGGGATCGACCAGATTCCTGATTCGGAAAGCATTGATACCCATTCATTTTTCAAGAGCATCATGACGCATTCCTCATGTGTCCTACCTTTTTCTAAGTGATTTAATTGGAAAACGCAGCCGTCTCCTACTGAAATTTATCTAACATATGATTCTCCTTGAGAGATTAAAAACTAATCCCGTCTTTATTGATGCTAATTTTATAATTAAAGCTATTTTTAATCCAATTACCGTAATTAGTAGGGACTCAATCTCCTACCAGAATAGTCAAGAATGACGCACTGAACAAAGATGATTTGCCTTTCTCAACAGTATGTATGCTTTCCCCCCATTCTACCTCTTCTTTCCTGCTGAATCCTACGAAGCTGGCATGCCTATCTTCCAAGCCCAGTGTGCTCTTTTATTTTTCCACTTTCTTTCCTTTTCGAGGAGGAATCAAGGTCCCTCTTTCGAATGGTCGATGTAATGAAAGATGTTCAATTGTTCATCTGGATAATTCCAACTATTTTTTTTATTTTTTGACGTTCTTGATTCTTTGCTTAATGCACCTCACTCCCAGTATAAACAAGGCAGAGGCATATTCTAGTGAATATTTTCTATCCTTTCAGAAAAAAAAAAGTGGAGAAGGGTACCAGTTAGAATAAGTGATTTGGATACTCACCTAATAAATATCATTAATGTCCCTTCAGCCAACTAAAACAGCATTTAAGATAAGATTCCAATGATTTGGATAGTATCTGGCACTCGATATGGACATTCTAAACCTAGTATAGTAATGAACCGATAGAGAAATTGTACTCGTGTTGAAGAAGACATGAAATGCCGTCCTTACTAACTAATCAAAGACTAGGGTTAATCACCATTGATGTGTTGATAGATGAGTCAGACTCAAAGTAGGCAATAAACAAATTGCTACCATGTCTCCAAGATAAAGTCACTCGACCAATAATCACAATCATCCATTCATGTCTTCCATTTATCCATTTAAACCTCATCAACTTGGCAAATTAAAAACTTTTCCCCAATAAATGAAGTCAGCACCTTACTCTACATCACTGTTTTTTAATCATCTCACTCTGAATGGAGCACGAGAGCTTCAATGCACTTTATTTTGAATCAATCGACACAAAAATGACTCAGTGGTGGTAACCTCAGTATATAGTTTGCATCAAATGCTACATTGGCAAGGTTCTGTATATATATATATGCTAATGGCTGGTACAGAAGTTACCTGCATCTGTAGCCCTGTGTCGATTTCCTCCAGTCTGGTGAGCATTTCATTGATTGACTTCTGCAAAAGACATGAAAGGGTAGTAATTGGGAGGTAGCTAAGACAAAAAAAACAAAGAAATTCTACAAGGCACTTAGGAAGCAAGGGAGAGTACTGCCAGGCCCTAATGGAGATTAAACCTTCATCACCGATCCCAATATAGTAATGTTGACACAAAAAAAGTAAATGCCATCAGAGGCATATGAACGGTAATCGAGCTGATTGATTAGCAGACGTTGATACTCCACGTAGTGCCACTAAAACAACAAGATAAATCGGTCGTTTAATCAGTAAACCTTTTTAACTCAAGGCTTGAGATTGAGAGGTCAGAGGCGATGGGATTCGTTAATCTGGGAACCCGTGAGGGCACATTTACGAGTAACAAGAGAATCTCGCCCAGCACCCCCCCAAAAAGAGACACCTAGGCCACCAACATTCAGGGAGAAGTGCAAGAATGAGCTCCCAAACTCTTTTGTTAACGTCAGAGCAGGATGAAGCCATGAGATTTGAGGAATTCGTAAGTTTCGGTAACCTTTGATGATGTGTGCATATGGTGTCTTGGAGAGTGAAACTGAAACCCAAACCTCCTGGCATGCAACCCTCTAAATTCCCAACTGAATCACTTGGCAGTCCACATAGATCACAGGTACTGTGATCACGGGAAATGAGAAAACCACAAAATTTCTAGTAGTAACATAGCCATGCAGCGTGTTTCTACCCAGCAAAACGATTCTTATAAGAGAAAGAAAAATAATAATTTACCTCCAACACCCTAGATTGTTTATCATTTTCCATGCTCTTAAGCCTGCTATCCAAGCTGACCTGCATATGAATTGAATTAGACCAACTATTCTGCATGCCCACATTTAGCTCAGCCAAAGATTCAAAGGTTTCCATTGTTATCAACAATTAGAACTTAACAGCATTAAATATTTTATTTCATGCATAATAAAAAAAGTACTCTGGAAATAAATATTACCTCTTTTGCAGACCAAGAATGCATTTCACTCTGCAATTGCTCAAATTTCAAGTTCCAGCTGATCTGTAGGGCAATTGAGTTAACACATATCAGTTCAACCACATAGTCCGATAAAAGTTCGAAAACAGCTATTGGCAAAGCTAAGATCCAATGGAAACTGATACTTTACAACCAATCGTCAAATGATTGATTTGATGCCAAAAGCAAACAAATGAGACTAATGGCAATATTTTCCGTAGAAAGTGAGTAACGGTCATTGTTCACCAAGCAGACAGTGAAATCTTCTGATAGAAAATCACCTCTTTCTTCTCAAATAACTCGTTGTCACTCCGCAAGATCTCAATCTTCTTCTCCAAGCTGGCCTGCAGCTCGTTAAGTTAGTTAAATGAAATCTAGAGACAACTTATTTAACTAACAAAAGAGGCCTAGTTTGAAGATATTTCATTCAAGCTCCAAATATTTCATAATTCCCGGGTAACACAAATAATCATGAAAATAAAAATTGCACCTCCTTCTCCATGCAGGAGATTATAGTGGTCTGTAAATCTTTGATTATCTCCTCTAAGACAGCCTGTAAAAAAGAAAATTTGTCATACACATATTTCTAACTTTCACTTAATAAGTATTTAGTTATCCTGATGTGAACATTTACAGAACTATATTTTTATATGAACAATCACTTTCAGCAGAATGAACGGAGAGAGAGAGAGAGAGAGAGATAAGCAAAAAACCGAAATAGGTGAGGTTCCATCACTCAACACAGTTTAAGAGTCCTCATTACACGACTAAAGTGCTATTTCGTCGTGAAAAATAAATATCTTTCACCAAACATCCGTAAATGTACTTTACTACTTTTTAAGGATCAATAGACTTGAGCCTGGCAACAAAGAGTGAATAGGAATTAAAGGTAAATGATGAATTTTCCAAGCACGCATCCGTAGTCAGTTTTTGTACATCAGCATCTGCCGAAATATGGATTATAGCCGGGGTCGTATTTTGAGTAGAATATGTGTAGAACATCTAGGTTCAGAGGGGTTTTGATTGACTCGCAGAATATATTTGATAGACGAAGAATATAGCCACATAACCAAATGAAACGTGACGGAAATACATCCTAACTACGGAACGTCAAACACACTTCAGAAATGCATATAATAAGAGCACATTTTTGTGGTGTAGAAAGCATACACTATCTGAGTTAATGCACATCTGCATAAATAAAAGTAGAAAACCCTTTTTGGTGAAGAACTCATATGAGTAGAACAGACATCTTAAGAAAGCAACCTTAAGAGAGGAATTTCGTTTTATTCTAAGTCAACCAGTCGATTAGTCTCCGTACAGCGGAATCAGCAAGCTCGAAATATAGGGCATACTTACAACTTTTGATTCCTTAATCTTAAGCCTCTCCAAATCTCCTTCTGATTCCGAGACTGAAACACTTTGGGTTGTAGACATGTCTGGATCCTGATGATTCTGCTCAGGAGCGATTTCATGTTTCCCATCTTGCCCGGTCTGTACATCGGAATGAGTCTGTGCTGATCCTCCTGGACTAGGAATCATGTCATCGACTGTATTACTTGTCTTTCCCTTGTTTTTCTTATTTCTTTTCTTCCTTTTGCCATCCTCCATTTGTTGAGTTCAGATGCAAAGAATTTTGGAAGTACGGGGCTACGAAAGTTTCTAGCTTTTGATTCGGCACTCAGTTGCCGATCCCTGAATATCGCAACCTAATCACATGCCGAGCCGATCAGTGTCTCGAGTAGAACCAAAGACAGATACGCGAAGGGAATCATAATTGTAAGAAACGTATGAATCACAGAAGCAACGTTTATTTCATTTAGAAGCACATAAACTCGAAAAATGAAAACACTACTGCGATTCGGCCAAGATTGAAAGGAAAAATAAATCCGTGGCACCATTTCGCGTGGGGGGAAGATCAATTAAGAGCATGAATCATTTTTATTTTTTAAAAGTCCGCAGCTCGCACAAAGAGAAAAACGGTTACGCTTCTTCGTCAACCAAATTCGGAAATTGCGGAGAGAATATCCTCGCTCGTCTCTAAGCCTCCTTTGACCAGAAAAACGGAAAATGAAATCTCGATCCCTTCAGATTTGAGAAACCGGGCTCCCCAGAAACAAAAAACAAAGAAAGACGCCAATACAAATAGGACAAAACTAACCCTAGAAACATCGCAATGAGAAGCATACGGACGCAGAGATCTGACGTCAGATAAGATAACCAAATGCCAAATCCAGGAGAGAATGCCGAGCGGGACCTTCAATCTACGATCTCTGGACGGTTTCCTGCATAATGCGAGAAGGGAGAGGAAGCGAGCTTACATCTTCAGCCGGCGGTGGCCACGCACGGACGATCTTTGGCACGATTTCTTCGTTGCCCGGTTTATATACAACAGTTACAGAGCTCGGACTGCAAGGAGGAGGGAAGATCTCGCGACGCCGGCGAGGGGACCGCTGAATACCGGAATTACCCCGGGAGCGATTCCGTAGGGGCTTTTGAGTCAAAATCATCGGGATCGGACTCGGATCGTTCCTTCAACGAGTTCGCATGCCGAGTCCGCCGAGTTGACTCCGTCGATGTTTTGGGTACAAAGATGGATTATTACATTAAATAGGAGATAAATTTTTATTCTTCCTTAAAAAGCAAGTACTATATAAATATGAATGTAATTACTGTCATAGAGCAAGTAATCGTAAATTATTATTACCATAATAGTCATAAAATCCTCCAAAAAACCATTAATTGTAATGGACTATTAATTTCATGGCATTTAAAAAAAAATACAAAATAATCTCATATATCAACACACCCAGATCTGATAGATGGAAGACGATTGGATCAAATTCACATATAACTATTGGAAAAACGAGTTTACTATTTAAATACCCATTACTTTATTTTACTTGGATCTTTTTGATATCGTGGAAAAAATATACTTATCTAAAATTATTGTATTATGAGAAACAACCGTTACATGATATTTTCAAAAATAAATCTGACAACATAACCAGATTTAGCACCTATTACTCTATTTTATTTGAATATATTTATATAATGAAAAAAATAATTTTATCTAAAATTATTGCATTGTAAGAGATAACCATTACATGAAGATTTTATTTTTTAAAAATCTGACGACATAAACAAACTTAATACCCATTATTATTTTTTATTTGGATCTGTTTAAACAATGGAAAAATAGTTTTTCAAAAAATAATTTTAATCTACAATTATTCTATTGTCAGAGACAACCATTACATGAATTTTTCATTTTAAAAAAAATCTGACAACATAACCAGATTTGCTCTATATCGGTTATTAGTATTATTGCGAGAAAAACATACAACACAAATTCCTCTCAAAAGGCAATCAATTTGAGGCAGGCAGGATAATTCCATACACATTATTTTAGCATATAAGAAAATGCAAAATTATGTATTTTCTCACGAGTAGCCATGTCTATTTGACTCCTGTTTCATGAGATCCTCCAAAAGTTGACCAATAATACGTATATCAGATAATTCCATTGATCACAATCTGAACAAACCCACAGTCAACCATCCACCACAATTGTTTCCCGATTTGGCAATAAATACCCAGTCAAAGTTATCTGCTTTCCTCACACCATTATCTGGGGAATCATCATCCGGCAGACAAGGGGGAAAGTAGATTATGAGGGTAAGTCAACCCTGGGCTTCGATTCCCCCAACATGAGAACCTGATGAATAAGGGGCAAGGTATCGGTCAACAGAGCTGTTCGTGGAGAGCGGTCAGATAGAGGGCAAACAGAGGAACCATTTTCAGACAATTTAGAGGGCGAGAGCTTCACTGATCGATGGAGTGTTCTTGACTCTTCAGATAGAATACCTGGGAGGGGAAGACATTGCCAGACTTAACACGGATTCACCTTCCAATGGAACCAGAAAATTAATAATAATTAAAGGATACAGAAAATCAACAAAAATAATAAGTGAAATAGTGGAACAAAGAAGAACTTTCATCTCCATAAAGATCCCTCGTAGATGGAGGGGTTGAATTTATTTATTTATTCCTATTTTCATTTTGGGTTCATAAAAAAAATGTTTCATATTGACAGGAAAATGCTATTTATACACCATTATTGTGCAAGTAAATCTCTCGTATCAGTCAGATGAAGAGCAAATATGAGATGGACGGCTCAAAAGTGTGATGGAGGAGTTGCACCTTTTTTTTTTCTCTCCAGTATCCGCGTTTTTGGTAGGTAAAAATATTTTTTAATTGGCAAATATTAAAAGTAATAAGAATTTATGTTTTTTTCTGAATGTGGAAAATAGTCACAAATGAAATAGCTACATATTAATAAAATTTCTCAATGAGGCTGAGGCTGTGAGGAGAAACTATGCACAGATATTATGCAACGGAATCTCTCAATCACATGGAGAACCAAGCATACCCCAAAAGAGTAATTATTGGGTTCAATGATAATTCTAGTAATTATGGTTCTAAGTGGATTGGATTCTGATTATTTCAGAAGATCATTAATAATATTCCAAAGATAATGGTCAGATATTAATTAGATAATATTGATATGAACTTTACTACATCTATAATTAGAATAATGAAAAACATCATGACGAGGGTGCTTGATCAGATAAAGACATGAATATACGCCATTAATATGCTTACTCTAGGCGGTTGCATCTGGGTCGTTAATTACGCCTAAAAAGTCATCTTTTATGGTGCCGATGCAAAACTGAAAAAAAGAGAGAACAATTTGACATAAGAAACATAATAAGATAAAATTTCAAAGTCAACTATTAAACGTGGAATTAGGATGAAAATAAAAATAAATAGAAAATGGAAAAGTATTGCGAAGGAATTAACTATGGTAGCTGGCTGACACACATGGTGGTCTTCACACATGCAAATCTCCATAAGGATGAACCTTTTTTGATTTGGTCCAGCTTCTCTTTTATGGGATCATCAGATTTACATTAATATAAGAAAGAGTTCTCACGATTTCATTGATATATTAAATTACATTAAATCATTATGTGAAACTCCTAGAAACTGACTAAAATAAATTGCCATGAATCAACAGAAAATTGACAGAAGTTGATCAAACTTTAGAGAATCTCTTACAAAGAAATATGAACACACTAGGGAAATACAATTCTGAAAGACAGGTTAAAAAGAGTTGAAAGACTCTACATACTAAATATAGTAAAAAGTGGGAAAAAAAATATAAGCAACCCTCTGATAATTTTCACATAGAAAACTGATGAGCAATAATGAACTCGAAATCAAAAATTATACAAATTACCCACATGGGGTATGGGATGCCGTGATCAAAATAAAGTAGATGAATTTATTTCTTAACTGTAGCCACATCGTAGCATGAGTAAGGATGCGATGCACAGAGTTCACTGGCATTACAAAGCCTAACTCTACAACGAGGATAAGGAGGCATAACAATAAGCATTGGATTGGCGCACTGGAGGTACTTTTCTACAAAAAATCAATGGTACGAAAAAAACGTGAACATGTGCGTAGACATCTAAGCAAATTTAATTAATTCTCTGCATAGAGTTTAGAGTGGCAGGTCTTTCTTACTGATTCAAGCAAAAAACGAAACCATTTCTACAGTGGAAGACATCCTTCAAATCTAATCGGAACGACTCTGAATGCAAGACTGGGTCTATGGATTTCTTTCATTAAAAAAAAAAAAAGAAAGAAAAAAACGACATCCAAATCTGAGTACGGTACTGAGTGGTTCAATCACATCACAAGTTCTGGAAATCCTCCATGTGAGAAATCATTTCCAGATAACATGATATTCAACCGCAATAACCATCGGGATATTCTATCCTCAACAGTAGTGAAAAAAAACCAATTGAGATCACCATAAAAGTCACACAGGATCCCCACTTCCATTCCTATCCGTCAGTATCTTATAAATGAATACTTCAAGCACAGTAAATCTGGTGCTCCATAAGGCCAACCTCTCATATGATGACATCAACGGCTTCCGTGTCTCTTGTTGCTCAAAGCCAACCGAAAATATAGTCGATCCAGCACACTACGGATCATCACATTTCCAAAGGAATGGGGCGAACTCATCTCGCAACATGCCACGTGACCTTTGTAATCCTTTGATGGGGGCAACCTCATCTTGCACCAAGAGGCTTACTTACCCATGGCGACAGGGTGAAGTATCTGTGTATTTGGGAGAAAACCCAACCCATAAGAATCCCCAACACAACTTAAAACCGGTGTTGCGAACGGAGATTTTGAAGACTGTGAGGTAATTACTGGGTAGGCCTCTCCCTTCTACTGATTTATTTCGTACTACTAGTAAATGCACAAGTTTCTTAGTGTAGGCCATAGTTTCGAGAGTATAACCAAAGCATCCCCAAGGTGAAGAGGGCTATGAAGGCGAACATGGTCGAAATTGCTCACCTTTGTCACCCTTAATACCTCAACCGTTTTATTAAATTTTGTCTATCACTATGGTACGTTCTAAGGTAACATAGTTGGATAAAAAATAAAGGATATCAATAGAAATATGCTGAACGATGGCAAGGTTAACTCAACAAAATATGATTAGCTCGAAAAGATGGTCTTATTGACAACCTAGATGCTATCAATCAACAAAATTATAAGACACTGAAATTCTCATTCAAGGGCAATCAGCCAAACACCGTTTAGACTCGAGAGTCTGACAGATCAACTCTTGTAGACCCAAACAAGATCAGTTCAAACGTGCAATTACGAAGATAAAAGTCACATGACAGAATGCAAAAAATGTTTGTTATGAATGCATTTCTGCTCCTAAGTTGAGAGCAAAGGAGCACGTACCACACATTTTCTCCCCTTTCGACAAATTTTCTACTAAAGGGGAGCATATATACTACTTATTTGTGATAGGAAATGTCAAAATTTGAAAATTGTATTGTTCAACTTAGAAAAATAGGAATAGTACACATAGAGAACATGCCAAAAAATAGTAGCATCTTAAATCATTGTGATGGGGTGGAAATTTAAGTTGAGCAAATGTTTCATGTTAATCGGCTGAGAAATGTAGTATATCATGAAAATGGCATATAACAAAGAGGAACGTACAATTTCTGCTGCATCAACACGAACTCCTATAATCTTTAGCCGGACCTCACTGTCTTTCTGAATCTTCACCTGAAGTAGCCAATTTTTTTTTTTATCAGATGATGTTTTCCTTGATTCATAACTTCTTACAAAACAAGAAAAAGACATGTGAAGGAGTGGACATAAATTTAGTAAGGCAAAACATATATATTTCATCATAAAAAAATTAATTAAGAGACAGGGAATAAGAATTGGTGTCCTCTTTCTTCACACGCAAAAATGAACAATGAGCTTTTCCCTGCCTTCCAAAAGGACCCACAATCTATACATTTTATTGGAATAAATATCAGATGTTCACAAACCAAATCCAGTCAACATTCATGAATTATAAGTTAAGCAAACGGCATCTGTATATTAGTGGGATTAGAGAACAATGAATAATATTGTTTCAAATAATCTTCAAATGTAAAAAATCATAAAATTAGGGAACCAGGCATTTATCAACATTAATATCATAAAACTAGGATCTGATGTCCATTATATCTCTTCATTGCGAGGACTAGACGACCACTGGTAGACTGGAGACCAGAAAAAAAATTATTTTTACCCAGAGAAACCGATGAAATCATATACGAGGTTAGAGAATCAAGAAAGGAACAGTACCGATCCATCCGAAGTTGTATAGTTCGGTATATCTCCCGACTGGAACTCCATGTCATCAGGGATCAACTACAATAACGGACAAGCATGAAAAGTCAAAGATAAAAGACCAAAAAGTTATAGCCTGCATTTTCCAGATTTGTCAAGAATCACAAAAGCAAGTTTTGGCTATAAAATTGGCCTAAAATGATGTCAAGCTGGCGAGCAAGAGCAGGCAGGGCACTTACATGATTTGACACAAAAATATTGACAGGTCCCGCTTCAGCAAAGAAACCCATCTGTAAATTCAACAAAATATACTCAAAACTAGAAAGTGGTGGAGGAGGAAATAAAGGGATAGCATGCTTAACTTAATTCTTACATAGAAAATGGAGCAGGCAGATCATGTGGGTTTTCCATAATCAGATAATGAGTAAGGAAGGAAGGGAGTAAAGACTTGAGAGCCCGTCTACCTTGTTAACCAAAGTGACCACCGCTTCGAGGATTTCACCTCTGAAGGGGCGGAAGACGACACACTGGTACTTGACGGGGAAGGTCACGAATCCCGTTCCCTCTCTTATCAGTCCCTTGCCGATACTCTCCACCTTCGTCACGGCCACAACGAACCCATGCTTTCCACTGTTCCCATCCAACCCCGTCGTCAAAAGACCGTTCGGTTCATCGTAGGGCGAGACATCATCAATGGTCGTATAAATGCAAACAATCACCTGCAGGTTCCCTCCACGTCCTTCACAAGCTTGGTCGTGAGCTTCTCGTGGAGATGCGGCCCGAAATAGCGGGGGTGAAGCTGCATGTTGCGCTCCAGCACCATGTGGAAGAACATTTTTCCTGCTCTCTCCCTCTCTCCCACTTCGCCTTCTTCTCTGCCGCAAGCGATGAAAAGGGAGTACAAAGGAGAGTGTGAAGGTGCCCCACGAAGATGCACCAGCGGGGGGAGTCGAAGCACCGATCGAGAAGAGAAGACGCCTGTGGGAGGAAGCACAGAGGAGGAAGGTGAAAGCAGAGATCTTCGTGGATTGATTCTGGTGGACCGGCAATAAAACCTAAATAAGGATAATAGTAGGAACTTTTAAAATAAATAAATATTTTTTGGGTATAATTGTAAAAGTCCCCCAGAGTAAATATCTGTCCTCGATGCTTGAAGCAGAGGCTTCTGTCCTCTTTCCTTCTCATTTCCACAGTGGTCATAAGCTTTTCCCGCCTCTCGCACGGCCCTGCAACTACTGTTACCGGGCGGTGCTTGAAACCCTAGCCACCAGTTTCCGGCTCGCGGATCGCTGATACTCTGGCTCTGGCTTCTCCGATCTCCTCCTTTTAATCTAATTCCTCAGGCAAGGGAGGTAATTCTGGGATCTCTCTGGTCGCTGCCTTGTTGATTTCCGTTTTTGTGATCCTTCATCGCTCCCGAAACCCTTGAATGGAATCCCTGCATCTCTTGGAGGAATTCTTCGCTGGGATCAGACATTTGGAGGAAGAATTCGGGGGAAGGAGCTCTGTCGGTGCCGAAGCGTGAGTCGTGAGCATGTGGTTCCAAGGGATGATCCCTGGCTTCTGCCAAGATGTCCCTGAAGTGTTCTCCGCAGGATCATCTCGCAAAGAAAACATCTCCGTCTGAGACCGATTCTGGAAGGTCAGAGATCTCCGCCGGCGGCTCGCCGCCTTTGCAGCGAAGAACGGTTCGGATCATCTATAACGACGCCGATGCGACGGACTCTTCGTCGAGCGACGATGGAGAAGAAACTGGAGTCGAAGTGCGTTGCCGGAGAATGAAGCGTCGTGTGACGGAGATTGACATCGGCAACTCGGCCTCAGAACCGCGCCGTAAACGACGGACGTCGAAGAGGAGAGCGAGTCATCCGCTTGTGGATGAATCTCAACAGAAGTTCATAGGCGTGCGTCAGCGGCCATGGGGTCGTTGGGTGGCCGAAATTCGCGATCCTACTCGTAGCAGTAAGCGGAAGCGTGTTTGGTTGGGTACCTTCGACACTGCCGAGGAAGCGGCTGCTGCGTATGACAGTGCCGCACTAAGGTTGAAGGGGCCGAAAGCTGCTACAAACTTTCCGAGTTCCAAGAAACCAACCTCAACTATATCTGATGACAAGACGGGAAACAATGGTTCACCGTGTTTCTCTACTATCTCCTCCTCGACCGCCGTTACTACCAGCACCACTTATACAAAATTCGCTACCCTTCCTATAAAGGTAACCTTATCTTCTGGTCCCATGGTTTTTCCTGTTCAGAACATTACCGTTTGTCGCCATTTACAATTTTCACTAAGCTAAGTTTTGTGTTCGTCCTCATGAACTCGTTTGCGATTTTTTTTGCTTGCTCTGGTTTGCCGTTGCTCCCAATGTTTTGGCACCTAGATGGGCTATGTTCGTGGCTCCGGTTTTTGTGTGGTTCGGGTTTCAGTGGAAAATAGGTAGTTTTCGTGAACGTGTTTACGCTCAGCGTTTTTATGCTTTATCTTACTTTAGCGCGTGTGATCAGCATATCTAAAAGCAGGCGTGATATTATTTAATGATGCCACTTCGATGCGTCCTTGGAAGTTACTACATAATTTGCCGTTTTAAGTACCTGATGTCATAGTTTGTCTTTCCCCCATCTATTCTTGTTTTTCTATTTTGAACCTGTAGTGTGACAATCTGGATATGTTAACTGATCATCATTTTTGTTTCGTTTTCTATTCACGCTATAACAGAAGCTTCTCTTGGTGCGGAACTAAAGGAGATGGGGGACGTCCACTAGTTCCAGCAACGCAGGTACAAGTTCTCCTTCCATGTTGTTTAGAAAAAGTAATAGTTTCTGAGTCGTACATCTTCATAGCAATCGATTACTGAGCTCTTTCATGAAGTTTCGTTGCCTTTCTGCGTCATGGTCTGGATGATAAGTGACTGGCGGAAGTTCTGTATTTAACTGAAAAATGCAGCTTTTTTCTTTGCTATTTTCCTTTCAGTCCTATGAGAGATCTTATACAATCTTCTTGGCCGTTCTCGATAGACCTGTGAATTGAAAGTCCATCTCAATGAGTGATTGAAAGCCTTACATAACTTAGTGCAAAGAGACACATATCCTTTCATTTTTAGTCTTATCTATATATTTTTTGGTTGTTGTCCTTCATCTTTAAGCTTGATGTTATTTTCTGCTTTCTTCTCCATTAAACAGCTATATATTTATTAATTATCAAATGTGCTATTCAAGAGATATATTCTCATCCTGCCCTAGGAATTCCTCCCCCTCCATATTCGTGCTGCTATCGTAGTAATCAATTGTAATCCTTAGATTTGTGGTTCTGGATGTGGATTCTCATCGTTATCATCATCATCAACAACAACAACATCATCATAGAGAATAAACTTGAAACGAAGACTAACATGGGGTTGTTAGATTAGACTTGCATTGAATGTGACCATGGATCCATATGATGTAAATGGATGGTACAGCTCCGCCCATTGCTAATTGTTTTGAGCCCACGGTTACGTTCTTGGGCAGTGCACTTCAACTACATTCTCTGCGTGGCAGAACCAGAAGGAGTTAGCCTGCAAAGCAGAAGACGCCTTAGAGTATCCCCACATTGAATCACACAATTAATTCGTGCAGTTAAAAGAGCCTACTTTGATTTTGAGTCGGAGGGCTCAATCATTCTGACAGTCTCCACTCACTCAATGCAATTGGAAAACTGTTGTTGCTTCTGGATTTCAGCTGGCTGAACAGATTTAGGTTACCAACGTTCATGTAGGTAGGGTTTCATGGGTTCGGTAACCATAGTTTGGCAGCTAAGACATCAACTTAGGGTATGAAAAGGGAAAGTTTACAACAATGGAAGATGGCACTGGCCTTGCTCTGTGCTTGTGGTTCAAGGTAAGCAGGGGGGGCCCTGGTCTATGTGGCAGTAGTTGTGGCCAATGCTGTTGGTTGCGGCCGTTGGATCACTGGTTGCCTCGAGATCAGCAGGTAACTGAGCGCGAGTGACTGCAAGTGAACGCAAGATTTATAGCTATTCTTCAGCCAACTAGAAGATGACTCGTGGTGGCTTATGAGATCTGCATGCTGATAAGGAACACAGGCGACAAGGTGGTCTGTCAAACAGGAATTGCCATAGATTTGTAGCCCGCCCGTCTGATTTTTCCTTGGGCTTCTACACGCAGGAGCAGGTACATACATACATAGATACATGCATAAACACATAAATACGTGTAATGTGCTGCCGGATGTTGGCTACCATATATGACTTTGCCATAAAGTTTCTATTTCAGATCGTATAAACTTCTATTTCTACTCTCTCTCTCTCTCTCTCTCTCTCTCTCTATCTCTATCTCTATCTCTATCTCTATCTCTATCTTGCTTAGTTTGTCCTGCCGTTGATCGGCTCTTGTGGTTAGTAATCTTCGACGGATCTATTTGCGAGAGACAAGGGGTAAATAGCGTGGCGTTATCACTAAGACGTTCTCCAGAGAATGGGCCCTACTGGGCCGACTGACTGCTATTCAAAGAATGCACCCGCTAGTTTCTCTTTCTAGATTTTGCTGTTCAACTCTCTCTCTCTCTCTCTCTAATGTTAGTAGTTCTTCCTGTTGTGGTTCATTGGGCCAGCTCACTACTGTTCAAAGAATGCACCCGCTTGTTTCTCTTTCTAGAATTTGCAGTTAACCTCTCTCTCTCTCTCTCTCTCTTTCTAATGTTAGTAGTTCCTTCTTCCTGTTGCGGCTCATAGGTGGGTGCGTGGAGGAGTGCAGACTGAATGTGTCTCCGCGCATGGGGTATGTTATGACCTTTCCCTTCGTCGTACATAAGGTGGCTGCTTGAAGCAGACCTTTTCCTTTCTTCTTCTTCTGTTGCTGCTGTTGCTGCTGCTGCTGCTGCTGCTGCTTCATGGCACGGCCATCGCTGATGCGGTACCGAGTGGGACGGACAAGCCTGAAGTAGTAGAGTCTCAAAGACGCTGCTCCTGCTCCTGCTGCTGCGGCGGCGGCGGCGGCGTCCGACTTTTTTTTTATATTTTATAAATATGAATAATTCGAACATTCTGTAAATACACAGAGACCGATGTGATTGACCCACTGACTCCGACTAAAACAAGGGACCTTCCTCTCCTTCTCCCTCCTGCTCTGTACAACCGCATGTCGATGCTTTCTTTCTACGGCCGTGATTTTCTGACGAGATTACCCACGTCCGCTGCCGGGTTTTCTCCCCCCCCCCCACAATCCCTCTTCTTTCTCTGTCGAAATTTTCCGCACAGGCTTGGACTTTTAGTGGATGATCAAACAAACAGGCTTCCCTTATTACACAAGAGTAAGAAAAGGTCAACGCTTGAGTTGGTCTTTGGCCCATGCAGGTCTCGAACCTGCGACCTTCGCGTTATTAGCACGACGCTCTAACCAACTGAGCTAATAGGCCTGTTTAAAAAACGAAAAATTTAATTACAAATCAAAAAATGGAGCCGGTTTTTCCTCATTCGACTCCTCAGACAGGTAATGCTCACGTGACAGCCTATCGCTCTCTCTGGGTATGGGAAGAATTATGAGGACGTGGGTACATCTGGGCCGTGTAAAGATAGCTGGGCTTGATGAGGCCCATTATAGATTGGCCCATTTGACATCAAGCGGTGCTCCTGGGTTGCCGTTTTGGAGCTTACACTGGTTCGCAGTCTGAGCCGTCAGATCGAAGCCCATCCGTCGCCGCGTAGAAGGGATCAGTTCGTCATGTTATAATTATTGGGGCATTTTAGGGTTTATGATGATCAAAGGAGCCTCTATAAACTACGGGAACATCTGCGACTCCGAGCAGTTAGGGTTTCCCATCTCCTTCGTCGCCGCTCTTCGGGTGAGGGCTACTCGTTCTCGGTGACTGGAACGCTGGCGGAGATCCTCGTCATCGTCTCCTATTCTTCCTGATATCCATACTGTAGCTGCTGTTGATTATATTCTGCTGTCGACTCCTCAGATCTCGTGATCCCTGATTTTTTTTTCTGTTCTTGATGCTGTGCACAATAAGCCGATGCTCTGGACTAAGATTATGAAGGAAGCATGGTAGTGTGCACGGAGATCGATCGCCTGGTCTCAATGTCTGCCCGCTTTGATGCCCCTAGGGGCTTTGATCTGCGGGCCTGGAATTGACCCACAATGCGCTTGTCTAGGGTTAATCTAGTTCTGGTTTCCTGATTCTCCTAGGTTTTTTTGTTCTTGCTGAGAATTGCGGAATGGTCTACTCTGCTGTGTTCTATATCCCTGTTCTGTGGCGTAGCTCGGGGAAGAAGGCTTGACGGGCGGCTTTCCGCCGTGTATTGGGGCGTCTGATGGCTCCCATTCCTACCTCTCTTCCCCAAAATAGAAACGGAATACTAATACTTAAGCTCTGTTTCTACTCTCGTGAGCTTCGAGTTTGGCTTTCCCGTGACATCAATCGTATCCCAACAGCTTCCCCCCCCCCAATCTTTCCTCATTCGGATCGAAATCCGGATTTCCGTTGCCCTAATATTTCATACGTGCCCAGCTTCGCCATGGGAGTCTGATTGTAGACTATTAGTTTCTATCAGATTCCAATATTCGCCGTCCTTTTTTTTCAGAAATGATCTAACAAATACGATTACGAAGCGTTTGATATGACGATCGGAAGAAATCACCACGAGTTTCTCTGAGGATGCCCAGAACAGTGAGGGAGGACTACCGTCAATTATGCGCATTTCTGTGGCGGTTTTGATGAACCAGCAGCTGTGCATTCAAATCCCAGTCTTTATGATGCATATTAAGACCAAGATGGCAGATACGATGATTCCGATTAGATGGGAAGAGTCAACGGGATCACCGACAGATCCGAAAATTGGATCTAAAATGAGAGGATATTTGTACCCCCTTTGACAATTTCCTTCAAACAGGGACAAAAACAAAAGCAGAGAGATTGGCAAGGTCAGAGTAAGAACAAGCACTGAGATTGAGGAAGAACAGTCGAATTACAGAGCGCATGAAGGGGGCAGGATAGGGAGGATACACTGGGCATTATTATTCAATATTAATGAAAGAATGTTACAGAAGGCCAACCCGGAAGAAGGATATCTCCTCCACCTCCTTTCACAGCCCAGAGGAGGAGCTCCGGTCAATTCGCTGGGCGCCCAGCTTGGCGGTGGGTGCCGCCTTCGCTCTTCCCCTTCCGAGAGCCAAGGGCTTGGCCCTGGTGGTCGGCGGCGGGGCTGCGATGGCGGCCCATGGGTCGCCGTCGTCGACGGCGGCGGAAGTGGTGGCGGCGGCGGCGGCAGGGGCAGAAGCCCTCGCGCCGCTCGTCAGAGGCTTCGTCTTCGTTCTCGGCGCCGGCACTGCAATGGAAGCCCACGGGTCGTCCTCAGCCGATCTCACCGCCGGTTTGGGTGGCGCCGCCACGGCGGCCCACGGGTCGTCATCTTCCTCCAACGCCGACGAAGTTGGCGCCGCCCTCGGCTTCGGCCGCGCAGAGCTCGCCGCTGGGAGGACCGACACAACAGGAGATTATTTTTTTTCCGATTATGGTCTGGTTAAGGTTTCTATTTGTGTTCCAAGATTCGGGGAAGAGGGGTTGACTTACCTGGGGGCTTGGCGTTGATCACGGGCCGCTTCTGGGCGGCGGATATGGCGGCGGAGGTAGGAAGAGCGGGCTCGAGCTCCTCGAGGGGGTCAACGTCGTCCCATCCTTCCTTGTCGCTCTCTTCGCGGTCTTCGCGGAGGGCCCCATGGTCGACTTCCCCCCAGCCGTCGGTGGATGTCGGGGAGGGTGGGGCGGGGGGGTGGTCTGTGTAGTCAACGCCGCCGGCATTCTGTGTGAACTTGGCTGCAGGGATGGAAGGTCAAAGGCGTTGACTTGTGCTGCTTACATAGGAGAATTTAGGGGGAAGACTGGGAGAATTTAGGTCGTCATCGTGCTTGCTGGTTGAAATAACTGAAGACACTGGGCACGAAACGTGGTCGACAACAGAGGTTGACTATTTATTAACAACGCAGGAAGATTGAAGGCGTTGACTATGGACGGGAACATGAGGAGGAGGGTGAAGTGAAGACCGGAAGAGCCAGCAACAACGGCAATGATGTGGTCAAAGGAGGCCGGATTATGTGAGGTCGAGCGTCAACAACGGCAAGGGAGCTCAGAACTCGTTGACTTAGTGCTAATGGCTCCACCGCATTTCCCCCATTAAAGTAAGTGAAATAACGATTTAACTGAACAACTGACGGTCAATTTACCAAACAAGGAATAGGTGAGGTAGTCAGAGATCGTGTACCTGAGCTGGCATCGGAAGTAGCTGGAGCCACAGGGGTCTCGGAGTTCATAGAAGCCACCGGGGCATGCTCAGAGGGTTTTCCCTTCAAAGTTAACGAGCTCATGGCCCAGCTGTAATTTCCCAGTACGGTCCACATTTAATAAAACTAAATGGATTAAATCCAATATATATATATATATATTGAAATAATTTTTTAAAATCGTTTTTCTAAAAGGAGTACGGCAGAAATTTCATTCTTACCCCAAGAGACTGGCGTTCCCAGTTATGAGTGTGGCTCCAGCAGCAGAGGCCTCGTGGGAATCTCCAGAATTCATCTACGTGGAGATAACAAGAGCACAGAGAGAGAGAGGGAGAGAGAGAGAGAGAGAGAGAGAGAGAGAGAGAGAGAAAGAATGGTCAAGATCATGAATTGAGATCTGAGAGGAACAGTAAGTGGCAGTGAAATCAAACAAAGAAGAACGGTCAAAGGCCTGCTCCATTGCCTCCCCAAGAAACAGCCAATGATGAGATTGCAAGATATATATATATCTCATTCTCTCTCCCCCAAGCTTTCTCACACGAACTGCACCAGGTCAGATAAAACCATGGTCAACGGCCTCTTGCTCCTGCGTGGATTCTGACCTCTTCCATGGTCGTTCCTGTTTTCCCTGCGTTTTCTAGGTGGGTGAACCCCCCAGGTCCCCTGTCAGGCACCATCAACTGGCACACAACTTTGACTTTTCCCATTTGACTCAATCCGAACGCCCAGCTCCTACGCTGGCTGAACTTGGATTTCTACTCATAAATGAGCACATTTCCAAGTGTTCTACCTAACCGAAGTAATTCAAAATATTAATTATTAGGTCAAATTCAGCCAGGAGCGAGGCTTCTGCCAGGTCCCACAGCACCAGGGGTTGACCTTGTTCTAGCGTTATCTTGTCACCAGATCATGAAGGGCCCGACTGGGGAGAGTCAACATGGGGGGCAAGCCTACAGCTAAAATGGGCAGACGAATAAAGAAAACGTTTCCAATCATCAGCTATAGATGGTTCCGTTATGGGCTGAAATTTTCACAGCCAACCTTCACAATTCAAGAAAATCCCCCCCCATAAAAAAGCAAAGATATAAATGAGAATAAGATACCTCCATGTGACATATGGAACAAGTGAGAAAGCTGAACTTACTATTTGGGGAAAAGCAGAAGCAAGAATATAATTCACAAAGTTTATCGATGAATTTGCAATAAATGCGCATGAAATTTGCATACCTTCTCATGATACTGCTTTGATATCTGCAAAAATTGGTCAATAGCTTGGAGCGCCTTTGTTCTTACGTCACTACAGGTAGAAAAAAAAAGCCCATGAACCTCAGTAACTGCAACTCTGTCAGTGCAAGAAACATGAATAACGACACAAGAAAGTGCAATGAATGTTCATAAACAGACAGGATTAGATGGGCAAGACGAGGGGACCGAAAGAGAATATGATGAAAGAAGCAAGTTCAGAATCTGTCAAGCGAAAAACCATCCACGGCGTTCGCAATAATCATCCCAAAGAGGGGAATATAATAAAATCCCTGCAGAAAAGCTGGTGATCAAAAGCAAAGCTATCATTCATTATATTAGCCTATTTGTATGACAAGGAGTTCAGCTTTCTTCCCTTGAAAACAGGAGGATGGGATATTATAACTTCAATTTTCGAAGAAATTCCATCAGAACAAAACATCATAACATATTCATTAAATTATTTTGGATAATTGACGAAATAAAAAATCTACTGGGTATTGAAAACCCTAATAAATTCTCTACTGGGTAATTGAATAAAGATGTTATATACGAATATACACAGTACAATGCATGTATTACACTGCATATATATATATTTACAAGTTAATTCGCGAATTTACCTGTCTGGATCAATAATAAGGACAACAATGCTTGGCAATATACGAGCAGCAATCTCGGTCATGTCATAATACGAACAAGTGGCAGTCAAAGCCATAACCCCTGCAAAAAGGACAGAGAGGGAGAAAGGAACGGGCATAACTAAGCCAAGATTGGGCGAGAATAAATACTCCACCAGGATTAAAAATCCAAAGTCAAACACGTAAATGCACAAATATTAGATTTATAAAGCAGTGATTATCAACACAGATATATTCGGGCAAATGCCAACTGCCAAATCACGGATTAAAAGAAGAGGAAAATTTCAACATACCTGCAGCCCGGGCTGGAGAGAAGGTATCCCGCAATGCACGGACGGTAAATGCATTAATTAGAACCCTCTTCCTCGTCTGAAACACACAAGCATATTCTACAGTTAAACTTGTTACAGAAAGAGCACAAACTTTTTGTCTACTTATGTGTGTGATTCTTTACATGAGATTTGAGCGTCTCATATATGTTGATGGGTTTATGACACATTTTTTAGAATACTCTAAGCTGATGCGATGTAACTATATGGATATGTGAATAACAAAGCATAACACATTGGTTCGAGCACTACTATGAGAATTATTAAATCAATAAATGAAAATTATAATTATGGCTTCGACGTATAATTATACTAACCCCCTCGTTCAGGTGACTGGCGATATTCCCAAGTAAGATTGTTGTGTTTGTTCTGATTGCGGGCTCTTCATCCACCTGAATGACATTACAGGCGAAGATCAAAATTATTTTTTAAAAGTAATAGGATCTGAACAGCCACAACAGATGAGAATTATAATGATACAAAGAAAATGGAAAAAACCTGCAACTTGGAAAGGTATTTCAATAACGATCCTGACATGGTCCGTTGAGACAACTGCATGGCACAAACCAGAAACCAAAAGAATTTAGTCAAAGCAACAATTCAGTCCAATAAGATCCCAACCCGTATCCATTAATCCACCGGTTTTCTTGTCTTTCATGTATGCATTATGAAAGTCATTCGAGGATATAACAATCATGTACTAAATATACTACAATCAATTCGGTTGAAAGCCGCATTAAAAGAAAATTGTTCAACTAGTAAACTCTTCACAAATAAGCATACTGGGACAAATGTACCTTAGGCGCCAAAATGAGCATTGACTTCAGTGTGAGTTCACGGAGAAAGGCAGAACTGTCAGAGAAGCCAGTGGCCACATGAGGGAAAACCTAATGATACACAACATGAAAAAAATTAGAAAGTTCCTTTTTTCACCAAAATGAAACCACCATATCAAACTAAGACTGAAAATATGTATAGAATTGAATGCTGTAAAATAGAGTTTGGAAGTGATCACGCACTTGCTCATCAACAATCTGAGCCGACAATGACTCTCCAAACTGATCTAAATGTTGAAGGAGTCCAACTCGAATAGCTCGATCATTGGAAGCAAAAAGTTTAACAATGGTAGGCAGAATCTAAGGAAGAGAATGAACATGTGAGACAAAGGAAAAGTTAAGTACGAGGAAAAAGGAAGGTTGTTAGATGAACAACCTTCAAAACTAAAGAGAGATTAAAAAATAAAAATCAGATGCCATTAGAAAAGAAAAAAATGTGCAACCTTGGCGCTGAATTCATCCGCTGGGAGCCAAGAACCCATTTTCAACAGAGCAGTTAAAGCAGGAGCTGCAGCTGAACCAAACTCAAGGGAGGATGACAATAGTGGCAACAACTGTAAATAAGTAGAGAAAATCTAGTGTCACCATTTGACCATGTGGATGAAAAGTACCCAAATAATACAACATACACCAAATTACCTTTCTCAGAACAATTGGCCGAGGAAGCTGTTCTGCTAAGTTTGGGAGCTTGCGGAAGAAGGAATCTTTCTCAACACTATCTTTTAGATTAAGAATTTCCATAAACTGTATAGTTTCCACTAGCTTATTATGAAAATATTCTGCCAATAAGATGCTTATATTGTCAGAAGAATAGAACAATACAAGTTTTCTTAATGAAATTACATACAATATAAGAAAGTACAGAAAATGAAATTGAACTCACTATTATTTATGTTACACTACACAAAAATTTCAAATAGAGAAAATGCCAAAATTATTGAAAAGGGGAAAGATGGGAAATGTGTCAATGAGAATGCCAACCACGTCTAATGAAACAGAAACAAAACAAAACATTTGGTGCTACAGCTGGAAAACTCATATACATTTCTTTTGTTTCCATGCCAGCCAACATTCAACACCTCCTTGAGACTAGTCCGACACTCTCCATTTATCTGATAGTGGTTAGGGATGATGCTATTTCTATGTTACTTCTGAAATGGGTACTATCTGCTTTCAAAACACTAAATTACCACACAAATTTGCCCTGAATATAAATTCCTTGCTCTTTTTAAAAGAAAATAAATTTCTCCGTTGCCTTTTTGTTTTTTCAACAAAATCAAGAATAAATTTATCACGTTGGGCATCTTAAAACTGGGATGGAGCAATATTCTTTTACATTAAAGGCAACTGAGATGTCTACCTCTGGAAGGTTGAGTTCATGGTATGTTCTTTTATTTAGTGGCTTTCTTGGATTATTTTTATTTTAAAAGGCAGTTTTTATACATTTTAAAAAAAATACATTGAATAAATTTATTGATTCTGCTCTTCAAAAAGATAGTTTTGTCTAATATATATTCCTGCCTAAATCGCACAGCTAAAAAAAGGGGGGGCAGATAGAAGGGGCTGTTCCTTGCCAATGCCTGTGTTGCTTGAGGAGGATTCCTTCTGCTACACATTGTTGTTCCTGATCATCTCTTCCGCCATTTTACTCTTTCCTCATCTCTGTTCCTTTTCGTATTATAATTTAAATGATTTAAGCTCCACTGTGGATCATAAAAAGGATTATGGGATCCAAACTCAGTCCTTGATCTTGATTTTTTTAATCATAAGGCCTCACTAAGACTACATTTCTCACCTCATGAAAATAAAATAATTATAGAGAAAAAATTAAAACGTTATTCCATATTCCAACTAATTGCTCCCTCAGTGGAGTTTAAAGAAAAAAAACTAGGGGAACTCACCACTGTTATCTATGAGCTTTGCAGGGTTTAACCTTCGAGAAGGAGTGGAGCTCAAGAGCCTCTGATAGTCTGGAAGCAAAGACTATAAGAAAACAAGGTGGAAAAAAAATATCAATGCACGGAACTTCTTGACAGAATTAGTGAAAATATAAAATTGCTTCAAGGATACACGGAAAAACCTATTGAATGAGCTCAACTCACTGAAATGATGCCAAACACCAATCAAGAATGGATTGACAGACCGGGCTATTAAGCAAAGACTTTGTTGAAATGAAAAGGCCCATTAAGCAAATATTTTGAGAGGCATATATCATAACAATTACATGGAATGGACTACCTACTAGTTTTGCGACTCATTTAAAACGAAATCTTCATTGATGTTTTTGAAAAATATAGTACTTAAACGTTCAAAACATGCAACCAGTGAAGCCATGCTAATATTTTACTCCGCTCAGTTCAACCTGACAGCTTGTACTAATTTAACTGACATCTCTGCGCTCAAATGGAATGCAAGCATACGATTTTGAAGGCAATAAACCATTCAGAAGGAAAATTTTGAATATGATTGATTAAATTGATTGACGTCTCACTGTAATAAGCAAGGTTAAAGGAAAAAGAATTGGGGATAAAATTAATAGTGAGACAGATAATCCAATCTGATGGTGAGCATGAGGAAAGCAGTACAAAAGGTTTGGCCAAAGGATTTTCCTGTACAAATCAAGAAAGGAGGCCCGCAAATGAGTAGAATCTGCTTTTGTAATGGTCACCTGACACTGTTGATGATACTCTAGACAGTTCAACGAGAGTTTAGCTTATCTAATGCAACGCATATAATATAAAAGCAAAGGGAAAAAACCAAAAAATGCCGCTGACAGATGGAAGTACCAACCTTTGGTATAGAGGCAATGTTACGCAAATCCTCAGTTTTGGCCAACTTCAAGCCAGAAAAGAGTTCATAAATTAAACAACCTGAGAAAATAAAATAAAGCTAGTAAGAGTTTTTGTGACAATGAAACCCATACTAAAAGCAAGAACGAAAACAGTTGCACGAAGTAGTAATAATTAACGAACAAATTTACCAATTGATTGCTTAAAAAGATTCATGCGGCCCTCAAATTGAAGTTTTAGACGGTCTATATAGTCAGCACAAACATAAGGCAAAAGATTTGTTTAATTGCTTAAAGGAGGGTCTGAAAGGAGAGAAAAGGAAAAAAAGATCACTAGGTATTTGTTCCTTCAAGGATGTTCATAAAGTGCATGAGAATGGTTGATGATCAAGACTCTGTGTCTGTGACTGTTTTCAGGAAAAATACTCGAGACTTTCTGCAACAACCAATATGTTCGTAACGTTGAGCTAGGTGTTGGAGTGGCAGACACAGTGGAAACTTGCATGGGTGTGAGAGCAGTTTCAGATTCTGCTATTCAACCGAGGAGGTGCGATCAGGCATAGATTTAAAAACTGGTTTTGGCAAGATTCGGGAAGATAAAACCGACGAGAATGCGGATGTAAGAGTACAGTTAAGAATCTAGACGTTTTAAAGAAGGCCAAGACATCAACATCTGTTGAAAGATACAAAGAAGGTTCAAGTATATACCGGCAAGAATGGAAAAAGTTCAGAGAGAACATTGGCCAATAAGGCAAGTTTTTGACGACTGAATCCGAGCAACTTTGTCGATAATAACTACAAAAGGCTGCTATGAGAGCCAACAAAACTTTAACCACCTAACGGGGGTCAAATTTCCCCTCGAGTAGATAATTGCTCTGTAAAGTATCAAAGGTTCTCACACAACATTAGAAGTGGATCTTGGATGTGCAATCCTGATCGCAATGCAGGGAATCATAGGTTAAGATATCATATTTTCCAAGAAAGTGTAGATTTAAAAGTTAACTTCCGTCAATCAAAACATCTGTGGAAAGTGTACAAGGCAAGTTACACTTGCTATCAATTTAATTGATTTTACTCTAAAACAAAAGGAAAAAAGGCATGGAAGAAGTCTTGAGACAAGTGAAAGGCTAGAAAAAAAATTATTGCACAGTTATCTGACACTAACTGTGAGAAAATGGAACTGCTGAAGCCATTGAGAATATATTCTCTACGACCAACCGCCCAGAATGTTCAGATGTCTAAAATACATATCATTGAGATGTAACACTTGATATTTCGCCACTTCCTTTTATTTGTATCCATTTTCTGTACATAGGCTTTTTTTTCTAAGATTCCTTCTCTGCTTCATTTGCCTAACTGAAATTCTAACTTCTACCTGGATATAACCAAAACAACAGTATCAATTCATCATCGATTCGTGTTCTGACATTCAAGTATCATCAGTCACTTTTCAGACAAAGACAGTGATACAAAAGAGTGTATCTGGCATGATAAATCGTGTCCAACACTAGCCATATTATCCAGTATCTTCAAATGAGGGAGTCAGGAGCCCATGTGTTAGAAAAAAAAAACACAACAATTCATGTATTAACAAAAAATTGGTCATGGCGGAAGAGTGAGATTCATCATGGAATTAGTGTAAAAAATAGGTGACAACTGTCTACATCACTGCAATATGGGACACTTCATTAAAGCATTAACATGACGACCCAAGAGCTACTAGCAGCCAGAAACTCACCTAATCCCCATGAGTCAATTGCCCATGGAGGGGATTTTCTGATTGTTTGCCAGTCTGACTTTAACAACTCCATGGGTTTATATTGTGTTCCAATCAACCATTCGAATTGCTGCATGAAATATGAGAAAGAATGCCCATCAAATCATTTCATCAAGAAACCCTACTCGAACAATCAAACAAAAGCTAGTCATTGCTAAGTAGAAAAACTATAAACACCATAGAATGCAAGCAAGCTATAATTTTGTTTTTCTTAAATTATCTATTCTTCAACTAACAGGAAGCAGGATAAATGACTGAAATCTAATCTTAGTAGTGAACTCTATCAAACCCGTTTGGCAGGTCAACTTCGGAAACAGAGTAACAGGCCTGGCAAACTGGCATTACATCTAACCTGACCATGTAAGGGTGTTTTTGAACCACAATTCTATACGACTAGTCTCCACAAAGCGATCAGTAATTGTTTTAATCAGCAGAGGTGTCACCTGAATTCAAGGTCAGATAATGGTGTGAGGTATTTCTTCTGACTGAAATAAATCACCTAATAAACCGTTACATTCTGACAACAATGAAAATACCAAGTGCTTCATCCTTAGCACAGATTATTTTTTCCAATGATAATAGCGCTGACAAAGGATTGGCTTTTAGCATATTATCGAAGAAATTACATACTTGAGCTGCCATGAGAATCAAAGATGTGTCAGAATTATAATTATGGTGATGAGCTCTTAAGAAACACAACATTACGTGGTCAATTCATTGAAGATCCACATGAACCCAATTACATGAAATCCACTATTCTCAAAACAGAAGTTAAAGCAAGAAGCTACAAAAAATCGAAAAAAAGAGATTACCAGCATTGCACTAGTGCCAGCTTCACTGTTCACCTCAAATTCTGATAGGACATCAAATGCGTGCAGCTTCCAGTCCAGCGTTTGAGTGACAACAACACTGGACAAACAGACATTACCATGAACCTGAGAAAAAAAGTTGCAACTCAGAAAAACCCATTGTAGCATGCCTGATGAATCTCATATATGCCCGCAATCAACATGATTTTTCTAAAACAATTATATTTTTCATTAACAGCATATGCTAAGTCTTATATATGCCCGAAATCAAAATGATTTTTCTAAAACAATTATATTTTTCATTAACAGCATATGCTAAGTCTTATATATGCCCGAAATCAAAATGATTTTTTAAAAGAGTTTTATCATTCATGAACAGCATATGTTGAATCTCACATACGCCCGTGATCAATAAGATTTTTCTAGAAGAATTATATTATTCATAAATAGCACATGCTGAATTTCATATGTACGCAATCAATATGATTTTTCTAATCTAATTGTATTATCCATAAACAGCATATGCTGAATCTTTTAGTCCCTCTTCAATTCCAACGTGATATGAGCAAGCAACCGTTATTAGTTGAAAGAAATAATTCGTAAAATCAAATGCGTGAGTATGATCTTTCTCTGGATAACCTACAAAAGAGTACCTTGGCAGTCTGATTTCATAAGGCAATGCTAGACTTGAAAGAAAAGTTTTTCCCCCACACTTTCTACCTTAAATTCCAAAGATGACACCATATACTTCTCAATAACATACTCCACACCAACTAAAATGATCCGTATTCTAACAAAGTCAAAATATCTTTTATTAGAAACAAATCAGGAAATAAAACATAGAGAAATAACAAACATTGTCCAAAAATATATTGCAAAACAGACAATTCAGATAGTGTGAGGATAAAATAGTGTAATATGGCTCTGCAGCAGCTGTTCAATTAGAGGCAAAAAAATTATCTCATATAATCAGAAGAAGCTAAAAATCTACATTAGAGCTAATAATCCAAACTTAACAAGGAAAAGGGGAGGTCATACAAGTTTGCAATCATTGTTCAGAAAGCTGACAGCTTTAGATATCTGGTGAAGTCCCCATGCGTAGTACTCATCCCTGTTATTGTGCACAGATAGAGTTATATATTAGAAAAAGAAAGGAACCGATAATTCCATAACAAAACAAAGTAGTATTCCGCTGTCAAATGAGAAACCCAAACTTCAGAGGACGACTTGTTCATAGGCAATAAAGTCAACGTGTGTCAATCAAATCCCATAGAGTAAAAATGAGAACATGATGTTCCATCACAAACAATGTCTCGCACATTTGTCCATTCATGAGATTAAACAGTATAATTTGAACTTTAGCTAAATATGAAAAATGAGATTATCTGAAGAGAACAATAAACTGTACAACCATCTAGAAAAACTGCAGTGTCACTTCGAAACCAAAAGTGGTGTGAAAAAGTGCGTGAAAAACATGGATACGTATTATAACAAACCATAGATTTTGAGCGGTTTAGTATCAGAAATCTGCAAATAAAATAAAATAGTATACTTGCTCTTTTTGCTTCACTAAAAGAATAACCAATTCAGGGGGGTTGGGGGATGGGGGATGATTCTGCAATGTATTTTTTTTCTTACTAAATCACCAAAGTTATCTTCTGAAATCTGATTGTTTGAGTTTTTTTTTTGTACAAATTTTATTAATTAAATCAAACGTTTACAGTTATACGTCCTTTGAGTTGCTCTCCTTTATGCCGAAGTGGCTGTACAATTAAACATCAGCGCACTATCACATGAGGAGGCAGCAATATTGATCTTCACCATACATCATCCATTTCAATAAATGAAAATGGCAACTCTACCAAAGATGATCGATAATGACTCCCCATTTCTTCTAAAGTACAAGCAGTTTCACCTTAAATACAGCAAGGCTGTATTTGGTATTTCATTTTTCAAATCACAATTTTCTGTCCATTCATAAGGCAACGTGATGAATAACCTAGCAGACATTTGTTCTAACAGACTGTCCCAACGGAGGATTATCTCAACTATAGACAAAGTCTTAGACCAATGGACTATCGGACACTAGCTTTCTAACCTTAGAACACAAAAGCAAGTGCTATGAAACACACCCCTCCCCTCAACCCTCTACAACCTTCACTCAGGTAATGAACCTTAGAAGTTCCTGCAAAGAGAAATAAGATATGAGTAAAATATAAAAGCAGCACAAATGCACCCCCTGAGCCCTAGCAATGCAAAGAAAGGTAAACCCTATAATAATTGTCGAACTAAATTCGCAAGCCCCTTTATCTTTAACTGTGAAAAATATATCTGGGAAGAAAAACTTGATGAGAGGTCCATTTAACAATGTATATTCAAAATCTCGAACTTGCCATTGTCCACATTGATGATGTACTAACACAATAATAAGCAATCTTCAATCAAAGAGCCAAATTGTTTTTCCCATTTAGCAGTATTTCCTCATTATAACCATGGACCACAAGCAGCATCATCCTCGTCCAACCTTTACAAGAAATGACTAAGACCTAAATTCATAGTCGAGTCCTTGATCTGTGATGAAAAAATCAATTATACAAAAATCACCCTCCTAAAGACTATGCTAAAAAACTCAAACAGCTCTTATCGCTATACTAATGATTCCAAAAAGTTGAAAACAGCGATAAGATGGGGTTCATGCAGAGGAAACCTTCCAAGGAAACAAAAAAACTGGCAGACTAAACTGGTTCTAACTTAATCTTCTTTATTTTTTCCTCTTTGGCACTTCCTCCAGCTACGAGAGAGAAAGACATGAAATGGTTTCCACCGGATTCGGAGTCAACTAACCCAAGAAAGATCAGCTGGGTTCCCTGCGAATCGATTTTTCTAATTTTTTTTTGAATTTAAACAAAACGTGAAGTTCCCACCTTGAACTGGACTAGGACAGGAGAAATAGACATTAAGTGTTCATACACAATCATCATAATTATCTCGGTTAACAAGAAGATCAGATACACATCGCCCGAAAGTGGCATCACAACATGTGAAGGACGACCCAAATACCTCTGTGCGCCTTCTAAGCCTAACTCCTTTATCTTTTCTGAAAGTGGCATTACAGGCTCAGTCACAATGTAAATGACGTGCTTGGAACCAGACCCATCAGCTTCAACCTCGGTACTGTGAAGAAAAGACAATATATTTGGATGACGGACCTGAAAAGCACCACAAGTCTTAGCCACCTACTCCAGAGCATACAAAAGTTCAGAAATGAGCCCAAATAACAAGTGGGTGAAATAGATGAAAATAAGTTAAAGAGGTACTGAAACAGCAGGCTATGGATAAATATGAACAAGCTGCTTATGCAGAAAATGGAGAATACCAAAGAAATTTAGTGCTTTTAAAAAGAGTTGCAACACTAAAAAATATCCTGTGGTTCTTTCTACTCCTTTTATGCTATGATTCACTGGGAAAAAGTAATGGCATGTAAATCGGCTTAATTTCCTGGGAACCCCTCTTGTGATATGCAGTTCCACCTAGTAAAATAAAGTCCGGATAAAGGCAGTGAAAACCTGGACAGATTATGCAACTTAAGAAATCAACATATTTCCCTAAGAAAATTATCACAACTAAAAAAGGATTCCTAAAAGTATATATTTTGAATGAAGTTCTGCATGAAAGCCTTTGCAAGCAGTTAATGATCGGAAAAACATCAGTCAGCAACTTACTGTCCGAAGACGCTTGACACCATTGCGACCAGCAGCCAGGTGCCCATCTTGAGCGTTACTTCCTGAAAGGGAAAATATGGACACTGAAGATCCATCATCCTGGTGAAGAAAAAGACAAAATTTGCATGAGAATTTGTTAAACACTGAAAAAAAAGTCAAATGCCACTGTCAACTTTCTGGAAAGGAAGATACCTACACAATTAAAACAAGAATCTTGAAAATCGATCTCATCATTTATCCAATTCAATGAATTCATTTTATAATTGGGACATGAGTAAACTACTTCGCAGAACATTATTTTAAAGATATTAGCATTTCTGATAAGCACCCTTACCTATTTTGGAAAGGACCCCTTCACAGGTATAATTATTTTGAAGTTATTATTAAAAAATACGTTGCCAAGAGGATCGCAGAGGTACTTTGGACACTGAAAATATGCAGATCTTCACTCGAGTCCTCTAATAGTAAGCTACAACATACAAACATTTGAATGTAACCACCCCAATAAAACATCGAGAACGCCAATCCATGAAATTTCAAAATATCAATTAAAATAAGGAACCGTAGGCACATCTTACCAGCTATTCAAAACAGCAAGCATAGCAGGCCATACTCCTTTCGCCAAGCGTTCTTAATTAGGAGAAGAATATGAAAGTTTTAAATTTTAACGATGATCTGAAACCAATAGGTCACTAGTTCACACTCTAAATTCTCTAACAGAAAAAAAAAGCATATAAAGCCCAAAACCGTTGCAGACTATTCGCTTTAAGGGCTTCACCTAAAAAAATCGGTAAAGAAAGAGCATTCATAATTCGAAATCTTAATCGACGACACAACGCAATCGACGTCAACCGGATATCCATCCCATTTGATTCTCCAATGTATCCCATCACCCCTAGCCCAGTCTCGTGAGAGATAGAGAGAGAGAGAGAGGAAGGGGAGAGGTACGGGGTGAACCTTAGAGCTGCCACGGTGGTGCGTCCATGAACCCCAGGCAGATGCGTAGGGCTCGCCGATATTGTAGGGAAGATCCTTGAGCCCCGAACCAGATCCGGCCACCACCCCCTTCAGAAATTTCAACATGCCTGCTCCCGCCGCAGAAGCAACTTCGCGGAGGGCCGCCGGGCAGGCGTCGTCGGCAGGACGAGGGACGAAGCCAGACAAAGAAAACTCTCCCCGATCCGAGACAGAGAGAGAAGCGAAGCTGTCGTTGCAGTGCGAATGTGCAGCAGTCTCCAATTCTAGAAATGGGGTATTTGCGTAATTACGTTCACTTCTACTCCTGTAACAAGTAATATTATCAGAAAGCCCCTACAACGCATTTATTTGTGACCATGTACATTTCTTTAGAATCTATCTGACGGTGGCTTTGGTGTGCTAGCGGGCCGGGCCGGGGCAATGCCCAGGTCTAGCGTCTGAAGAGTCGGGCTGAAAAAAGAAGCTCCGGGCCGGACTTCGTGAAGCCCGGGCTCGGCCATATGTAACTGTTCGAGAGGGAGAGAGAGAGAGAGAGATGGGAAGAAATAAGGGTGATTGATAGTTTCTAGGTCCTTAAGGCTGGACCCCATCATATATATTTCATCTTGAACAAAGTAAGATGAATATATATCTATTAATAATGTCTCAAAAACATTAACGCAAATCTATGTCATTTATATTATTTATCTATTTTATTAAACCATTTAAGTTTGTCTAGTGAAGTTAGAACAAACACTTGATTGAAAGGTTATGAATCCATCTCTCTTTTGGACATTTATTTCATGATAAATTTCATAAAATTGATTATCCTGATTTAAACAAAAATAATTTCATTTGAAATTATCTAGCACCCATGTGGATGAGAATTATTATTTATGATAAATTTAGCATATTATCAACCAAGCCATGACAAAATGAAACACATGACAATCCTCGACAAGTCTATCTAGTGCAGTTTGTAAGTATATACTAAAAGCAGGATAGTTGTGGCATTATAAATGCAATGCAAAAAAGGAATTTCAAAAGTAGTGTTTTGAATACTTGTGAGGATAGTATGAAATATATTTCATATAATAATATTATTTTTATTATATTATTTAACAAATTCACAATATTTGGTGAAACAAATATCAAACACCCAAGTTTATATTTGGAATACTAAAGTTATAAAAGTTGTTATATCTAGATGACCAAAATTCCAGCTAGAAAATAGGTTACAAAGAAACATGCTTGTGTGAAAAGTTAACTATGTTCTATCACATGATGTAAGTTGTCATGGTTATCGTTAATTCACAAGTAAAATGGTAAATTCACTCTATATGATGTATGCATTAATTTTATAAAAAATATATTGAATGTTGGATGAGACACTCTCATTCTCATATCATCCACATCTAAAGATGTCAAGATGGCAAAAGATAAGGTGATCATCATGATGAGCTGATGGCCTACTAGTCATTACAAGGATAAACTATGTCATCGAGGAAAAAGAGCTGAGTTTTTTGTATCTTAAAGTAAAGAAGTTGGACACTAACTATCTTGAATTGTTCTACTTGAGAGTCATCTCACATGATGGCCCTCTCTCTCTCTCTCTCTCTCTATTTCCTTGCACCATCTTTGTTCTCTTTGTGTTATTTAAGTAGAATCTTTCTTTTCACCATTCATCCTTGGTCTCTCCTTTTATAGATGTGTATTCTTTTAGAGTTGTCAAAGCCTCTGAGAGTGATGTATTTTATTTTACCTTTTGAGTTATCCACATGATTATTTTCAAACTTGTAGATTCAAGGAGAAATATCTTTGCCTAAATCTCCTTTCAGAGGTCCTTGAAAAAGTCACTTTCAAAATGTGCTTGAAAAAACTTTCTATAATTGTAACAATGAGTTTGAGTTCTTTGTAATACTTTGCTACCATGTCACACTGTTTGATATCAAGAAACTTATGGCAAAATGATCCTATTTGGTTGTAGTTTTGAAGTATTTTAAGAGCTACTAACACATGTCTTCTAACCTATTGATAGGCTTACATGTATATGTCTATTTGAACACAACAAGAACCTTACCTTCTAAACTAATGGTGGAGAGTTTTTCAGCTTCCAAGAGCATGTCCATCCAACTAAAAACTCTACATATAATTATGAGGGGGGAGGAGATGTTCATGGTCAATCCTAATTTGTGATGGTCACCACAATGAATATTGATCTGGTCTTCATGGTCTAAATCTTCAATTTTCCTTTGACATCATAGTTAATGGAGATTATTTCTTGGTTCTACCTCTGGAGATGATCTACCTAATACTAAAACTAAAATAGATGAACATCATAAAGATTGTAGAGTCAAATTACTAACACTAGTAGGCATGATCAAACGAATAACCCTACATGTACATGTTCCACAATACAACATGTGTCTCACTTTAAACTTTATCCAAAGTGTAAAAAATAGAGTGCTTTTTGTCAAGTTATTTTAGCTCACACATGACTTCTATAACAATGCACTCCAGTCTCAAATGACAACTTTAGTGAACATCTCAAAGCCTAATTTCTCACAATATTTCTATTAAATATTAATAATACCTTCACCTAAAGAAATAGACTTATAATTTTCTTATAATCAACATAAGGATTTTTTCTTACCTAATTCTTAAAAGATGAAGATTTAAAAACTCACTTGGGAGATGTTTGCTATAAGAATCATCCAATATTTAAATAGTATGTACTTCGACTCAGCTCTATTCATTAATATGTAAGATGATGACTAGCATTATGTGTGGACTACCACATCCAAAATAAGGTAATGATCTTCAATCATTTTTTTGCTTTGACTATCGAAAAATTAATCCATGAGTTTTATGGAGTAATAATATTCTCAAAATTAGATTTGCATTTAGACTAACACTAAACATGTATTAGAAAATAGAATGTCTAAAAACCATCATTTTACACATAAAAGGAATATTTCACATTTCTCACAATACTATTTAGGCTTTTAAATACCTCAATGGCTTCTCATCTCCCCATAAATATTTTGATAATTTTTTTCAAAAAATCATTTTCCTTTTTTTGATGTTATTCTTGTTTATAATTCATATATGAAGACCCATGAACAACACCTAGTTATGTTGTTTGTCATCCTATAATATCATTAATTACATGTCAATTCTAAAAAATACTCTTTAAGATAAACGAAAATAGCTTACTTAGGACATTGGGTATCAATTTTATTTTTTCATAATTGATTGGTAAAAAATAATGTAATTTTTCAATGTTTGCTTGTAACTAATCCTTTACTTGAGCTTAAAGGACTCATAGGCCTCATAGGCTATTATTGTGAAACAATAATTAGATTCTTAGCCTAATCATTGATCCAAAAATTGAAGAAGTGCATGTTTAGTTATGGATTGGAGACAAAGACAACCTTCTAATGGCTAAATGAAGCCTTCATATTAGGGTTTGTCTTAACTCTTCTGAATTTCTTTCAATAAATCAATCATGAATTTCATGCTTCAAATCAAGGGATTAAGGGTTGCCAATATACAATAATAATTATATTTTAAATCAACCTTTATTATTGCTTATGAGAAGTAATTAATGGTCATCATCCTCACCACACTCAAATATAAATATTATCTACTCCATATTTTTTTATATTTATAGACTAAAACTATCTCAAGTTCATACTAGAACAACAATATATACTTCTTGATGGTAAAAAATTTATAAAAATTCTCAACTTTGAATTTGAAATTCGTACGAGATTAGGGGTTTCAAAAAAAGTGACTAATGCACTATCAAGAAAATCGAATGAGATCATAATTCAATCCATGTAATTATCTTGATTCAAATTGATTGATTAAGATATAATCACACAGCAACTTTGAGGCAACTCCCACCTCTCATGAATCATTGAAGAGATACCAAAGGGTAGTAAACAATGGGTCAATTATTATCTCCATCAATGATTATTACTCTATTGAGGACAATTAATAAATTTACAAAAATATTTTTATTTTGTAAAATTTCTTCATGATTTGACCATCAAAGAATATTCAAGCTCTTTTTAAACTTAGAATCAACCAAAGTATTTGATGTGCTAAAACATGTTGCAATTTGGTTCTAGAGAGAGTATATGAAGATGGTTTCATGAACTTTATTGAAATACTACCCAAATCAGATGGATTTAATGTAATACAAGTGGTGGTGGACAATAACATATGCGCACACTTCTCTTCCCTCAAACACTTATTTTTGGCTTTGGAGCTCACACATGTCTTCACCTGTAATATTATGTGATCGTATGAAATTCTAGTCTCAACCATCACTAAATGTGATTAAATTTTTATGAGCTATTTCTAAAAGGAACTATGAAAAATGTAAGGAACCACACTGCATCATACAAATTTATATCATTCACCAATTGGTCAAATGTGACTTTGAAATATATATTTGCTACTTTGTAAGAGATCACAATGCTGCAAATTAATCACATTGGGGAATTTTGACATAACATGAAGTTTCATTCCTCTGCAAGTGTTGTCCTTCAAAATTAAATGTGAGGGAAACCCTTTTGACCCTCTTCTATTATGGATTACAAACTATAAGGTTGGATGAAGTAGGATGACAATTACAAAGTTAGAACACTATATAATTGAGCTCAAGTACCACCTAGCATGAGCCCAAGCTCTAATGAAGGCATATAAGGCCTAAAAACATTGAAAAATATAGTTCATTGAAGGTGATCTCATCTAAAATCCAACTTTGCCCATATATGCTGAAGTCTCTTACTAGAGGCCACACTAGAAACTCACCTCTTGTTACTTAGGCCCATTTGAGGTATTGGAATGTATTGGGCTGGTCACTTACCACTTGGATGTTCCATCCACATCAAGTATTTACCATATGTTTCACATGTCATAATTGAAGAATGCTTACGACATAATTTAATGTTGGCCCTCTCTTATTGGATAATGACGTCCACTAGGCTGTGAAACTATGTAAGGTCCTCAACATATGACATAATTTACACAAGATTGAGGTCCTAATAAGCTAGAAAAACCTCTCATAACTAGAGGCCACTTAAGAACCAGCCCAAAGTATTCACCATCAATTCTCAAGTTTTTTCCTTGTGGATTATGTAAAAATCTTAGGAAAAAGTATTGATGAAATACTTTCATCCCCAAATCATCCTTGTCAAAAGCAATTATAACCATCTCATAAGAAAAGTTAATTGTCTGAGAAAAAATCTACTAAGATAGAAAAAGGCAATAGTACAATGAAAGATGAGGTCAGTGTCTCAATGATTAGTTTATTAATCATGTCACCAAGAAGAAGAACTTAGTTTATTATATTTCTGAGTGGAGAAGTTGGAGATTAGCCATCTCAAATCAATCTATCACATGAGTCATCTTGTAGGGTCTCAACTCTCTCTCTCTCTCTCTCTCTCTCTCTCTCTCTCTCTCTCTCTCTCTCTCTCTCTTCTCTTGTATCACTTCCCTTCCCTTCCCTTTGTATTATCTCAAATAGAAAAGAGGTCCCATCAATGTCACATTTAATTATCATTTGATGTAAAAATAGTTTCTCAATAAATGAGAGAGAGGCTTAAAAACTACTCTATTTTTCTTGGTGACTTTATTCAACCTACTCTATTTATTCTTCTCCCAAAGTATTCAAGGGATTATTATTTTTTGATCCGTGTGAATTCAGGGATCCTCACCATCAATCATGTTGGATTCAAGGTCTAATTTACTGCCTATTTTCCACTATGTCATCATTGACGTGAAGATGGTCTAGCAACCCACGTTATTAATCCTCAAAATTGTAAAGGGAGGGGCTTCAATCGAACTCCTGAGATATTCCATTTACTTAGAAGTTAGCTATAACAATAAATTGACTGGTAAAGGATCCACATACAATTTTTTATGGCATCCAAGACTTTAGGTGCAGCTGGGTGATTCGTTCTTCTCCCGAATTATCGATCCGGGCCCTCATCTGATGAGTGTGTGATTCTTAAATTCTTCATTGGGAATCGCTTCAGACAAGCTCGGCTGGTTTAGATCGACTTTTTCGCCACTCGGACACGTTATTCCCGCATCATCAACAGAGGACAATTCGGCACCTGGAAGAAGGCCGGGGAAGTCGGATATGGAGCTTGAGGGAGACGAAAGGAAAAACCGAGATCAGAAGACCCGGGGCTTGCAGACGATAGTGGAGTGCTTCAGGATGTGAAGGCTGAACTGGCCTCCTTTCTCGGTGGTGTCCAGCTTGCCCTGCCCCGGCGGCGGGAGAAGCTCGAAGTTCTGCACCAGGCGGCCGATGGTGATGCCGAGGATGGGGAGCGCGAGGATGATCCCGGGGCAGCTCCTCCGGCCCACCCCGAAGGGTAGGTAGCGGAAGTCGTTCCCGTTGGCCTCCACCTTGGCCTCCTCCTCGAGGAACCTCTCCGGCCGGAATTCCTCCGGCTTCTTCCATTGCTCGGGGTTGTTGGCGAGGAACCAGGCGTTGACGAGGATCTTGCTCTCGGCGGGGATGTCGTAGCCGGCGAGCTTGGCATCGTGGAGATTCATGTGTGGGACGAGGAGGGGGATGGCCATCCGCAGGCGGAGAGTCTCCTTGACCACGGCCTGCAGGTAGGGGAGCTTGTGGGTGTCCTGCTCCGTCACCTGGACGCCCGGGCCCAGCACCGCGTCAATCTCTGCCCTCAGCTTCCTCTGGATCTCCGGGTGGTTCACCAGCTCCGCTACGCCCCACTCGATCGACCACAGCGTCGTCTCAATAGCTGCAAGGGACAGTAGGTTAGTCACCCTGTTGGTTGGGTTCTTACACGTGACTGCGGCTCACGGGTCGACGGATCTCGAGGATCCGAGCGGTTTCCACCGCTCTGACACCGAACAGATTCTAGGAGAGGAGGGAGGGAAAGTACCGGCGACGTTGATGTTCTCGATGATGTAGAGGACGTTGTCCTCGTTGATCTCCCCCTTCTTCTCAGCTTCGAGGATGTGGTCCACGGCGCACTTGAGGTCGTGTGATCCCTTGGTGCTCGCCAGCCTGCGCAGGTGAGGAGAAGTGTGATTCCCCAGTGGAGATTGTTTCGTCGAGGTTGATCTGTGTTCTGATGCTGCTTCTCTCAACGAATCGCTCCGTGGATTAATCTTTGCTGGTTTTAGCGGCTTCGTATCTACTGGAAGAGGGCGGAGGAGGAGTAGATGGATAGGGGTACTGACTTGCGTTCCTCGAGGAAGTAGTCTTTGAAGAGCTGGAGGCGGCGGTCCTTGACTTCCTTGCAGATCTTGAGGTATCCACGGAGGAAGGGGCGGAGGATGGGGATGAAGTCGCCGTAGTTGTACTCGAAGCTTTGGGCGAGGCGGCTCCGCTCGCCGTTGAGCGCGCGGAGTTTCACGAACAGGGGATCCTGCTCGCTCTCAAACCGGCGGTCGAACATGATCCGGTACATGTTGTTGTACATCATCAGCTGGAGGCGCCGCCGCAGCACGATCCCCTCGGTGGCGGCCTTGGGGTTGGCCTTGACGTCCTCCACCACACTGCGTGCCTCATCCTCCCACCCTGCGCGGTACTGCTGCACCACCTTGTTGGTGAAGAACGGGACGGTCATGATCCGCCGCATCTTCCGCCAGTGCTCCCCGTACACGGTGAACACCATGTCCTGCCCCTTGCCAGTGAAGATGTCGAACACCACGTTCCTCGTGCGGGAGCCGAACTCCACACCCTGCGTGTGGAGCACATCGCGGGCGAGATCCGGCGAGGAGATGACCACCAGGTTGCGCTGCCCCATCCGGAGCAGAAAGATGTCCCCAAATCGGCGAGCGAGCGCCGTGAGGTTGCGGTGGTTGAGATCATCCCCTACCTGGAGCCAGTTGCCGAAGACGGGGACTGGTAGGGGCCCCGGGGGGAGCTTGAACCGCTTCCCCCTGGCCTTGGAGACGACCACGGCCAGAGTGACCGCCGCAAAGAGCCCCAGAAGAACCTTTTCCAGCAGTGCCAGATCCATTTCCGCCTTCTTCCCCTGCAACTCGATCTGAGATTGGGGGGAAGAAGAAGAAGATAAGGGAATCTGCCTCGCTATGGCGGGCTGAGGACGGGCAACGGCGGCGGGGAAGCCTTTATAAGCTCGCCGGAAGACGGGACCCGACGGCCACCGTTATCTTTGACTGTTCCACTAGAGGATGGGGTAGGTGACGCGTGATCTCGCTCGGATAGTTGGGGTCTACCGGACGAGGGGAAGGTTGGTGGAGTGGGTCGCCCAGCCGTTAACTTTGACGGCCCAAACGGAGGTAGGTAGGCAACCAAGAGCCACCTCTTTATCTCAGTTACCGCTCCCTCCTCGTCACAATTCTATTTATCAAATATCCATTAAAACAAGCACAATGTTATTCAAAAATAGACATTCGGTTGTCCTACATCCTTTTTTTCCCGTTGACCTTTGACCATTGACCTACTAGCCAGGAGTCGGCGGCCAGGGCCGCTGCCTCCACGTGTACAGACATCATTCTATCAGGCTGGGCCTCACACGATCTCTCTCTCACTCCCTCTCCTACCTCCTCCGCTCTGACTTTCCTCCACGCCTTTCACAAGGCGGAGTGGGTGGCTCCTGTTTAGAGAGAGAGGAGTGAAGGTGCCAGCTGTCGCGAGATTAAAAGCGGCTGAAACGTAGATGAAGTCGTGGCACCCAGATGGCCAAAAATGCCACCTAACTTTTTATGAGGAAGGGATTTTGGCAGTCGACGTGGTCCGTTCGGTGGCATCTACCGCCGGCGGGCGGGGGGGCGGGGCCGGTGTCGTGGGCAACCCTAGTACCCAACCTTCGGCTACGCCATGTGTCACCCTCTCTGCCGTCCGTCCCCACGCCACCTCCCCGTTTCCGACGACGAGCAGATAGATTAGACCGCCGCCGCCGGGAGGCATCACCCGCCAGGACCCCTACCCACCACCATCCCCACTGGTAGGTGGAGAGAGAGAGACAGAGAGAGAGAGGAATGCTTGGTTCCTGAGGAGAGAGAAGAGTTAGAGTCGTTGGGGGACTAGACTATTTTATTTTTATTTATTTCGATACTTTGTGGGCCTCAAGGAAGTCGCTCACCCGCCCTTCCTACCTCTCCTAACGCCAAAATCATTCAAGGTGATCGAGAAAATGCTACATGATGACATTAAACCCCAGGCAAAAGTCAACGTCAAGCATAGAATATGTTGGTCCTGAAAGGTCAAACTCCCTAGAGAAATGCACAAAATGAGGGCAAGAGGAGGGGTTTTAACTTTAGATGCAAAGTCAACTAGTCTTGATGTAATTATTGATGTAGTGGTTTAGTTACGTCAGGTAAGACTTGCTCCACTCCCAGACCATATCTTTGAAAGCTCTACCATGTTTGTTCCTTCTTACTTCATATTCTAGTTAGCCTTTGAAAAGGAAATACACATTGAAACAGATGTTGAGCAAAAGTCATGTGATGGTGAATATACAATAAATGGTTTTAGCACCTACTTAATTGATAATGGTTTAGAAAAAGTCAAGCTTTAATGATAGATATTTGAGAAAGGTCAAAACTTCATTGCTATACCTAGCTACAATGGTTTGTCCTTAGAGAAAAAGTAGTAATTCCTCTTTGGAAATTATTACTCTTAGGATTTCACCTGAGATGGTCAACCTTTATTCTATTTGCAATGATTTGAAAATAGGTATTGATTAATTTTTTTATCTTAATTATGTTGCATATTTGAGCATCATCTTTGACAATCCACTTGATTAGAATCTTTGACAATCCATCATCTTGGATCATCATCAAAATTGTGTGTACAAAATGATGAAATAATTAAATGATAAATTATTAGAAGAATGATTCATGAGAAACAAAACCTAGGCATAAAATCATGACATAGTCCTAGCCCATGCATGCAACAACATGATATTATGTAATTCTAGAGGGAGGTTAATGTTCTAGTATCTCTCTTAGTAGGCAAATAATATAAAAAAATAAAAATTATTAAAGATATGGGAGTTCATAGTATAATATAACATTTACCAGTATTTTATTTGAGATGAAAAAGATTGTATGTTTTTACAAGGCAATGAGAGGAAAGGGGGTATTTGATATTTTTGAGTTTTTAACTAAATTTAGGTTCTCTCATCACAACTAGAATCAATGTTCATAGTAGTTTGACACAAGGGGTTTACCCCACTCCTTAAGGACTATGTTCTACTAGATCTCATAAATAAAAATTATTGAACATAAATGTTTCAGCCAACATCTATGAATGTTAATGACTCTAGTTAAGCAAATGCTTTCAAAAGATAATTATTTTTGATTCACAACTCTTGGGGGGGCAAATTTAATTGACATACAACTCTCTTCTAGGTTTACAACTCTACATGGCAAAAACAATTAATACCCATCAAATGCCCACTTAATTGATGTTTCTAGGATATCTCAACTAGATTAGGCTCCAACTAATGTATTTTAAATTGATGGCTCTAGGTCCATCCAACTAGATTATCAACAACTAATTGATATGTGATTGGCATCTCTATGTTAACTTAACTAATTTATTCTAGATTGATGACTCTAGGTCATCTCAACTATATTAAAAATCAGCTAATCTCTTTTAGGTGATGACTCCATGTCAACACAATTACATTAGAACCCAGCTAAATTGTTTCAAGTAACACCTCTAAATTGACCCAGTTATATGAAGTAAAAATATCAAACGGTAAAAAAATATACTTTTGAAAATTTTAGCACATAGCTTATTTTATGCATGGAAGCTTAGTTATGCGTGGAAGTATCTTTCAGTGTATCAAAATGATCTAGAAAGATGTCATTCTTGCAACATGGAAATTTATGGTTAAATGTTGAAGGGCACAATTATTTTATACTCAATCTTTTCTTGAGTTTTGGGTTTTTAACATTCAAAAAACATTAATTCATTCCAACAACTATTTACAAGTTATCCAATGGCTAGTTCATAGTATAGTCATTTTTTAAAAAAATTAGTCTCAAATACTCTAAGGCTAAAATAAATTGTTTCAAATAGATTTAGAGGTTACACTAATATGTAAGCATGTTTTATGAAAAATTAATATTATACCCTTATATGTCCTTTGTTTGAGACTTGTATTGTCTAATGATTTGACTTTCCTACCTTAGTATTTCTATCACTATGAGAATTGAGATTTTTTCTTCAAAATGAGTACACTCATTTTCTTCGTATATGTCATTAAGTATTAAAACTATTCTCACCAAATGAGTAAACTCGCCTCTTACAATGAACTTAAAACATAGGATTTACAAACAATAAATTATAAACACATAAGAAACTTCATCACTAGCTAAAATATGCTTTTCCTAGTTGATAAAAGACCATATATTTATATTATTAATGTAGAATCATCATTATGTCATATTATCTTCCTCACTAAGAGTATAATTAATAACTCCTTTTTAAAAGTCAACTTATAAACCAACCCCTTTCTATGAACATAAAGAGACACAATGGGTTTTGACTCATTTCCTAAATCACATGGGACTTCACTTAAGTACAAAAAAATAATTTGTGAATACTTGATAGCCACTCATCATAAATTCAGTAGTATGCAAATATTATTTACTTCAATGTAATTTTTCAACATTAAAGCTAGAAAGGCTTCAAAAATCAACAAAGATGACATCTATTATCTACAACTTTTGTTTAGGTTGTCATTGTTCAAATGCCAGCATGAGATATGAGGATTCCACTTGTATTCTACTTCAAAAAAGAAAAACCTACATATTTTTTAGTTATATTTATTGGAGATTTATTATTATCTTTTGTCTTCATTTAAACATTTTTCTTATAAAATCTTAAGATTTTGTAATACATATTCAAAATATTTAACAAAGTTAACATTTTTCCATGCAACTTTGAGGAAATTTTCAGTTTACATCTAAAATTTGTGGCTACAATCTCGTCAGATACATTCACTAGCATCTCTACTAATCCCACCATCAATATAGTTAGTTGCCACTTTTAATTGGTTGAGCATTCATCCCCATGTAATTGGTAAGATGAGTAGTGATTTGAATTGGCTTCTCTAAAGTAATTGGTCTATTAATATATGAACCTTATTTCAATGGGATCTAATATTAGCTTAGCACCTCATAGTGGCTCAATAGTGGGATCTAATAAATGCTTAAGATAAATTAATAGCATAATATCTAATAAAATATCTACATATGACATTTAGGCTCTAATATAACAAAGAAAAGCTATTCATTCGACATGTGCAAGTTAATGTTTGAATAATACAGAATATGGTCATATTAAATGTTGAAATACAAATTAGAAAATGTAACATTTTTTTAGAGAAAATTTAAAAGTTGGAAAAGGCAAGAAGGTTTGAGTCATATAAAAAAAAGTGTAGAAAAGATCAAATTATAAGGTGAATTCAGGTCCTCAACATCAATAAGGATATGCATTCGATCAATAATCTTCCAAGGACTAAGTACATGATAAGAACTTCCAGCTTTAATCAATAGACCACTACAATGAAGTTCTAGAGACCAGGAATTTTTTTGGTTGGGTTCATTTCTCTTTGAAAATAATTGAATTACAGTCATAAAAAAATATTACTATCAAAAAGTGGCTGTGTGATTGTGTATTTCTCAAGCCTTGAGTCTAGAATAGTGAGCTAACACATATATGTGGAGTATATTGCTACCTTGAGTCTAAAGTCTAGAAGCAAATACTAGTGGAACATAGGCTACTAGAGTGATGAATCTGGTGAAAGTCCGAAATTAGAAGGAGGTATTGTACTATATGTGAATAGTGTAACCCAGAGGAGATAGTGCAGAAAGTAGAATTCGCTATGACTCTCTCTCTCTCTCTCTCTCTCTCTACCTTGATCTGTAGAAATTAATTACCCCGACAACAGTGGATAATCTGAGTTCAAGGGTTTGCAAGGCTCCTAGCACCCAAGGCCGAGCTTGCTTCTTGCAAAGAGTAGAGCCAGACCCTTGATCGAGCTTGGCCCATTAGTCCTAGCTCTGGCTCACGTCAATCCTGTGATTTCTTCTCAATCTTGGACCTGGCTTCCTTATCATAAAGATGGAAGCCGTGTCTTCTGAATGAGTGTGCGTGTGTGTGTGTGTGAGAGAGAGAGAGAGAGATAGAGAGAGAGAGAGAGAGAGAGAGAGGGAGAGAGTAAAAGTGGTAAAGGCCTACTTCATTGTAACACCATGAAGTATTATAATTGTCGAAGGACCGTCCTGGCAACTCTATAATTTGGAGAAGACATAACCATTTGAGATTTTTATCACATTTATCCTAAATTAAAATTAAAATATAACACTAGAAATATATTCCCTAACTGATGAATTCTTCCTAATTACTCTTCCTTTCTCTTCAGAGGATCATTAACCATGGATCCATACATAATATCAAATAAAGAGAGGTCCTACACGTCATTACGAAAATATCGTGTGGGGTGGGGGGGAGGGGGAGGCGTTGGGGTCCACAGTCAATGTGCACGTGCTTCGCGTCTCAAAATCAGGAGAGAGAAAATCCGAGAATCATAAATAAGTAATATATTTTAATTAACGCCGACACGTGTTTTGATATGGCAGTCGATTCAGAGCGTGGCGTCGACGGTCACGTGAGAAGGCGGTGTGGCGAGCCTCAGGAATAATGAATGGGTTATTAAATTCCCGGTCCTAATAATCATAAATTATTCTATCATCGATATTTATTTATTTATTTATAAATCCTTCGTAAAAACATTCCCTTGAAAATTTGCCTAAAATATGATCTAATTTTTTAAATATAAATCATAAAAATATAGTGAAAGAAGAAGGGCAATGCACGCTAGCAGATCAAGTAATGTGATTTTATATCATAACAGGGAAAATACTTAATTATATTTTGTTAAAATAAAAGGCCAAATAAGCACCTTCCCTGACGTAGCACGTTTTAATTGGAACTGTGCTGGATCACGATAAGGTTGTTGTGATCTGCGGCTTCTCTGCACCAATTTACTTTCTCCAAATCGGATCTCGTTTCAGTGGGGCTGCCGTATGCATGAAGCTTACCGAGAAGCAGCGTCCCCCAGTGACGTGTTCTCTTCCTCTTCCTCCTCCCACGTCGAGTTACCACCCCTACAGAGAGAGGAAAGAGAGAGAAACAGAGAGAGAGGAGAGAGAGAGTGGCGGTAGGGACGGTGAGGACTGCCTCGGGCTGTCGGATCGGTGGACTCTTCGAGGGCCTGGCTCCCCGCCGCCACTTGTTCTGTTTTCCTCTTACCGTCTGGAGGAAGGGAGGGCTGTTAACTCTCTCTCTCTCTTCCGCGTGGTGCGTAGTAGGATCGTCGCGTTGTCGGCGTCGAGATTTCCAAAGGTGGCGAGGGAAGACGGGCGAGCGCGTTCCCCCGGCTCTACAGGTTCCGGCGGCAATTTGCTTACCTTGATGTGTGATACCGGACTGTAGGGCTATGATATAGTTGGTTATGTAGGCGGAGAATCGAAGTCACCCTCTCATTGTCCATTCCCCTGCTTCCGAAGGTCCCACTGGGGGAGGGAGGGACAAGGGATGCCTGGTTTCTCTTTCCCGATCTGGTTTTCGCGAATTGATGGCCGTAGGAGTTAGTTTTTGCTTTCTGAACTTACTTCGGCGCCCGAGTTCCCCGATGAAAGATCTGGCATTCGTTCCTTATCCCTCCTACTGAGGTTTTCTTCCTCGGGCTGGTTTGTTTCCGACTAGAGCCTCATCGTCTGCGTTTCATCCGGATTTTTTCGTGGATTATGTTCTGGGAGAGGCAGATTTTGGTTTCCTGATCTTGTTCTCATGTTGTTTTTTTCAGTTCCGGGGTGATATTCGGCGATCTACCCGTGAAGGATTTGTCGGTCCCCAGAGTTGCTTGTGAGGATGGGAAGAACAATAACTTTCGCCGTCTTTATTTTTATGCTCTGGGGAACTGCCGATGCGAAATTCATCGTGGAGAAGAACAGCTTGAAGGTGACTTCGCCTGACTCGTTGAAAGATGTCTACGAGTGTGCAATTGGAAACTTTGGGATCCCCCAGTATGGTGGGACGATGGTTGGCTTAGTGATGTTTCCAAAGGCAAACACAAAAGCTTGCAACGGTTTCGATGAGTTTGATATTTCCTTCAGATCCAAGGCTGGGGGATTTCCTACCTTCCTTCTCGTGGACAGAGGAGGTCAATATCTCACTTCAGACTCAGTATTTATTTCCTTTCTCTCTTGTGTTCGTCGGGTTTCTTTGAACTGTTGCTTTGCCTGATAAAGATAATCCTTGTTGCCACCCTTCGTAAATGAAGCCTTTACCATGTACATGGAGTAAAAAAAATGACTGGTAGCATTGGCTCGGTTACCTTTCAGATCGTTCCCTTTTATTAAATGCCTACATCTCTTGGTACATAGTTTTCTTTTCTTGCTGCAATGAAGTATCGTCTGATTCTCTGCAGCTTTCTTACCTTTCGAGGAACTGACAGATCATATGCATTCACGGATGTGATTATCTGACAGTCAGCTGATCATTGATTTTTCGAGTCCCCTTTTTCACCAACTTGATGGCCATACTCGTTGATTGCATGTTTGTTTTTTCATTGTCTAATTCCTTTCGATGGGGATTTCTATTTATCAAAGTCGTCAAAACAATCATCTATTGCTATTCTTTTCCTCATTGGAGAATGAAAAGGTGTGAGATATCTGTATTGCCATTACTCATCAGGTTATTTGATTGTTCATCTTGAAAGTAGGGCTAAGGAGCCTAGGTCTCAGGGGAATCATCTGTGAAAAATTATGTCCAGAAAGGCCTTTTCCTTTTCCATCCAATGTTCTTGGGAAATGTCCTCAGATTTCTACCTGAAATGACTTCTCATTGTGTCCCTTCTTTTGATCCCAGAAATCAGAATATTGTGTCTTATTTGATGAACTTGATGTGTGGAAACCGTTGCATTTTGTTTACATAAGTCGTCATAGTCGTTGATCGATTTTTCATAGTTGTTTACAGAAGCATCTAGTTTGCTTTTAAAAAAATGCTTTATAAATCATATGTATTTCCTACATCACAAAATGCATGCATTGGGGCATTTCCATCAGTATAGCTCTTCATGAAAATGTACTGAATTATTTTTTATCGTAAATCTTCATTACATGGCATATGATCAGTAACTTTGTACTATGCACAGATTGCTATTTCACTGCAAAGGCATGGAATGCACAAAAAGCGGGAGCTGCTGCTATCCTTGTTGCTGATGATAGGATCGAACCCTTGATAACCATGGACACACCTGAGGAGGATAATGCAAAAGCAGATTATTTGCAAAATATCACCATCCCAGCAGCTCTCATCAGCAAAAGCCTCGGGGACAGATTCAAGAAGTCCTTGTCAAATAGCGAAATGGTCAGTGTCAACCTGGATTGGAGAGAATCACTACCTCACCCCGATGAGCGTGTGGAGTATGAATTCTGGACAAATAGCAATGACGAGTGTGGTGTCAAGTGCGAAAGTCAGATAGATTTTGTGAAGAGCTTTAAAGGAGCAGCGCAGATACTGGAGCAGAAGGGATACACACAGTTCACTCCTCACTACATTACGTGGTACTGTCCTGAGGCTTTCACCCTAAGCAAACAGTGCAAGTCACAGTGCATCAATCACGGGAGGTATTGTGCTCCTGATCCTGAGCAGGACTTCAGCCGAGGGTATGATGGAAAAGATGTGGTAGTCCAAAATTTGCGTCAAGTTTGCTTGTTTAGAGTTGCTAATGAGAGTGGCAAACCTTGGCTTTGGTGGGATTATGTCACTGATTTCTCTATTCGATGCCCAATGAAAGAGAAGAAGTACACGAAGGAATGTGCTGACGAGGTTATTCGTTCGCTGGGTAGGTGTTTCGTCCATGTAATTCTTGGTACAACAGAAATTTTAGTGGTCGAGGGGGTAGGTGTTGTCCTTAATCTGCATATTATCATCTTATTCACCATGCCCTTCATTGATGCTCGCAGGTTTGGACCTTAAAAAAATCGATAAATGCATGGGAGATCTTGACGCAGATGAGGACAACCCAGTCCTCAAAGCAGAACAGGATGCACAGGTCAAGCTCCATATTTTTGTATCTTGCAAAACTGTGGTTTTATTGAGTTTTTTGCTAAATTAATTTGATGTTCTGGGGTTAGATCGGCAAGGAATCCCGAGGAGACGTGACCATCTTGCCAACTCTTGTGATCAACAATAGACAGTATCGAGGTTAGTTACTGGTTTTTTTCTTGCTTATTCTAAAGTCTCAAGTTTTTTTGTGTACGATAAAGTCTCAAGATATTGTCTGTATCCAGGTAAATTGGACAAGGGTGCAGTTCTAAAAGCGATATGTTCTGGGTTTCAGGAAACAACTGAGCCCGCAGTTTGTTTGAGTGAAGGTTGGAAGAAGATATCTACGAATCTCTATTCTTTTTATTGAAGGATTGATGATATTATAGTATCAAACTTGCTACCTCATATCCTGTATTGTTTATCTTAGTTGTACTATATTAATTGTCCAGATGTCGAAACAAATGAATGCTTGGAGAACAATGGTGGCTGTTGGCAAGATAAAGCAGCTAATATTACTGCTTGCAAGGTGAGTACTACCCAGGCTTTTGATAGTGGAGATCATTTATCGGAAACGCCCCTGCCTTTTGCTCCAAAGTATTGACCTTGTGTGAGCTTCTTGTGCAGGACACTTTCCGTGGAAGGATTTGTGCGTGCCCTGTTGTTCAGGGTGTGAAATTTGTGGGTGATGGATATACGCATTGTGAAGGTAGGCAACTTTTCGCGTATATGTGCGTACTTTATTTTATTTATCTCAGCATAAACAATGATTTTATTATTTCATTTTTTATAGACATGTTTGAAAGTCGTCTTGCAATGAGGCAGCGGGCCGTCTCCTTAGCCTCCTTCAAAAACTATGTTTTTTCTTCTGAAAAGTCTGCAAACAATTGAGTCCCAGATATTAGGAACACAGGGTTTTACTCCCCTCCTTCCCCTCCTCCCCGCGGTACCCGGCCGATTTTTCTCTATTGGACGGATGGATGGAACTTATGTAATTCATTGTCAATGTATAAAGTAATTGGTGGACTGCCGCTAGGGTCTATTAGACATGCTGATGTACGGTCTGTTGACCCCGGTTCCCATGAATCTGGGTTATCTAAGATCTAATAGGATTTAAAGCTTTATGGCCAGTTATCCTGCCTATAGTCAACCCTCTTTTGACAAGAGGAACGTTCAATGGTACCAATCACCAAAGTAGAAACTGGCCCCTGACTCTTCAAAACGATAGTGACGGTTTCACTTCCTGTAGACTTTGGGAAGATTATGTTGGAATTCATGGTGATGTTCAAGTCCAAAAAAAAAAAAGAAAGAGATGGTCTCTTTCTCTGCTCTCCTCTGTCGCTTTTTTATTTATCTTTCATCATCAGAAAAATATTCTTCTTCTCCAGCTGCTGGGTCCGGGCGTTGTGAGATCAACAATGGAGGTTGTTGGAAGCAAACTCGCAATGGCCAGACATTCTCTGCCTGCATCGTAAGTGGTTTGACTTTCTGATCCCCTTCCTCGCTGGTATTTACCGTCATCAGTCTACTCTTGTTATGCAGGAAGACGAATCCAAGGGATGTAGATGCCCACCTGGATTCAAAGGTGATGGAGTCAGCACGTGTGAAGGTACTCCGACTCAGCGCACCTGCCGTTGCCACCTTAACCCATATACCATTTCCTGTTTTAGCATATCTCCCTTGGTGAAATCTATGGGCAACTGTGAGGAATCTTCAATGCCTGCAGCATCTGTCTGAAGACTGTTTTCCTCCTTCTTGACTGCCTTAGATGTTGATGAATGCAAAGAGAAGGTCGCGTGCCAGTGCTCAGAATGCAAGTGCAAGAACACTTGGGGCAGCTACGAGTGCAGCTGCAGTGGCGGCCTACTGTACATGAAGGAGCACGACACTTGCATCAGTGAGTTCCTCTCGGAAGAACCCTCTTAATAACTTCAAGAAAAGCCTGTGGCCATTTCAGGAAAGAATGAGCCTAAGCTAGGGGAGTGGCGCTGATCTTCCCCTTTTACTCCTCGGACGAAATATATTGATAAATTAGATGAAAATGGCCAATCCGAGGTTCTTGATGAACGGGAATCTTGTTTTTTAGGGTTTTATTAACCATATATATCAGATAAATGTGGATGGTTCATCTGATTATGATTCCTCACCCACCAAGATCTTCAAAAGCTGCGGCCTTGAAGCAGCTCACTCGGTCTCGTTGTGACATTCAGCCCTCTGGAAATGGTGTGCAGGCAAGAAGGCGACAGCTGAGGTCAGCTGGAGCTTCATGTGGTTCATCCTGCTCGGCCTGGCCGTAGCTGGGTTTGGAGGGTATGCCGTATACAAATACAGAATCCGGGTAATCCTCTCAGTTCCTTCTCTCTCCTCTGTTCTCTCTCTAAAGCAGCAGAAGCAGGCGCAAATTTTTTCAAGGAATTTTCTTAACAATTCCCACCTGATATTGACAATTCTTTCTTTCTTTTCTTAACTCGTGCCTGATATTAATTACTTAATATGCAATATTTTTCATTTTTGTTAATTTTAAATGGAATTTCTCGGAGAAAAATGTTCTACTCTGAGAACATCTATGACCAGGCAAAACCACCCTGATATTTAAAGTTGCTATTTTTAGTTCCTTCACGTTGATTTTTTTTTATTTTTTTATTCTTTGACGGAAAAAGAACAAGAGGAACCGATCATGAGGATCTTTATGAACCGAGAAAAGCAGCCTTGTTATTAATCTTGCTCTCTCTCAGTTTCATTCCTGCCTGCGACAAAGATCTTGTAATTCATTGACTTCTTTAAACCGACAATCTTCTTCCCAATGCAGAGGTACATGGACTCGGAGATCCGCGCCATCATGGCCCAGTACATGCCTCTGGACAATCAGGGGGACAACCCCAACCACGTCCCCCATGGAAATGTCTGAAGCCCCTGCTCCCCTCCTGAGCGGCAGCAATGAACGACCAAGGCGGCAGGACGAAGAAGAAGAAGAAGCAGAAGAAGAAGCCACCTCCAGCCTCCGACTAGAGCTCCCCGCCGGCTTCTTTCTCTCTCATGGGAGCAGACGCTGTTACTTAATTTAGCAAACTCCACCTGTTGCTTCATGTAAATCCGAGACCGGTTCATCCCCCACCTTATGCTTTTTATGGTAGTCGCCCACCGGTGGGGAGTTTTCTGTCTAGAATGGATCCTAGTTTTTGTTCAGAACTTCGTTTCCAGCTCGGCCCGGCTGTTTTCAATGAGAACTGGGTTCGGAGAGTTTTTCTGAAGAGGGCTGGGGAATTTTTATGAAGCTCGGTCCTCGCTTTGAGCCTTTGACCCGCCCGAGAATCGCCCGTTGACTTGGAAAAGGGCCCAACCCGTGAATGACGAAAGTCAACGGGATATATATATATATATATATATATATATATATATATATATCTCTCTCTCTCTCTCTAACCCAGTAAGAGCTTTGTGAAGGATACCCGGGCTCGGCAGTCTCAGATTAAATGGGTTCAAAGTCATGAAATTTATATGAAGCTTGGTCCTAGCTTGGACCACCGGACCCCCAGATGAGCCCCCGTTGACCTGGAAAAAGGGTCCACCCCGTGAATTAGGAAGTCAACGGGCTGAGGGAGCCCTTCCTCTCTCTCTCTCTCTCTCTCTCTAACCTAAGGAGAGCCTTGTGGAGGATACCCGGGATCGGCAATCTCAGATCAAAAGGGTCCAAAGCTACAGATTTCAGCAAGAGCATCCTCAGGTCAGACCATACCAAGTGGGCATATAAACAAATGGATCCCTGAAGAAGAAAATCTTTCTCCTACAAAAAAGGTTAAACCAATCTCTACCTTATTACATTACTATAATCGGATAATCTTCGCAGTCATTGAATGTCCCTAGGCTGAGCACAAGGAGCAAGAGAACTCTTGAGGAGCAGAGGTGATGAAGAAGGGCGTGATTCAGTCAGAAATAGTACACTGGATGGGTATAGACTATGAGACTCGGTGTTCATTCCACGCCGCCGTTCTGAGGGGGATTAGTTCTCCGGGGCGGCTTTCTTCAGGCTTTGATCTCTGTTCTGGCCGTCTATCAGGATCCTGTAGACAAAGAAAGCTAGCATAGCCCCACTGTTATGGGACAATAACTCGTTAGAACATCAAAAAAATGGCTTAAAATGGAAAAGAAAAATGAAAAAAGGGCGAGCATTGGTAGATGTCTAGAGCATATCAGCTTGTGATCACACCCACATAAGTAGGGAAATGAAGCACAAGTTATGTGATGATAATTCCCTGTCAGTGGGAGTAATCTTGATGAGAGTGAAGCTTTGAAAGGTTCATTCGCCCATTCACAATCATCATGATCATCATTGCCCATTCCAATGAAAATTGGGATGGTTGTATGCTGAATCAAGGATCCAAATCTGGCAACAGAGCCTTCAAAGATCAAATTTGTCTGATTTAGAGAGAGGAGGGAAAAAGGTTTGTCCCAATTCAGACAAGGCGACGACCACTAGATAACATTAGTTTCAGATAATATCTAGCGTTTCATTTTTTTCCATTTTTCTTTTGGTTGGTATGATGTGGGCCATTTCTGGCATTCATTTCTTTCCTCAAACAAAGTTCTGACAATCACTAGATAACATTAGAACTATCAGGTGTTTCATTTTTCTTTTGATTGGTACGATGTGGGTCATTTCTGACATTCATTTCTTTCGTCAAACAAAGTTCTGGCAACCACTAGACAAGATAACATTAGAAATATCCAGCGTTTCATTTTTCTTGATTTTTCCTTTGATTGGTATGATGTGGGTCATTTCTGGCATTCATTTCTTTCCTCAAACAAAGTTCTGGCAATCCAGCTCTCAAACCAGGGAAGGTCAGTGACAACACCATTTTATCCAGTGCCCCTCGACCAAAGATCAAGTAATTGGACTGTTTAAGAAGGGGCGGGGGGAAAGGGGATGAATTCCTCCATGACTTTAGCCACAATCATGAATTATGACTTTTCTGTCTTGGGGACGGTGATTTCAAGAACACGTTGGGTCCTGGGTCCTTCTAAAAGAAGCACACACAAAAAGGGACTAAATGGGTCACTGAGAACATGAAATCAGGGGCAGAAATCAAAGCAGAAAATCTAAACGAAGTAAATGTTTTTTTTGTAACTAGGAGATGATAAATCACAGCAGCAAAAGAAGTGCATACCTGTTGCAATTAAATGGGTAAATATGATAAAGAGATCAAGGGGAGACATCACAGAAGCAGAACCCAACAGAATTATGCTTTTTATGTATGTCTAGAAATGGGTGGATCCTTCTAAATGCAATGCATACCAAATGCAAGATGGGTGGGTTACTAGGATCAGAGGGAGATTAACCTGATGATAGTCGCCAAAAAAGAAGGGAACGAAACCCTCTGCAGGGAAAGAAACTGGATCAGTCGTTTGGGAGGGAACAACGTCAAGAAACACATAAAGATGTTCTCAAACTGAAGATTTCTCCAAATATCGATAGATTCTTACCTTGAAAATCAAATTCCACTCCCTGATAAAGATTATTCCCGCGATTGCTGTATCATCAAAGCTTTGTGAGGTGGTGGAATTCCAGAGGCGGGACAAATGAACAATTTGCATTCCAAAATTCAGCTAAAAAGAATGCCAGTACTTCCCCTCTAAATAAGTTACCCCATTTAAATATAATGCACACATAAAAAGGTTAACTTTTATTTTAGGTGCTGACGCGAAAGTCAAAAGGCTAACTTTCACACTAGAAGAGCTGTGATGGCTAACATTCAGATTTTACTCCCAAGCATAACTTAATACCTCCTATTAGTTCTCACAATCGCCACCAGGCATAGGCAACAAAATCATGAACTTTTTCTAAGCCCATTGCGATAATGATTTGATACTTCCATGTCCAAGCATGCTGTAGTCTGCAGCAACAGTCCTCCCCTTTTAAGTTCTATTTAAGGTGTAGTTTCAATTGGGCAAAGATACTAAAAAGAGGTTGTCAATGGCTCAAAGTAAAAAGAAAGAAAAAAGATTAGTGGACAGTAACCATAAGAACAATAAAAATAGTCCAGTGGAGACCAAAGGGATTTGAGAAAAACGAACTGTTCAACATATGTCAAGAAGCTTGAGCAGCTAAAAATTCATAGAAAATTTCTTTCTGGACAGTGTAGAACTCAGGGAAAAATAAAAGAAAGTCCCAATAAGAGCTGAACTGAAGGTAAGTTCGAATGCACACTTCATTGCTGACGATGGAATAAGATAAGACAACTTATAAACCAGATTCCATGAGCACCTAAAGACGTGTGAAATGAACTCCATAATTTGAACCGCAGAGAAAATGTTTCAATAGGTCAACAAGAGGAACCTTGGTAATTTTGGAAATATTCATGTTTTAGCAGCAAAAATCAATGAGGTAAGAAAAATAACTAACCAGCTTGGCCTTTCAAGAAAAGGGTCGATGGTTGACCACTTCTCCAAGCTCTCAAACTCAAAACGCCAAAAACTAAGAGAGCACCGCCTAAAATAATACCAAACCGAACTCCAGAAAGACTTCCAGTCAGCATAAAATGGAGAAAGCCCCCAACAGCAAGAAGGGCGCCTGCAGAATGCGTAATTAAATCGATTTAGTGATGCCTGTAGGGCTTCAAACCGAGGTACAAGCAGACATCCTCTGGTGATTAGGGTAACAGTGGCAGTATCTGTTGAAGCAAAAGCAAATAAACTACGCTAGACACCAAATGTCACAAAATATATATAAACTTGATGCATACCGTAGGGAATTCCAAGATAAAAATCACGAACATCAGATACATCTTTCAACTCATCAGGTGAAGATGCAAACGTCTCCACAATATCCTTCACGGATTCAGGAGAATTCCTAGCAGCAGTGGAAAGATATTGCTTTCCCTCTTGACTAATGACATCTGCAAGCTTACTCAAGTCGTCTCTTGCTTGATCAGATTGAATCTTCATATTCTCGGAGGCTTCTTTCAAGATTACCAGCGCTTTTTGTGAGTAAATATCATATGCTTCCTGCGAGACACTTCGCATTTTTGTTGCTTCTTCCTTGAAAGATTCTAGCAGTTCTTTCCATGCTTCTAGAGATTCCTTGGCTTTCTTCCCAAGTTCATCCGCTCCATTTTCCCCACCGATTTCGTCGTTTGCCTGATAAACAATGACATGAAAGTCAAAGTCTGCCAGAGAAAACTAAAAGAAGCAGTGAGGATTAATAATCTTCCCAGAATTTTGTAAAGAGCATTATATTTGTTTACTCTTCTCTGAATTATAAAGTAAACATTTACGTGCACCATTTTTATCACCACTTCTTAAACTAACACAACCTCCCATCCCCACCACCCCCCCCCCCCAAAAAAAAATAAAAAAAAATACACAGATGCACACATAAAATGTCGATGATCTTGAAGAGGCATAATGAAATAAGGGATTAATAATAAACACCTTCATGAAAATCTGAGGCAGCAGGACAAGCTCAGAGGATACCATGAAGCCATATGTTACAGGAGAAGGAACAGAGAAAAAATTGCCCATATCATCAGAAATTTTTCATTCAAAACAACTATTTATAGCTATTTGCCCTGTTTTGCTCCAACGCATGTCATTGTGTCAGCTTGTTTTATGCCCTCTATGCATAATGCGCCTACCATCGTCATCCATCTGACCAATATACAGGGGAGTTTGACATCAACATGCATCCCCTTAATGGCAATCATCTACAATCTATGCTGTCGCTTCTACAAGCTTTACAGTTTTATGTCAATTCTGGGTTCCAAAACTAGAGAGGAGGTTCCAATGGCACTGGCAAGGTGGGGGTTCAAACTCGAACGCCGTGGAACAACACCGAGATCCAATGCAACATCCATGGCTTCACATGTTCCCGACAACCCAATACTCTTCTGACGAACGGCAAAGACGAAGCGAGACATGAATGAGGAAATTCGCATGTTTCCTCCAATGCAAAACCTAGCACGGGCACCATGAAACCGCGACAGAGGGATGGAACGGGAAGGGAGGCCTCACCGAGTCCTGCGGCACTGCGAACGTCACGAGAAGCTGGAACCGACGGTCCGCGGCGAGTTGTGGCCGCCGCCTTCGGCGGACGAGGCGAGCTTCAAACGGAGCGCCGACGGAGAAAGCACAGAAGCGGGAGGGGCCGGAAGCTACCGTCGCCCCCCTGCGCGTGGCGGGGAGACGTTTAGGGTGAGGACTGACGACGGAAGATAGATTCTGGGAGGCCGCCGCCATGGCTGTCGCTTCTCCACCCCCTCGGAGCAAGGGAGGATTCGACGGCGAGGGGGACCCGAATGTTTGGCCTCGGTACTCAGAGCTGGTGGATCTCCCGTGAGTTCGCACCCCTAATAAACCCCAAACCCTGACAGGACGCCAAAAACTCTAACAAGACGCCATATCTCGCCGCTGCCTGCAGAATCGCCGGAGACGGGTCCTGCCCTTCGCCGCCAACCCCGCCACCATCCTCCCTGCCGCCGCCGCCGCCGGCGACATCATTTTATTACCTTCTCTGTTTTACTCTACTTCCCGTTACTTCTCGACTCTGGCTGGTTACGATTCTTCCCCAGAATCAACAAACGGTCTGATCTCGTATTCTCTCAGCTTGAGAACTGAAACCAGGTCAACTAAGAACCCTAGCAGCAGCGAGGCAGTGCCCTTACAAGGCCCGGGTCCTGCTTGGGTCCGGAAAACGTATAAAAATCCAAACTTTGAGGGAAACCCGGCCGTCAACACCCCCAAAGAGGAACCCATGAATCAAAAAACCAATGACGAACTACATCGATGGATAATTTCAGCAGTGAAGGAGCCTGAGTGGCCTCTGGGCTTGTTCAGATGCTCGGCCGAATGATGAGGAAGATAGTGAGATAATATGACAGGCGCTGAGAGAGAGATCTGATCCGGCATGGTTCGTCGGTGCCGGGCTTTTACTTGATGGCGGCATTGGAGACGGTGGAGGTGCAGGGCCCGGCCGAGGTCATGAAAGGAACTCCCTTGAAGGTGGCGACGCCATTGCCGTCGGTGAAGAGATGCTGCATGAGCGAAAAAGGAGGCAAAGTTTGAAGAACCCATTTGGTGGGGGTGATGGGATTTCATTTTCTGGTGCGACCCACTTAAAAAGGAGGTCAGATCCGCCCCAAATCCACACTGGGCCAGGCTTGATTTGATTGCCCAGGATCAGAAAACCCCCTTTTAGTGCTTGCAGAAAGAAAGATGGCTCACCGGAGTGATTTTCTCCAGCTGTTTCTTCTTAGGGTTTAGAACATCTTCTGGTTTTCCATCGTAACTGCAGAAACCAGAGAATATCAGAATGGCGACATCAGATGCCAATTACAGAAAGGAAATTGGCCATGCCGAGAGCTCTTGGATGAGCTACAGAGATGGCAGAAAGAGGGTCTGATATTATGAAGTCTGTAATTGATATCTTGGGTCTGTTGGGTTTTACCCGGAGAAGGAGATGCGCTCCCCAAGAACAGCCCCTTCTGGGGGAAGTAGAGGCTCCACAACCGTATGATCTTCATTGGATGCACATAAGACCTGGACATATTTAGCAAGTGAAAACTAACTACACCAGCTTTCCATTCAAATGAATAAGCAAAAACTATGAAAATATAGCATGTGAGCATACCAGGCCAGATGATGTCATATCTCTCAACTTTCCAGGCTTTACATTCGTAATTAACACCACACGACGATTCTGCAAGGACAATCCGCAATGTCCATAACATAATCCAGCAAGAAAATCCAGCTCAGTGTTCATTGATCCCATATAACGTCCAATGTTTTTTCCATTTCAAGGACTAACAAGGGAAGAGTACTGAAATAGGGTAATGGAAACGCCATTAATACTGTTCAGTGATGTCCTTACCACTAGATCCTCTGGGCTATAGTACTTTGCAAGCCCGCTGACTACTTGGCGTACATTACCATCTCCCAAGTCTATCTCTTCCATTAGTAAACTGCAGAGAAGATGAGAGTTAACCACTTATTAAAAATAAAAATAAAAAGAAGAAAGATACAAGTTAAAATCAGCATTAGGTGGATGTACCTGTCTGCAGACGGGTGCTTCCGGGCTGTACGGATCAGACCCACCTGAATGTTCAGGACAGAGACTTTGACTTCAACGTCCTTTTCAACAGGTTCTTTTTCCTTCATCTTTTTCTTTGCCTCGGTTGCCTTGCCATCTGCTGGAGCCTTTTTCTTGCATTGCAAAAAGTAAGCAGAAGTAAGCATGTCATCACACTGTTTGAGTCAGGATTTCAGCCACTAAAGCATCGAAGAACACTGATAACTCAAGTCAACGCCATGGAACTCAAAGTACAGCCCCATGCAACATGAAGGTACAGGGTACACCACACGAACCAAAAAAAGTAACTTACGGGCTGTGCAGAAAATAAATCTCCCATCTTTCACAGCAGTAACTCTAAAAGTGCATGTCTCATATGTTGCCTAAGACAGATGTCTCATTATGAGCAAAAACAAAGTTGAGTCACGGACCTTATTGCTCCATCCAAGTCAATAGTTGATAAATGTTCTGGGGGAATAAGTGGGCAATGCACAGATTTGAAATATTTCGAAACTTGTCCAACCCAGTTTGGCATCTAAGAAACCAATATTGAAAGGACATTTCAGCCAACCACGTGCTGTATTTGCCACACCCAACCCTAAACGATTATTTTCAATAACTCTTGAGATAAGATATGAGACTTGCCCAAGAACAACAATGAAAAAAATCGAAGCAATTGCATAATTCATATGAAAAACTTGACTCGCGGTCAAATTACTTTCAGAATTATCAATAAGTACCTAACCGTCCAAAAACCCCTTTACATCAATGGAATTCTCCTGCTCTGGACGACTTCCACCATAGGTCCACACACTTGTCCCTAACACCTCTTTTTATTGTATGATTATGTGGCACCATCCACTTTCAAAACATATGCATAAATAGTTGGGTAGCTGTTTTTCTAGTTCAGGTAAGAAAAACTGTTCCAGAGAAACGTGCTTGATGAGAATGAAATATTCCCACACGAGCAGCCAATAGGGACAAAAGAAGACACCTTCACAAATATTACTTACATGGGGCTCAAATGCATGTTTCTGAACCGCTATCTTCTTGAAGGCTCCACCAAATTCCTCCTTGTTCTACAAAATTAAGAATACGAATCTCAAGGACATATTCAATTAAAATCATTCAGCAATAGTTGGAGATGCAGATGCAGCAGCAGCGATATTTATGATGACAGTTTGGATTGTACACCATTCAAAATGAAAGGGGGTCAGTTATTACGGTGCTAAACTTTGAATTTTAGGTGACCACGAAGTCATATATGCAAAGTTTCTAACAAGGAAATAAGCATAAGACAGAACTTATTTATATGCGTACAGGCATGATGAGGGTGAGAGATTGAACACAATTCTAGCGCAACAAATTTTCCAGCAAAAACATCTGTGAAGGTATTGTACCCATTACTTAATTGCTAAAGAATTTAAAGGGGGGCGAGAGAGTAGCACAGTCCGCCCAAAGACATTTTACTGTTTAATAGTAATTGTCAGTCACGTCAGCTCCTTTCACAAAGTGCATCAAATATGGCACGAGACTCATTTGATACAAAAGTTTATGAGAAATTATGTCTCACCAGGACCAGATAAATTTTAGTAGTTTATCGCATTCGTGCAAAGCACAAAATTATATTTACCAAAAAAAAATTCTCGTATGGCAGTGAAAATAGAGTATCAAAGGGTTATGCAAACTGCTTATAAAGACCATCGATACTGCTCCCCAATTGTAGCATTCACAGATAAGTGAACTCATGTAAGAAACATGGTAAAGATCCTGCCCGTCAAGACTGCCGCTCTAGCCTACCTCACATTTATTCTGGTGAGAAATTCAAACGTGGCATCTAATAACAATGTAAGAATCCACTCTGACCATATTACATGAGCAGACAGTAGATAAGAGTCCTATTACCAACAAAAAATTCCGCTATCAGATAGATAAAAAAAGGTATATTATTTATTTTGCATCAAAGATTTCCTTCTCGGAATCCATAAAACTGGCACGAAACATACCAAAGTATACACAAAAAATGCGTCGAAAAAGAGTAATATTATATGTACAGTTTTTGACAAGAAAATGAAGCAAATGATAGAACTAGAAATACATGAGAAAAAACTGGAAGATTAAGAAGAAACTGACCTACCTGAACATAGTCCATCCATCTGATAACGTGCGGCACTTTCTGGATAGCCGAATCAGAAAGATGGCTCTGGTATGACATCGTAATTTAAATAATTAATGACATGAAAAATCAACCTAGCCAAAGACCATTTCTAAGACATAAATAGCAAGAACTTCATTGGACGATGAACAAGTTTTCATTGAAAATAGCTACAGCCTTCTGGGCATTATCGGAGAATTTTTTACCCAAAATGTAAATAATGGGCACCTAGACTCTCTCTCAGTTAACAAAAATCATGCAATTTCCAGATGATAATATCTTACAATCTCGTCATAAATAACTTCTGCATCTAGACAGTATTGGGAAAAAGTTACACGAGAACTGAAGTACTAGCATTCAGTCTCTTTCTCAAATCTTTTAGTAGCCTAGTAACATGATATCTTCTGGATGCAGATCAGCCATATTATTATTGAAAATAACTTTGGCTTTATCGACTAAAATAATGGTGCACAAAAAACAAAAGAATTGAGATCTAGTCTGGTACTCCCATAATCACTCAACAAAACATCATGGTATGCACGTGCCAATCGTTAAGTAACTAGTTGCCCTAAAATTTATTTATAGAATTGATTGGGTTCATTGAAAAATACTACCTTTCGTTCATGATTATGTTCTTCGTATTCTCTGATCCATAACTTTTTTAGTGGATACAATGGCACTATATTACTCGGCATTAGATTACTGAGAGATTGTAAATTCATTAAAATTATCAATATATGTTTTCTCACAGGTTGCTAGAATTATCATCTTTAAAATATTGATTATGATAATTAAGGGAATTTTTAAATTCGCGATCGTTATCTACAACACACTATCTAGCAGATTGCTCAAATGATAACTAGGGTAGCTATTGGCATCACAGTTGCAAAGGTGGAAGCAAAATTGTTTGGCTCATGATCCCTCTAGTGATATATTAAATTCCATCTTCAAATTTACAGCAGACTGAAGTTTCCTTCTCAGTACGCCTACTCCTAAAGAAGCCTAGGTGATTAACCCTGTAATCCATGTTTCAATGCCTTGTGCAAGCATATAAATGAAGTCATGGAATCCCAGCCACTCTCCCAATAATACGACGGAGCTAAAAAATTGAATTGGGAAGAAGGGAAAAATAGGAACAGACAAATATTTTGAACCCGTATAATTTCCTGCTTTAATAGGTTTATAATTTTATGAATAAATGAGATTTTATTGAAAAATAAATGTGACCAGTACATAAATATCAAGACCCAGATTGCATCTATATAAATAGAAAAACGTCCCGTGCCTAGCTAAGTTTATGAAGTATCACACTGGAAGAAACATCCAAGGTGAGTTGAAGAAAATAAAAAGTGACTATAAGCGATACATGGCATGACAGGACCCCGGGTACAAGGGGGAAAAAAATATCATTTTATGCAGGGGTTCCCTCCGATCTTCCCAATAAAAAAAAGAGCCATGATGAAGGAACATACCACAAAAGAATGAACAGCAGAAAACACAACAATGTCGGCTTCTGATGTTTTCAGTCCTCCTAAGAGAACAGCTCTTTCACCCAGATATTCATTTAAACTCTTAAGAGATGCATCATGAGGTTCATCATCAGCCAAAAAGTCTTGAGAAAATTTTACCCATTTTAACACCTGCATATAAAAGTTGCAAGTTTCTATCATTCAAAGTTCCAAAGGACAACCGTATGAAACTTCAGATGAAGAATTCAAAAAGCGATAATAACTAAAAGATTACCTCATCCTTCACATTCAAGGCACCCCCTTGTCCTAGCAACTCCGGAAAGTTTTTCAGCAAACTTACTATATCTCGTCCGTCAGTGTTTGAAAAGCTCTGTGAAATACACAAACGCACACATCAGCAAGATCGTCCAAAAATTATGGCACTGTGAGTCAAAGACGATAACTAAGGACACAAAAGTTACGCATGGCTTGGGAATGCTAAAAAGACACATTACTGGACGGAGAATATGGAACGTAACGCTCCAAGAAATTTGAAATTTATACGCTAGGGACATCACTTTCAAATTAAATGAACGCAAGTAAGACTACATTATATTTTTTAGTAAATCTTTCCATAGACATTCTACGATGCTATTCCAAGAGAATTAGTGAAATTGAAATAACAGCATCTTTTATTCATTTTCTTCATTTTATTTGATTGATGCCAGAACTACTATAAAATTTTCACTATTTCAGTAGTCAATGAGACTCTGTTCCTTCTATAAAGGGTAGATGACGAGATCATTTCTCCTTCGTGTTCCTGGGTAAAGCGATCTAATAACATCAATGACAACTACAGAAGATTTCCTCTTCCACTCAATGGGTGAAGCGATTTAATAAATCGACAGGGAAAAATAAAAAACGAAGGCAACGGCAGACGGATTAAAGTTGCCTCTTAGTGAACTACAGCGGTAAAAAATGCATGGCATCAGAGTGATTAAATCTGGAAAAATCACATAAGTGTCCCCTAAACGCCCACGAATGTACAGTCTTGAGTGGCATTTTCTGGCATCATATACAAAAATTTGCAATTAATCAAGGTAAGCATTGATCGTTCCTAATCATTGGCACCATTGAAACCGGCGCAGTTAAATATAATTACATACTAGATTACTACAAAAGAGAAAAACCACTTGAGGATGGCCTTGCGCCTCCTCAAACTTCCCAAGACATAACCCCAACATCCAAACCTCATCTGCGCGGCAAAAGAAAAGAACAGCTCATCCAGTGGGCACAATTAACCTGATCAATAGATAGCCCGGAGAAGTGTTTGGAGAGAGCAGAGACGATTCCCTGAGCTACTGGAGAGGTGCCGACGGTCGCCATGGTCGCTTTCCCCACCCCCTCTGACACCCCCTCCCTTCCCAAACGTAGGGTTTATTCGTCGGAGAATCCGCGAGCCAGCCGAAATGGGCCACTTAAAGCCCAATTGACCCATTTACGGCTCATCAAACCCAGGCCGGGCCTTAGAAAGCCCAGTCCGAACGAGGGCCCGATACCCGATGTAATTAATTTAAAATTAATTTTCTCAAAAATAAAATAATCCAGAAAGTGTCTAAAATAGGCGTGCCTTAATTTCCTCCATTATTAACTTGCCGTAACTAAAGTTGTGGTATTTTTTGTAACGCGGGGAGGAAGAGAGAGAGAGAGAGAGAGAGAGGGAGATAGAGGGAGATAGAGGGAGGGAAAGGAGGAGAGGGAGAGAGACGGAGGAAGACAGAGACACACACGAGAGAGAGAGAGAGAGAGAGAGAGACGAGAGATGAGAGAATGAGAGAGAGAAACGGAGAGAGAGACGAGAGAAAGAGAGAGGGAGAGGGAGAGACGAGAGATGAGAGAAAGAGAGGGAGAAACGGAGAGAGAGGGAGAGCAGCGAACCGGCCGGTCCATGAGAGGACGTCGGGCTGCGCGGAAGAGAATGCCGCCATGCAAGAGAGGACCACTTTCCTGCCGGGCGGAGCCCAGACAGCAGACCGTAGCTCCGGCCGGGCAGCCGGAGGCTGACTTGGTGGAGTGCCGTTAATGATGACCACCAACCCCGCAGGCGCGCTAGTAACTCTCAGTAAATGCCGGAGAGCCCTCTCGACAGGTTTCATTCAATACTACCCCACCAACCTCCTCCCCTCCCCCATCATTAACCTCCCGATCAAACGCAGAATGGAGGGAAGGCGAAAACCAGAGCCTCACACCTCTCTCTCTCTCTCTCTCGCTACAGTGGCATCTGCTACGTACCTCCATCTGCACGCCTCCTATCTAGTGGCCAGCCGGGAAGCTCGAGGAGGAAGCAAGAGAGCAGTATAACACCACATTCCTGTTCTTATTCGTGGTGCTCGCCGGTTCTTGGAGGCGGAGGTGGTGTCATTGAAGGGTCTTTCCCTTCGTGGGCTCTTTGTCCTTCTGTGAGAGAACTCGTTTTCTGCCTCTCCCCTCTGGTCTCCATCTTCGTTTCCATCGCCCCGGGTTTGCCATCCTTCTGCAACCTCCGTTGCCTCCTGTTGATCTTCCTCACCTTCAGAGTCGGAAGGGAAGAGGAGAGTCCAGCAAAAATGGGTGCTGTATCGCTGGTGGTACTACTCGGCTGCTGCCTGCTCTTCGTCCCGATCATCGCCTGGTCCTCGGATGCAACCCTAAACGACGACGTGCTCGGCCTCATCGTCTTCAAGGCCAATCTGCGGGACCCTAGAGACAGCCTCAGCTCCTGGAACGAGGACGACTCTAATCCTTGCAAATGGGTCGGCGTCAAATGTGACAACCGGACGAACCGCGTCACCGAGCTAAACCTAGAAGGCCTTTACCTCTCCGGCAAGATAGGCCGGGGACTTCTCCAGCTCCGGTCGCTGAGGATGCTTTCCCTCTCCCGGAACAACTTCTCCGGTGGCATCAGCCCTGATCTGCTCCTCATCGCAACCCTTCAGTCCCTGGATCTCAGCCAGAACAACCTCTCGGGGGCCGTTCCGGATGCCTTCTTCGCGCAGTGCAGGTCTGTGAGATCAGTTTCTCTCGCAGGAAACCGGTTATCCGGAGAGATCCCTCTTAGCCTAAGCTCCTGCTCAAAAATCGCCTCCCTGAACCTCTCGTCGAACCAGTTTGGAGGCGCCATTCACAGTGATGTATGGTTCTTGAATGGTCTGAGATCTCTGGACCTCTCCTTCAATTTCTTCTCCGGCGAGATCCCGGCTGGGATCGATAAACTGTATAATCTGAGGACAATGAGCCTTCGGAGCAACAGATTGGTGGGATCTTTGCCGGCCAATCTCGGTTCATGCTCGCAGCTGAACTCCGTCGATCTGGGTCAGAATCTTCTGTCTGGGGAGCTGCCGGAGTCGACGAGAAATCTCTCCGCCTGTGCCTCTCTCCGGTTGGATCGTAACTCCTTGACTGGGGGAATCCCCTACTGGGTCGGCGAGATGAGAGCTCTGGAAACCCTGGACCTTTCCAGCAACCAGTTCGCCGGCGCCTTCCCGGATTCGATCGGCGAACTACAGCAGCTGAAGGAGCTCAATATTTCTGCCAATGCATTGAATGGAACACTTCCAGAGTCACTGTCTCGCTGCAAGGCCCTGTTGGATGTGGACTTTGGCGGGAACAACTTCACCGGCGAGCTCCCCAGGTGGCTGTTCGAGCTCGGTCTCCGGCGAGCTTCCATTTCTGGGAACAAATTTACAGGCTCGATTCTCATTCCTACTCCAGTGACCACTCCGTCTCTCCTAGCCCTCGATCTATCAAGCAACGCTTTCTCCGGTGAGATCCCCGTAGAGCTTGGGAGCCTCCACAGCCTACAGCTGTTGAATCTTTCCCGGAATTCCATATCTGGTTCTATTCCGGGGAGCTTAGGGGAGTTGAACGGGGTTGAGATCCTCGACCTCAGCGGGAACCAGCTGAACGGCAGCATACCGCCGGAGATCGGGAGGGCCGCTTCCCTCACGAGCCTGTGGCTGGAGAAGAACTCCCTCACCGGAGAGATTCCTAACCAGATCGCCGCCTGTGCATCCCTCTCGACCCTGTAAGTTCCCATCTTCTTCCTTTCTTCTACCCTTCCGTTCTCTTCATCTGCCACCATCAGTACATGCTTGCGCCTTCTTTCCATCCTAATCACTCGACGTCTTTGTTCTGGTTTTTTTGCTACAGGATGTTGTCTCAGAATAACCTCATTGGCTCCATCCCCGAGAGCTTTGTCAACCTCACTCATCTACAGACAGTGGACCTCTCCAGGAACCGCCTCAACGGGAGCCTCCCCAAGTGGCTCCGCCGCCTTCCCCAGCTCCTCTCCTTCAACATCTCCGACAACCTGTTATCCGGCGAAGTCCCCGGAGGAAACTTCTTCGCCGCCATCCCTCTCTCGTCCCTCTCCGGCAACCCCTCCCTCTGCGGCTCCGTCCTCAACCGCTCCTGCCCTCCGGTCCTCCCCAAGCCCATCGTTCTCAACCCTAATTCCTCTTCCACCTCCGTCGCCTTCTCCTCCTCCTCCGATCTTCGCCACAATAAGATCATCCTCAGCATTTCCGCCCTCGTCGCTATTGCCGCTGCCGCCCTAATCGCCCTGGGAGTAGTCGCCATCACCGTGCTCAACTTCAGAGTCCGCTCCTCCGGTAGATCCCACTCCGCAGCCTCCTTCCTCGTTCCCCCAGACGACAGCTCCACCCGTTCTCCGGCGACCAACCCCAACTCTGGCAGGCTCGTCATGTTCTCCGGCGACGTCCCCGACTTCAGCGCCGGCACCCACGCCGTCCTCAACAAGGACTGCGAGCTCGGTCGCGGCGGCTTCGGCGCCGTCTACAAGACCCTCCTCCGCGACGGCCGCCCTGTGGCTATCAAGAAGCTCACCGTCTCCAGCCTGGTGAAATCACAGAGCGACTTCGAAGTGGAGGTGAAGAAGCTGGGGAAGCTCCGCCATCCCAATATCGTCACCATGGAAGGCTACTACTGGACTCCCTCTCTGCAACTCCTCATCTACGAGTTCGTCGCCGGCGGGAGCTTACACCGGCGCCTCCACGACGCCGCGGCGGGGGTCCTCTCATGGCAGCAGCGGTTCGATATCATCCTCGGCATGGCGAAGGGCTTGGCTCACCTTCACCATCTGAACATCATCCACTACAACCTGAAATCAAGCAATGTGCTCGTTGACCCGTTCTCTGGGGAGGCGAAGATCGGCGATTGTGGGCTGGCGAAGCTGCTGCCGATGCTGGACAGGTACGTGCTGAGCAGCAAGATACAGAGCGCGCTCGGGTACATGGCGCCGGAGTTCGCATGCCCCACCGTGAAGGTCAACGAGAAGTGTGACGTGTACGGTTTCGGGGTGCTGGTGCTGGAGGTGGTCACTGGGAAGAAGCCGGTAGAGTACCAAGAGGACGACGTGGTGGTGCTCTGCGACCTGGTTAGGGCGGCGCTGGAGGAAGGGAGGGTGGAGGAGAGCGTTGACCCTCGTCTAATGGGGGACTTCCCCTCTGACGAGGCCGTGCCGGTCGTCAAACTCGGGTTGATCTGCACCTCGCAGGTGCCCTCCAACAGGCCCGACATGGGAGATGTCGTCACCATCCTGGAGCTCATTAGATGCCCTCAGGAAGCCAGCTCCCCCAGGGAGGACCTGAGTTGACTTTGACTATGCTAGGCTGGTAATCCTCTTCCAATTCTTCTTCTTATCCGAGGAGGAGAGCTCTGGTCAACGGGGATTCCGAACAGGGATACTCTTCGTTTTGACTTGGAAACGAAGATTGAGCATGGTCAACCAGTACTTGGAAACTCTCCTGTGCTTCTGACTTTGCGGTTTTGATGACTTCAAACTCACATTCTGGCCTCGTAGAAATCTACTAGAATGTCGAGCATTTTCAGAGTTTATTGCATTTGCTATGGATCGTAGCCTGGAAGGTTCTAGAACGCGGCGCTCCAAGAATCGCGGGGCGCCGTTGCCGATGTCTCCACGCTTGTCGTGATCTTGTCGGGAAACTGATGAACTAAGACCGTTCGATCGAAGAGCACTGCCCCCTTGGCGGGAACAAAGCAATAATGCGGGTCGACTCCGCTGACGTGTCTTTGTGTAACCCCCTGTTATCCACGTGGCACGACTCACTCACTCACTCTCCCTCTCTAACGGTATCCGAATGCAAGAGATGGATTTTGGCCGTCCGATTCTCATCGACAAATCCTGTCCGACACGGAATCTCCTCAGCTATGGTGGTCCCTGCCGTCTGACGTGGCGGATTTACAGACTATTCCCATCAAACGACTCTACCATCTGGGTTCCACCCTTCCACGTCATCCACAGCATCCTTGATCTTGCACAACGGCTACTCCGATTATAAACATCAACGGTTCCGTATAGATTTAAAGCAAAAATAAAAAAAATCAGCCAGCTTTATAGTCTCAAGTGTCAAAATTGTCATTTTAAAAACATATTATTATATATGTTAATATATGCATATATAAATCTATTAAAAAGTGATTAAAAAATGAACATAAACATAATATTATATTAATAATATCCCACTTGAGTTATTGGAATTACTACATGCAGATTTTAAAAAAATGATGCTACCCCGAAGTTGTCGTTTTAAAAACATATATATATATATATGTATATGCCCATATAACTGTATTGAAATGACAATTAACAAGTGAATATGCATAATATTATATTAATAATATCCCACAGCAATATTTATAATTACTAAACGTAATTTTAAAATATATGGTGCCTCCCCAGACATTTAGGTATTTACATACGTAGGAGGCTGAATGTGGCCCCAGCCTACCAGCCTTGCAAGGCGAGATTGCTGATTTGTCCCTCAAATTTGGTAAATTCGGATATCCCTTCATCTGAATTTAAGTCGCCGCTAGTTCGCAGGAAGTCAGGGATGTAGGGGCTTATTTGTAATATGCCCCCGTTTTTGGATAGCTTTTATAAACCCAGAAATAAAGAGGTATATCGTATTTACATTTTTAGGGGTTAAATTCGAAAATTATTTTAAAAGTGGGAGACTGATTTCCTGGAGAATTTGAGTACCAAACGCTAACCAAAAGGCAAGAGAGGGATCGACGAGCAGGAATTTGTCGAGGTTTACGGCGATCCAAACGGTCGTGGGCTGAAGACGCGGAATTTCATCGTTTTTCCTCCTTCCCGGTGAGCTATTCGTTGTCTCGATCGTCTTGAAGAAATCGATCTTTTGGAGCTGCAAGTTCCGGTCGTTGATCGATCGTTGTCGGAGAACGAAGGCCACAGATGCCCGCGTGAATTCCTCTGGTCTGCTTTGAGTCGCTGGAACCCTAGGTAATATTCGCTTTCTGGTTGAATCATTTTCTTTCGATCTCCATGGAGTCATTGTCTTGCCTGGATGAGCGGGATCGAGGCATCGGCGGAGTTCTCATGGCGGTGCCTTTCGCCGGGTTGAGCGAAAAATGGTGTCGGAGGAAATAGACATTGTTTCGTTTCAGAGCGCGGTAGAGCGGAGTGAGGTCCCAGATGGCTTTCCATCGCGAGTCTCGTCAGTTCTCTGTTGGCGGAGATCCCTCTGGTTCGACTTGCGCGGCGGCGCAGAAGCCGAGAACGTCTGGTTTAGATGTCGACAATGATGAGATGATGTTCTCAGCGGATCATGAATCCCGATTGTTTCAGAAAGGAGGGGGTGTGCAGCGTTGCCTTCATGGTTCATCCATTCGGACGACGCGGGGGCGGGGGAGTGAGGACCGAGACTGGATTGCTGACGTAAGCAATGGGATCCCCACCGGGGATCGTTCGGATGGTATGGAAGATGAAGACGACGACGAACGTCATGATCTCGAAGAAGATGGAGAGGACGAGGGTCGGATCTTTCAGAAAGACGGTACCGAAGGCAATCAGAACAACGGCAGCAGTAACCTCCATTGCAGGTCTGAGAAGGTTCACCAGGACACTACGGATCTACTCGTTCGCCATTCTTCCTTTGGTAAGAAAAGGTCGATTCATATTCTTCACACTTCCCGCTATCATCTATCGTCGGCACTCATTGAGTGGTTAATATCGGACCTCAGGATCCAGAAGAGAAGTCTTGGCGGAGGATGGGAATGGCGACACTCACATGGAGAATTTCAACGGGCAGCAGAAGAAGCAGTATCGTGCGGCTGATTATGATAAGCCAGATTCTCTTTCAGGAACAGATTCAGATGGTACTCAGACTTTACAAGGGGGAGATGGACCAGACAAGCATCAGGAGGAGTTAGGAAGGGAGAAGGAGCATGATTCTACCAGAGGGAAAGAAACGTCTTCCTCACTTGACTCAGGGGAGTGTGTCCGGATGCACCTGTCCGACCCTATAACGTGAGTGACAAACGTATCTTGAAACTATATTCCTTTCAAACTGTATTCCGATGGAATAAATAGCCTAGTTTGCACCAGTGTTTGTGAATATGATGACTTGAGTTTTTGTAATTTCTGGGCGTCCCCTAGATTCGCACCGAACTGGAAGTGTAATTACCCCACTTTTATTCTAGAATAAGGGAGAGCTTCTGTAGAAGGCACCTTCATTCTATAAATAAAGCATGCTTCTTGGTCTATACGGTCACATATACTGTAATTCATCTACATTCATGCATGACTCCGTGTGTTCATTTATTTTATTATTTTTAGCGGCAATGTACCCTAACAATACTTTTTTGAAACAATATCTGACTATTTCTTTATCATCTAGATTTCAAAATGAATGAGAGATTGGTGCTAGAATGATTGTTCAAAGCAAAGAATATTTATATATCTATATATGCATTGTAATGACTCGTGTAAAAGAGTTGTAAACCCAATCATTCTGAGTTATTGTTTTAACTTCCCAACTAGCCTGATTTTTACCGCTGTAAGGGTTTCTAAACATGACGAAATCGTGCCAGTTTGATCAAGATCGCTTATATCTGTACTTTTTCAGAGGTGCTCTGATGGATGATGCAATGATCCTATTTTGCGGTCATTCTTATGGAAGTGCTGGGATGCAGCATGTTATTAGAATGGTAGGTGCTCGTGTTCGAATTTGGAACAACTTTTATTTTTGTTAAATCATCCATTTCTATTTCAGAAAGGGATACCGTTCACTATGCGCATGATCCGGTTAGTGTGGATAATGCAGCACATCCTTTCATCAGATCATGTGTCGTAAGAGCACAATGCCAGAAATTGACGATCTTACCATGTTTTCATCTCGTCTAAAAACAATTCTTCAAATATTCAGTGAGTCTTAGGCTATGATTTTTGGGTGGTCACAAGCATTCTGGACTAAGCACAAAAGTGGACGTATATTAGACTTATTCTTGTTTAGTATCTATTTAGTTTCAGACTTGGGTAATTGCTTACAAATTATGCGGTGAACTGATTGAGTTTTAGATATCTTCTCAGCTAGAGCAATGATTGACTTCTGATACATTCTTTGCATACTGGTGCCATTGTCCCCTGTTTAATACTTTTTGTAGTTCATTCACATTTCCTATTTTTTATGACTTTTCTTGTTGTTTCACTATGCAGAAATCTTGTTTTAAATGCCAGCAGCCAGTTTCGGAGGAAAAGATGCTACCAAATTTGGGTACGATGGCACTTCTAGTTTAACTCCCCAGTTGTATATATTCATTTCCTTCTCGATGTTCTATGGGTGTATAATTTATTCTTTTTTATTTCCAAAAATGACCACTTAAGCACTATTAATCTTGACTAGCGGGAAAATATCTTAATTTTGGTTGCTGGAACCTTTTCGCAACGGAGTTTGGTTCATGAAAGAGCTTTAGCTCAGCTTGATCGAGTGTTGAATTTGGTAATGGCAACCACAGTTCTTCGTGCTGCTGTACGAGCATTCCGTCATGAAGAAGAGTTTCAGTTTTCTCGGTCAGCTAAAAGAAAGAGGGACAGATCAGACGTGGTAGTTATTTTCTTGAATCGCATTTTCAGAATTTGGTTTCTTGTCACCATAGCTCCTGCTATCCTTTTCCTTTGCCTTGAGCTGCTCTTCTTTTTCCCGTACATAGGCAAAGCGTGACTATGGTTATCCTTTCTCAACGGATCTCACAAGGGGTAAAGGTGTTCAGTTTCCATTTGCTGTTTCTGACAGGGTGATTATCAAGGTACGTTGCAGGCAAATTTCAATCTACCAACATGCCAACAATTATCACTAGCATCATTTTTGATCAAGTTAGCCATATCTGCTCTAGCAATGGACTAGACTTGCCGTCTATTTATTTCTTTTTAAGCATTTGATGTAGCATCTTGAGGGAACTGTTCACAGGGAAACAAAAGGACACCAGACCGTTTCATTGGACGTATTGCTACTGTTACAACACAATGCTTAAATGGATGGTTTGTGCCTTCTCTTTTCTTTTGGTTATTTTATCTCATCGATGCTTGATCACATTGTTCCATTCCAGTATTTTCATCTTGAGGATCTTTGCTGCGAAATACAACATTCCTCCAGATTCTTTTCAAAATCTAGATAAAATTTTGAGAGCTGTTCTATTGTTGTAGAAGCTCAGATCTCTACTACTATGATGTTAGTTTCCCAAGCATGATTATCACAGATGTTGATGATGATGAAACAGAAAATAACGCACTTCTTGTAGCAGTTAATATCAGCTGAGGTTAATCATGCTTTCTTTCGAGCTTACCATATATTTTCACTCTGACTCTCAGCTCATTTTCCCCTCAAATGTTTACTCCTATGGTGCCAAGTTCTTGTGATTTATTTGATCTTATAGTTTAAACTCAAGATATATTATTTCGTTACTATTATTTCACGTTCATCACCTTCCAAATGAGGATCCAAGAGATAGAAGTGCAGCACCTTAGCCTTTCAATCACCCAGTAGAGGTGTCCATGTTGAGATATTCTATGTAGATTTTTCTGTTAACTATGTATTATGTACATTTCCATTTCAAAAATAAATAAATTTGCCCATGTTGAGAGTATTCTATCTGCTGTGTTGCCCTCTCCCATGCCTTCGAAAATCCACTCTTCCCTCAAGCATCATGGACAATCTAGAAGACAATGCAGGCGGCCATACGCATGAAAACATGCATAGGATTTTTCCCTTTTGGAGTGGACCTGGAGGGGCGGTGCCCACGGAGACGAAAAACTCAATTTTCTTTTTTTGTAAAATTTTCCGAGGCTGATTTTTCTATAATTTTAGAGTTACCCATTGAACCCTAAGCTTTCGTCCAATACATTGGTGCCTGTTAGGTATGTAGTGAAGACCTTGGATAACGCCGAGTGCATCAAGCTGCAGTACCGTTCATTGGTCAAGATGGCAGATGATCCCACCTCACAGGCGACCAACCCTCTGCAGGAATGAACCGGGGGGTGGGGATGGATGTTGCTCTAGAGTCATTTCGACCATCAAGAATGAGCTCCTGCACCAATATTTTCTCCTCTCTTCTGTGATAATCTACTCTTTCTTCTACATAATCTGTTCAGACTACTGTATCGTGAGCATTGCATAAGCATAGGCTTGCTGCTTTGATTTTTTGTCTCACTGTGGGTGATTCGAAATGCTTCAATGTTTCTGGTTATTTTCCGTCATTTGATGGGTGATGCCCTGTGCCCAGGGAGGTCAACTGTCTTCCCCAGCGTCAGTAAAGCTGAAGAACCCAGTCTCTTCTCTCTCATCTGACATGACACCTTCTTCATCTTCCTTCCTCTCTCCTCAGCTTACTGCGCTTAGAGCGGTTGTGGACAGAACCACTCTAAGATCTGCGTGCATATTCCAGGTGCAACTATTTATTCATTTTTTCTTTATCTTTATATGTTCATATTTACAGCTTAATTATAAGATTGTTAATTAAATCGTCATTAGATTAATCATCCTAATTGTTTTCGTGTGAGTTCTTGCTTCTTTTGTTTTTCTAATTCTCTGCATTAATTAAATATTCTCTGTTGTTTTCGTGTGAGTTGTCTCCTTCATTGGGTTGAATGAGATTGGTCCTTCTATTCTTAGCACATGTGATTAGGTTTCTTCTGCCCTCCTCCCACTCTAGACACCTTTGACCATCCCAGAGAAGTCCTTCAGGCATTTAGAACTAATTATTAAACCAAGGTTTGGTCATTCCTTGATCGCTCTTTCCTCAGCTTTCTTTCTATGTCAATAACTAAGTCTCGTGCTGTACATTTTCCAAAGAGCCATTGTGCCTGGTGGTTGGATGTCTACGTGGAATGTTATGGTTGGTGGCCTTCTATATGGGAGGACGATATATGAAAATTGAATTAATTCTGAAATTATGTAAGTATGAACTAAAATGGAATTATTTATGTTTAGTATATACCCAATTGAACTGCATAGTACCCTCAAGCGCAATGGTTTCTTGGGGGTTGAGAGTGGATAGTTTTCTTCTTATGGCTAGTAGGTTCTTATCCTCTTGCAACACCTTTTTTTCCATTTTTTTGACCCCTCTTAAACTGCTGTAGAGTATATGAATCAATGGAGGGAGGGAGGGAGAGAGAGAGAGAGAGAGAGAGAGAGAGAGAGAGAGAGAGAGAGAGAGAGAGAGAGAGAGAGAGAGAGAGAGAGGTTGGAACATATTTCCATTATGAACTCGTCCGATCTACACTCGGATTCACATTCCTCCATTAATCTCCATCGAAGACAAGGGACCCCATTAGTATTGTGATCTGATAATGTGGGCACACTAGTGAGCACATTGGCTATCGTGGTGCCTAACTAATAATCTATAAACTTTAATTGCTGTCTTTAATAGAGACTAATTACTCATCTGATTGAAGAGCTTTAATTTCCCATTTAGATCTAAAATGATGTCTTAGAGCAAGGAATTTCCAACAGCTAGAACAATCATACATACAATATTTTCTCCTGAAAAATGAGAAATATGCTACTTGTCTATATCTTCATTCTCAAAAAATTAGTTAGGACCCAGAAGATAAACATTTTTTCCCATTAAAAAAATCCATTTTTTAGATGACTATGCCCCTCCATTGTCATATTCTACACGAAAATAAGTGTAACGAACACAAAGAACCTATCTTGGCACCCATTCCTAACCAAGTCTGATATTTGAAATGCAATAACAACATTATTGGCATAAAATAAATGAAGATATATACGTAAATGCATAATATCATTGACATTAAATAAAGTGGGAATGCCCATGTCATCTGTCGTTATATAAATTATGCAGTGAATTTGTCTTGTCTTGGAAATAAATTATCAAGTCCTAAGCCTTCTTATGAGCGAATAAATAAGGACCAAAAATCATTTATAGTATTTCCATCAGCATGGGGTATGGCTATATGATGGAGGTAGCACCCCAAGGGGTAGAGGATATCAATAATTTTAGTGACCAGAAAGTACAATGGCAAAAGAAGAATTGCCCAGTTCCTCAGGTCCCAATGTTTTTCTTCAAGCTGCCATCAATAATTGTGGACGCGTTAGTTCACAAAAATTTTAAAAATAAGAAAACTTTTATGCGCAAAGTATAGGTGCCAACAGTGTAGGTTCAACCTGGCCCATAAGGCCCACAATGGGGTCCAATAGACCCAACCTGGCCTTGTCTATGCACTTATCTCTGAGAGAGAGAGAGAGAGGGGGCACCTGACAAGAAAAAGGGTCATGGACCATACTGAAGGTTGAACCGAGGTTGGGTAAGTGGACCTGATCAAGCTTTTTACACCATATCAGACTGGTGTAAGGCCCAGATCATCCATCGACACTACTAGTGAAGATATTTTAAGCAAAGATACGAATTTTCCTTGTAAATGAGGTCAAGAACATCCTAAAACAATAAAACCCTAACTCATTTATTTGTGAAGATAATAACCCATTTTTTATGCCAATAATTTAACCGGAAAAAGGCTCGGTGCAAAAAACCAGAATAAACTTATCTTAGCAAGACTCACTGCATTTGAAAGCGTTTGCCAGATCAGAAGCAGGTGAGGAATCCAAGCTGTAAATCCAAGAAAAATCGCCTTGACGGCCTCATACAACCTTCTTTGCCCCAACTGCACACATGGAAAACATATAAGACTGATAAATGAGCGAAAGTATTATTGGGAATAACTTAGGTCAAAACCACTGATAGCTTTTATTTCTATTTTATAAAATATAATGCTGAAAATGGAGATATTTCATCACAAATCCAAGTTAAGAAATGGAAGTACCTCATAATAAATCCAATAAAAGAAGGGCAGAAAAACTAGAGATTGACGAAGAAGTTTGTCGATGTTACCTCGTAGAAGATTAACAGTGAACCGAAGATGAAGATCCAGCTGAACCTGTGATTTCTCTCAGTGTAAACTCGGGCTTTGGAGAGCACAGCCTAAGAAAATAAGCCATGAACATGAATTTTCTGTCGGCAGTCTTGTTGAAAAAAATAACTCGTATATAATATATATATATATATATATATATATATATATATTAAAAAAAGGAGCAAAAATCACATCAGACCATCGATCTAGTGAAAGATAAGCTCTACATTAATGCTAGGGAAAAATTTCAGTCCACAAATCCAATGGAATTCTCAATTCATCAGCCAGACCAAGATCTAAACTGTGTAATTCTCAGTACATTAATGCAAGCCTTTCCAGGAACTGTGTAATTCCTTCACAAAAAGATCTTTCCAAACAAGGGTCAACCTCTCTTCCAGAGATGCCCCAATTCTTCAATACTTGAAAATCATTGATTTTTCCGATTAATGAAGAGATCAGCCATTGCACTTGTGGTCAACGCTCTGTCCTTCCTGTTCAAGACCCAAAACCCTGCTCCCTCTCATGCTTCAGTTATGCTCAGCTATGTTTTATCTCTCCACTTCAAGCAAGGTTAGAAGAGGAGGATTGGAGTGAGCATTTCATTAGGGTTCTTGCTTCAACATTAGAAGGACCCAATACAAATGGGTGATACAGTGAATGTTTAAGCATTATCTTTCTGACGAAGGGTCGCCATTGAATGTTCCTCGCAAAAGCATAATCAAATTCTATTTCTATATATAAATCAAGCACGAAAGCTGCATTGCTCTTAAGCTTGGGTGCGTATTCTCCATGACTCTCAAGTAAATTACTGTTTTTTCTCAAACCTGGCATATCGCCATCTCATTCAAGAAAAATATAGAAATCAAAAGAAGGCATACACTAGCTCATAACTCGTGTTTATCTTGTCATGTACCCAAAGCTGGCCAGCCAGATTCTGGTTGAATTATGTTTCTTTACTAGAAATTCTATGATTTTATTAGGGTCATAAATCTTGATATGAAACAACTGTCTTCAGATTTTGTTCAGATCATCTTGAATATCGGCTAAGCTATACCAATTACCCACCAGATCATACTTTTGTCAGATAAACATGGGAGTATATTCAAGAAAAATACAGAAATCAAAACAAGGAATACACTATCTGATAACTTGTGTTTTTCTAGTCATGTACCCAAAGTTGGCTAGTGTGATTTCGATTCCATTATGCTTCACACTAGAGATATTATTTTACTAGGGTTATAAATCTTGATATGAAGCAACTGTCCTTAGATTTTGTTCAGATCATCTTGAATATTGGCTAAGTTATACAAAATACCCACCATATCGTACTGTTGTCGGATAAACATGGGAGTATATTCAATGAATGCCATAGGTAGTCTGTACTGAAGCCATTTTTTGATGAAACTCCAACAACAAAAGCACATAAGAAGGAAGTGTGAAGAGGCAAAAGCTATGATCTGCACAGTAGACGATACACAAAAGTTTTTCAACTAAAAAAGATTCTGATAAAAAGAAAAAAAATAAAAATTACCCGAGACTGAGAGAGCAGGAAGAAGCTCGCCAAAGAAAGGGTGAGGGCGCAGACCCTCCAAGCAGCCTCTGGAAATGGTTCCATCAAGTGCAGATACTTCAAAGAAAAGATGACGATGGGAGCAATCCATGGCGCTCGAGAGACGGGGAAATGGGCCGTGAGTGCGAGGAGATGAAGGAACAAGACAATCCCATTGATACCAATTCCTCCCCGAACTTCGCGCGAAGGGGCGCGAGACAGAAATGCAAGACATCCGATTAGACTCGCCAAGGTTTCCTGAGATACAAAAAAGGAAAAAAAAATCCTGAACTAAATGATTCTCGATGTTTTGGGACTGTGGACGCTGTCCGTGAGATATCGTAGACAGTACGATCTTCGCCGTGGGCCTCTTACTCCCTCAATAACCATGGCCGTTCGAGAATGGCAGAATGACGGAGAGTCCTACGAGTCTTACCCTACTTAGACAGGAGACGCGCTTCTTATCCGAAGGCCTGAGACGGATGCCGCGCAGCCGGTCGAACACAGAACGACGGCAGCGGCGGGGAGTTTCCGCAGGAACAGCATCAGTCCCGGAGTGCCTTGACCACGTTCGGCGCCTGAGTACACCTCCGAAAAGCCGGCGCAGTCTTGATCCGAAGGAGAACCTCCTTAAGAGGCCAGGGGCTTCCGATCTCACCTCGATGATGAAGCCCCGCAGCCGGAGAACGGCGGAGAATCGGCTCCCTACGCCGGAAAGCCAACCGAGCGGCGGCGTGAAGGCGGCCCTCAGCTTGAGATCGAAGCCCCGAGCGCCGGCGTGGAGAGAAACCCTCATTCGCCTCTCCTCCTCGAGAATCCCCATCGGGGAAGGGAGGAGGAAGAAAAAGTGGGCGTCGTCGACATCGGCTTCGGGGTGTCTGTAAGCTCTTATGGGTCCCATTCTTCTTCCGGACCCAGTAGCTACTGAAAGCTCGCCGGAGCTCGCAACGGTAAAACCTACCCCTATTCACAGAGAGACATTTATTTATCCAGAGAAATCCTTTTCATTCATACATTATTGTTTAGGGTGTTTTATGAAAAAATACTTTTGAGACTTGGTTCTGGGCCGTTTTAGCAAATTAAATGGGCTTATGACTGAACTTATTGAAGCCCAGCCCGTGCCCAACATGATGGCATGGCTATACGACAGCTCTAAATGAGAATGTAGCCACTGTTTTTCTCATTTAATTTTTTTTATCAAAATTTTATTTTGTGATAATTATTGGAAACCAATTAAGTTAGTGAATGAGAACACAAAAAATATACAAAAAGAATCATAACATTTGGATTTTAAAAAAATAGTAAACCTTCCAAGTAAAATCCAAGTATTAAGAATCTAATTTATACACACATTTGTAAAAATATTACTAGTAGAAGCTGACTAAGGATTATTGGATGTGGTGGTGTTATTCAATATTTTTTTTTTGTATTGTCAATTTTATGATGAGAACCAATTCACGTTGACTAGTCCACTTGATGGGGTCAATTGTCAAACTATAGGCCAAATTTGGAAACACTTGACCTCTATACATTATGGGCCATACTTGACCAGTTTGAAGACTAGGCACTCAACCTATGTTGCAATAAGTAAGCAGGGGTTTCTTGGTATAGAGCTAGTATCACAGTCATTGAGGAGAACTCAAACTAATTTCCTTCCTCTCCTCTATATGGTTGACCACTTTCTTCAACTATATGTCATTAATATTTCAATGTTTTATGGTGTTAAACTGCTCTAGATATTTTATTGTCTTTAAACTCTGGTTAATTATAATTACAAGCTGAAATGAAAAAAATATTTTTTATTTTTTCTTAAATGAATGATGCAAGGCTAATAAAGTTTCAAGCTTGATAGTAATTGATAATGTTTTTTTAAGAGTTAACACGAATTGTAATATTTTACACAACATGTTGCACATCTTATGATTTTTGAGAGTTGCCAAAATCTTTATTGGGCTTAAAATACATATTTCAATAATTTTTATAAGTTTAAATATTCAATTTCCTATCTTATGCATATTATTTGACATGTTTAATAAATTAAAAATACTAGTAAAAATATTTCAAGTTAAAATATATATTTCAATGATGAATAATTCTTCAACTAATGAGTTGATATGTGACATAAATTTCGATGCAAAAACATATAACATGTTGATAACTGTTGACAACATTAAAGTATAATATACCATACATAAATTTGGCAATTATATGCTAGGATTGACACATATGTTGAAGTGCCCAACATCTATATGTAAAGCACTAACACATAAACAATGTGGCAAAACCCAAACTATAGTGACAATTAAGCTTGAAATGGTGTATATAAGAGCTAGAAAAGTTGGTCATTTTTTGTTAAAAATTATAGATGACCTTTTTGTGAAGTGTTCAATAGCGGTATCAAACTCTCGACCCATTAAGACCCATTATCTAACTATCTCTCTCATCTCTCCTCTCTCCTATATAGAAGTCATGTATTCTATCTTTTGAGAGTGCATAAATTCTATAGTTTTTCTCTCTCGTGTTAACATGGTATCAGAGCCTTAGGTATCCCTTGTCGTCCTCCTCCTCTATGGTGTGCTACTCATCTCCGACACATTGCTCTCCTCCTTGTCGGCCTCTTCCCTTATCGGGCGGCTCTTTAGCATTGCTGCTCTTCCCTCTTCCAGTGTCATTGTCTCTATTGTCGCTCTCCTTCTCTTTTCAGCACCACCCTCTTTGCTATTGTCACCCTCGTTGGTGCCATTGCTCTCCTCCTCTTCTCTGATGTTTCCACTGTCACCATCACTATTGAGGCCCTTTCTCACCGTCGTGCCCTTGCTATCGCGTCATTACATGCACTATTGTTCTTAGGTGCTGAGGGCGTCGTCACTGCCATCAAGGTCCCTCCTCGCCATTGCTCCCTTGCCGTTGCGCCCTAGCCATCGCCGTCATCGTCGCACCCCAGCCCTTGTTGTCGTTGTCACGAGCATCGTCGCCATTCGACTGTGGCAGCTAGGGTCTTGCTCGTCTCCTCAGCCAATGGTTTTCTTCTAGACCGGCCTAGTCGAGCCCACCGGCTCTACATGGATCCGCAAGCCTAGTTGGCCCAACCAGCCCCAGCCAGCTCTGCCTACCCATCTAATTGGCCCGTTGGACCCCAACTTGCTCACCCCACCACCTGCCCCTCCGGCCTAGACCCGCTGACCTCATGGCATTGTCTCACCCCCCTCTATTATTTGCCTCTAAGCCCTCTGAGCTTCTTCTAGCTGATGTTCTCTCTTCTCTAGTGATTCCTTTGGCTTGTCACTTCATCACAATGCAACTTACTCGACCGACGTACATCTTCAATGGCTATAATTATGCGTCGTGGGCATCTGGCTTCGAGCTCTTCCTTAGATCTCACAATCTCCTCCATCACCTCTTGGAGGACTCAACCAACCTTTGAGACCCCTCGTATGTGACATGGTTACAGCTGAACTCAAATGTCATCACATAGATACTTTAGAGTATCGAGCCCAGTATTGTCGAGTCACTAGCACACATTACCTCAGCCCATCTCCTCTGGCTCATTATAGAGACCATGTACGTCAATTAGATGAACATCAGTCAAGTGTAGTCATCAATAAAAATGATGTAATAGTGATGGCTCGAGATGGAGGAAGCATGAGATGGATCTCATATATCGCAATGAAGAAGGTCAAAAGGAGCAAAAGAGGGGATGCCATCACGACTAGGATAAAAAACATGATGATGTTTTCCCACCTGACAAGACTTGCACAAAAACTTAAAGAGAGAAAGCCATAGTAAAGTTTTTTATAATTTAAAGAAATAAGAATAACCTAAACGACGATGTCATAAAAGAGAAGAAATAACCATAAAGGCGACAAAAAGGGCCCGAAAAGTAGATGAGGGTTTGTCAGAAATGAGTTCATAGACACCCTGTCTATTTTCACGGCCTAAACTAGTCTTCCATCCGGTATACAGATCTTGGAAAGTACAATGAAAGAAAAAGAATGTAACTATATAAAAGAGGGCACGAGTAACACTTATGGAAAGAAAGTATAAAAACTAGGAACGTAGAAAACTTGAGTAAGGTGAAGGGAGGGAGAAGCTGAGATGGCACTATGACCTTTGACTAGACAAGTCTAACCATCAGACGTGGAGAAGGCCGAAAGTGAGGTAAGTATGACAGAGGTAGAAGCGTCGGTACCATTAGCATGGCGAAGGACGTCATACTCTATAAGTGTTAAGGTCACGTGGAAGGTAGGAGTTGGACTATGGGATGGAGTGGGGGATGTCAGAGTTGAAGAAGTAATCACCAGCTGTGCGGAAGTGGGCTTGCTAAATTACTTCAACACTTAGTAGTTGGATAATTTTATTTCACATAGTAAGGATATGGAGGAAAGGTGTTGCGTCCATGTTTGCGAGAAGTATGACCACTGTCAAGGTGGGAAGGAGGGGTATCATCTCGAGCCCACAGTGCAACAATGGAAAGAGCCAAAGGAGTAATGGTGATGTATGGACAGGAAGAAGAGAAATAGACGGGCATACCAATGATGACCCGAAGGGCTGCCGAGAAGATGGAGTTGTTACCTGTGCTCGCCTCTCTTTGGTCTATGTCTCTCATGACTCCTACTTCGGATACAATATCCTCCTCTTCCCCTCATATGATCCCTTCCACCTTTGGTTCCTGCTCCACCTGATGACTTTCATCTCTTTATTGCCCTCTGCAAAGGTACACACACCTGCACCCACCATCTCACCTTCTAATTTTGTCTCCTATGATTGCCTTTCTCTCTCTTTTTGTGTCTTTGCTTTCTCTATGACCTTTGAGTCATTTTCACAATCGTATGTTGAGGTTGTATAAGTATCTATGTGGAAGGCAACCATGGATTCGAAGGTAGTTAACTACATTAGTCACTTGGGGGACTTGTGATTTAGTTCTGCATTCGACCGATGTCAACAATGCAATGTACAAATAGGTGTTTACCATCAAATTTTACTCGAATGACTCTGTCACTCATCACAAAGCTCGTCTAATTGCTTAGAGCTTCACGGAGGCATATGGGATTGACTACATTGAGATGTTCTATTTTGTCATTTGCCTCAACTCTGTCCATGTGCTCCTCTCTCTTGTCGTCAATTAGGTATGATATCTCCACCAATTAGATATTTCTAACGCCTTTCTTTATGATGATCTCACGGAGCAAGTCTTTATAGAGGAGCCTTCTGGGTATGTTGCTCAGGGAGTCTCATCGAAGGTGAGTCTCTTGAGGCTTGTCATTTATGGACTCAAGAGAGCCAACGTGCTTGATTTGTCAAGTTTAATGATTTACTCACCACCTTTGACTTCGCCTCATGTACTACAGACCCTATCATGTTCATGAAAAAGATAAAGGGCAGCCTTATCATTCTTACAATCTATGTTGATGATATTTTTATGACTAAAAGTAATGAGGTTGATATCTTTGCTATCAAAAGTTACTTGCAGCATCACTTCAACATTCGTGACTTGAGGACTCCACAGTATTTCCTTGGGATTGAGTTTGCATGTTAGGACGGAAAACTCACCCTCACTCAACAAAAGTATGCCCTCGACATGCTTTAAGAGATAAACCTCTTTGGGTGCAAGCCAAAGACTTCACCCATGGAAGCTCCCTTGCAATTTTGAGATACTTCATCTCCCTTACTCGACGATGCTAACAAGTATCGACGATTATTGGGTAAGTTGATATATTTCGCTATCACTCACATTGATATCATGTACACAGTTAATGTCTTGAGCTAGTTCATGCAAAAGTCTTAACGAGTTCATTG